CCGGGGATTTTTAAATTTCGTTAAAATTTAACTTCCGCTTCGTAAAATTCTACTAGGTACGAGTGTTCGAATTAAATTCGTTCTGTTTTTCGTAGTGTTGCAATTATTTTTGCGCCACGTCGAAATTAAACTTGATTTGACCCCGATTCCGCGGACAAATTTTAAACTACCCAGATCTACTAAACCTAGATACTATTGCAAGTTATCTTTAGCTGATAAATCGAATTTAGTGGAATGTAAAATTTTTTGGATCCGCCAACATTCAATCAAACCTAAAACCGTTCGTACGATGAAAACAGCCGTTAATTTCCCAGATTTTCGGCCATCAACGGAACTAATCTCCCGGCCGCGATGGATATCGATAACTATCTGAAAACTCCGTTCACCAGGTTAACTAACCCGCACACGCTCACCAGCACACGCGGTTTTTTCATTCTCGAATATCGCACGGCACGTGATAGACCCGACCGAGCTTATAGATGGCCGCATTGAGGTCCCTTTCGAAGAGACATCGATGAGACCAACCGGATCGTCTACTGTTTTGGAGCGTCGCTACTTGGCCTAGACGGTTTTCCGATCGGTCTCAGCCACGGCTGCGTACAGTTTGTCGGCTCCGTGCGCTCGAAAAAAAAAATCGCGGCGCGAAAGGAAATGAGCGGTTTTTTAGCACTCTTTGGAGTCTGGATGATGTTATTATGTACTAACATTAGCGTCCGTTTCTTCCATTATAGCATGGGAATTTTTTTTACTAAAGCCATTGGAGTATATTCGCCAATTCTATATACCTGCTTTTTATATCAGGATATATTCGGTATTTCTGGTTCATATTTCCCGACAAGAAGTCGAGGAAAATGCACTGAATCCTAATATCACCGGGGAAATGGGTCAATATACTTTTTACAGTGCTGTTTGCCTTGATGGCCCTTTGGCAAAAGCCGGAGTGTTCTGTGCGAAATGAGTGATCAATAAATTTTTTGCGCGAAGTTGATGACTGCATTATGTACATTCGAAGCGGCATGTGAAGTTTTAATTAAACGTTTTTGTTTTTCTTCGAAAACGAGGGGATTAATTTAAACACGGCGAAGTTTCTTTTTAATTTTGTCACTAATAAATTCGCCACTGTGATTTTACCGACGTTTTAATCGAACGGAATTATTCAATAACAGCTATTTTAATTACATTGATGGAAGTATCGCCAACTGCAAATACGTACACCAACTTTTTACTTTGGTTCCAATTAAATAGAAATGTTTTACACTAAAGCTTACAAAAACCTTTGAAGTTGATTTTATTAGTTCAATCTACCATCAAAAATGCAGCCCAAATTTCGAGCCCAGCACGTACTATTTACCTTTTTAACGCGATTGAGAAACCTACGGGTAAATATTAAAAAAGCCGGTAGATATCCGACCTATTAGATACAAATCGTTTCTTCCTTCTGATTGTTTCGCGGTGGAAATGTCCGCAAAATTTTATCCGCGATGAGCAATCGCCGGGATCATATTTCACGCGGGAATGGATGTTTTGGAAAAACTATTTTAGATAGAAATCCGTGAAACTATTTTTTATTCATCGTCTCGGCTGCATTTCGATACAAGCAATTTCCGGAAAAATCGTATGCGAAAACCCTAACGTGTCAAGATAATAAAAAGTCTTTAATTTAATGGTTCCGGCTTGCGAGCTTGCAATTAAGATAAGAATAATCGCCAAAAAGCGATACGGAATTTATTTCTCTATTCCTTTTGTTTCTAGGACGGTCCGAAAGATACATTAAGACTGAGAAAAAAATATAATTTATAATTTAAGGTTCGTCTTTTCGTAGATAATATTTTACTGTAATTTATGTTTCATTACCTTCATAAAGCGTACCTGATAAAATTTATTAAATTATGTAACTTACGCCCATACGTGATCTAAATATATTCAAAAGTATTATTACAATTAAGCCGCAAATGTTTCCGTTAGTAAATTTTATTTTTAGTTTATGTACATTGAGAATCAAATTTATTCCAGATGATTTCAATTATTTTTAACAGTCTATATATTATTCATCGTAACATCGCCAATTATAATTGATGTACACTCCCATAATATTTAATTGTGTCTGTTCAATTACGTGCATTGATTAAATGATATTATTATTTTTAACTATAATTTGTTTATATTACCTTATAATGCATGATTAACGATAATTTTGTATGGAACAATCTATATGGAGCACCCTATACTTTAGTATGTTTGAAAACTTTTTATTAATTGACGAATTTTGTTTATTCACAGAAAATTATTGGGTATTTTTTGTATACTTTTTAATAAGAAATTTACCGTGGTAAAATTTTGAACTGCAATTCCATGAATATTGTCTATTAAAAATCTGGAGAGACACCTGAGTCACCTGAGTTTTACGTTTACTTGAAATAAACTCGAAACTTTGCAACTTTGTTGACTGTTATAAAACGGTGTTAGCTTGTACTTAGTCGCTTTGAGTTTATATTAAATTTTTGCTAAGATCTCATTGGTTTATATTAAAAAATATTACCGGCTAAATATAATATACGAAAAGGAAGATTTTTAAATGTCGAGCACCAGTCAGTCATTCGAAAGGTGAGAGAGAAATCAATGGAATGTTTAATTTCCTCGCCTAAAAATGCTTTCCTTACGCCGTCACAAAATGGAGTTTTTGGGAGTTTTCGAAATGAATAATGCATGATTTAGCGAAGCGGTATGAAAAAATTGATTAAATAACCAAATATCGCGTCTTCACCAGACTAATTATTTTTCAATTCGATAATTTATGAAGATTTCAACGCCTTTTCTTCGAAATCTAATCATTATATTTTCACAGATCTGTAAATAGACATTGTTAACGTGTGGGACTTTGAATCACGGGGGATTGCATCTGTTCACTGTTTGGTTTTCAACATTTATGATGCTAAAAATAAAAGAAACTCGCCGTCACCGTCTAAACGTTGATGCCTATACGTTTCGTTTTCTCAGAAACAATTTTTTTAGATCCAACAGCCAAAAAGTCTTTTTTACGTTCAACTGAAAGCGATTTTGTAAATACAATTTCACTTCGATTGATCGAATCGAACTGATTGAACTAATTTCTCGTTCGTTCCAATCTTTTCAAATTCCTTTTCGATGGGTATTTAATCTATTTACGTTAGTTTCTTGCCGTTCTTAATGTGCAATTCGCATTATATCGAATGAACTTTTTCTCATTCCTTCAAGATTGAAATTTCAGATAATAATTACGTACTTGTATATACATGTATGGAATAAAAAGCATTACTGTGATGGCGCAGTCGTAATTTCGAGCAAAAATTGCTCCTTTTTTGAAATTGTACAAACCATTTTCAACTCGATTTCTGCTCGAAAATCGCCGACAATAACAGTAACCTCACGTTAGTTATTTACGATTATTACTGAGAACGTAACCAGTGGTCGTGTAACGTTCTGAGATTCATACAATTATTATACTTAAGATTATTTAATAAACATGTTTCTATATAATATTTCACTCGATGTATTCCACCCATTTTTCTCTATAATGATTATTACTTTATTTATCAACTGGAAATAATTCTGCAAAATTAAGCAGTCATAATCAGGCTTTTGCCTTCAAATATCTCCAAAAATATCCCTTCCTTCAATGCCGGTAATATTCAAAACATTCCTAATTAAATTTCCCCAAAAAATTCGATTAAACCTACTAATGATTCCTCCTCCTCCGCCGTTTCTCGGAAATTCCGAGTAGGTGGGTAGTTTTTATAAGGCTACTCATCTTTTCATCGTGTCATCCCCGTAAAATCCATCCGCCATCGTCTTAACGACGCGCACAGGCTGTCAGTCTTTCTCTTCCTCGTCGTCACTTCGTTTATTATTCCAGCAGATTTGCATATTACGTATTCATACTTTTTCTTCATCTCTATTTTAATAACTGGCGACGGGTTTTAGTGAGCGCGATACAATCGAGTGCGGATTTTCTTTTTTTTTTATTTAATCCTCTTTGGGTGGAAAATTGAGTATTTTGGTCGCATAAATAGCTCTTTCCTTTCAATAGGCAATTATCTATTTTGGATAGTTTCATGAGAAGCTATTGTCTACTTAAGAAAGCTGTTTATTTAACCAAGAGATTCATTGTCTATGCAAGAGAATCAATTATCTGTCCATCAAGAGAGTCAATTTTGTAACCAAACGAGTCAATTATCTACCAAAGAGAGTTCATAATCTAACCAAGAGAGTCAATTAATCTACCCACTAGGTAAATTAGGATACATTTGGCAATTACTGGAGACAGTGAGAGGAAAGAGTAGGAACGCGTATGAAAAATAAGGAAAATGAAACCTCCCCTACTAATGAGGATCTGGCACCGCATTGCGATTTAAAAATTAAATTATTTCACGAGAAAAGGCTCACTTCAATGGCTTGGGCACTTTGCAAACATCGCTTGCTTCTGAATGAACATCGAATCAATTTTCAGTAATGAACCTTTTTATTGGCGTTCTGGCCAATTATGCGCTGTCGTATTTTCGCGAAATATCCTTCGAGACACATTCCGCTTAAGTTTTTATGAAAACGGATAAAAGCCTCTAAACGATCGAAGGGAATTAGAAAATATAATATACGGTAGGTCGAAGAAACTCGTTCGTGGAATTATTTGAATCAAAGCACGTATAAAAATTTTCGCTCATCGAATACTCCAAGAAATTCATCCTATTATCCTCAATACTCATACATTTATCATCATACATCATCATAAAAATGCTGCATCAGATGGGTAGGTATGTAATGAATTTAAAATGCAATAAAGGTACCTCTGGCATTGCATTTTACAACGTCAGCGATATTTCTTTGATGTCTGCGTACGTATCCATCCATATTATCGGTGGAAGATGTGCCTTGAGAAGCGAGTCGCAAGGCTGGATGTAACTTGCATAAGAGCCAACTTTGCTGCCTTGTCATTACAGTTGACAGAACGGCGAGAGATGGTTTTGTATTTATGTTCATGCGGAAACGGTTGTTAGTATTCTCTCGATGTAGCGTTTGCTGTCTGCCAAAATTTTCTCAGGAAACTTCGCCGAATTAGAATTCCACCGGAAAGGTTTTAAATTGTTTCGCTGGCGGTCGGTCTCTTCGCGAATGCGGACGGCTCCGCTCCGAATTAACTATGCAAATTGACATGAATTTTTCAAATCACGGAGATTTCAATATAAATTTATACGTGTTTGCTAATTTCATCAGCGGGACGATTTTTGTTGCCAAACTCACCTGCGAAGTACCGCGAGCTCGAAATTTCTTAATGAAATGGGTGGGAAACTTTTGAAATTTTATCGTCATTATTATAACGTTCCCTTTGTCGTTGGGACTTTCGTTCAAGTTGGTCGATTGTCAAGGTTAAGCAGCAATGGTATAGTCAATAGGAATGCTTTCTATAGGTCAGGTCAATAACACGTCGGGTGCATGAACACTCTCAGTACGAATTTCCATTCCATTTATGAAACGAATACGAATATTCATGCAGACGTAGCCAATTTATAACGCATTACAACTTACCGAGTTATTCTAGGGTATCCATTGTCTTTTGTAGCATCTACTATTCATAATTAATTAAAAAAAAATAAAGGATCGTAAAAATAATACAAACCCACAGGTTTAATTCACTCAACAACACATCATTAAAGCACTAATTTATTCATCGATAAATATTAAATGAAGCCTCCATTAAACCGGCGCGGTTACAACGAAATTATTGCTTTTTCTTTTCATATTTTCTTTTCATTAACTTTAGAACGAGTGCCTCGTTTCATAATTGCGATGCAGATAGCACTCGAAACTTGGCAACAAAACACCGGTTAGGAAAACGCCGCGGAAAAGCGAAAAATCTGATATAGTGGCGATATTTCTTTTTGCCCGTTTAATAGGCACGTTGTTCAGAGACAGACAAATAACTGAGTACTGTCTGTAAATTTCGTATAGGCTCAATTAAAAGCATTTAAATAAGAGACATGAGCGTATCGGTCGGTTTTTTTTAACGAGACTCATTAAATAACTGTTTAAATTTGGTTAAATATGTCGAGGGACATAAACATTTTAAATCGATAAATTGGTGATGCTAGAGCTAACTTTTAACCATTGGAAATGTATAAATAGAATTAGTAAACTAAAGATTATTATAATATGTAAAACATGTTTATCCATAGGTGGTAGTTAAGAGTGTATAATTGTTTAATAAGCTCTTATTTGTTATTAAACTTTTTAATAGATTTATTTACATTTTTGTTAGGAAATACCAGTACTGATTAATTTTGTACTTTTTAATTAATCAACTAATTAAATGTTGCAAGTATTCTATATTAGTATATGTTATGATACGAACACTCACTTCCTATTAAATTAAATTAGTAGAAACTTAGCCGTTTCTTAGCCTATTCTAAACACTTCTAGGTTTTAGATACCCCTGTAATATATAAAAATCCTTACGATCCCACTTAGTATTCGAATGCATTAGTAAACATTTACAACGTAAATTTGCGTCTGCCGCACTCGGAATCTCTTTAAACTTTCAAAGACATTTTAACAATATATCGTCTACAGAGACAATCTGAATTTCCTCTTAGCAGTCCCATTTTATGGGCAGTTATATTAAATTTAGACAAACGAGCTGAACAAACCGTCATCCAGCACTGTGTAAATCCTGCTACATTTGTCGGATCGTTTTAAATATAATAAAATTCGTATTTTTTCTATGCAGACGCTCGCTAGGTCAAGATTTTATTATAATAGGCGAATGTCCGAATGATATATTTTCGAATTAATTTAGGCTGGATATTTGCACGGGAAATTTATTCACTTATTTGTGTTACAAAAGAGTTGTTGAAGTGATTTGGTGCAATTACAATTAAAACTATATTATTTACCGACAAATTATTATTCTAATTTATTCAATATAGAGGCTAATAAGCGGAGTGTTGCTTAGGAAATAAAGAAGTAATTTTTGGCGTGTCGCATAACATGAGATTGGCCTAGGTTTATAACGCCGTTAAAAGATATTGCGAAGAGACTCCTTGCCAAAAGGGAGCAACGACCTGAAAGGGCTCGCCTGTTTTATGCGATATCCGGATAGATTGATCTTAAGTAGCCGGGTTATATATTAAAGTAAGATGGATATGTAAATTTTACTACTGGCCTTAGAAGGCATAAAAAATATTCGTATGAATTATGTGGCGAAGAATGCAAACGGAAGGTTTAATAATGCTATTTGTATACGAGGAATTCTCCCGTTCCGCCGCCCGAATTCCGGCAATACAATGTTTTCTAAAATATTTGATTTTTGCCGGGGCGTTCTTGAATTATACCTGCGTTGTTATCGCAAATTGTTACTACAGATTCTAAATTACCACGTACCAGGAATTTTTAGAATCGTACCTGGAAGATTAATTAATTTACTCGTTACAGCGCGATGAAAATTCTCCTGGCTAAGCTGCCGAGGCCTTGGATAGTCGACGAGAAAAAAGACGATGGTTACACGGCTCTTCACTTGGCAGCACTAAACAATCATGTCGAAGTCGCCGAGCAGCTAGTCCTTAACGGAAAAGCCAATATGGACCTTCAGAATGTTAATTTACAAACCGCCCTACATCTCGCCGTAGAAAGGCAGCACACGCAAATAGTTAGAGTGAGTATCATTACTATCAGTACATCGAGCTTCTAAAATTTCATTCGCTCAATTCGAACCGTTTTTGCCCGCGATTCGCCCCGTCTACTTCCCCCTTACGCCGCCATATTTCTTCGATGAATTCGAAATTATTTCGAATTAGAATTACCGCTCTGGCTACGTAATTGTTTTCGCTTAGCATAATTAAATTTCCAGCTTCTGGTGAGGGAAGGTGCCAATCTGAATATCGCCGACAAGGACGGCGATACGCCCTTGCACGAGGCGTTGCGTCACCACACCATTTCGCAGCTCCGCCAACTCCAAGATGTGCAAGATGTCGGAAAACTGCTGATGGGATTAGGAGCGCAGGGATCCGACAAAAAATCCTCGGCGAGCATCGCCTGTTATTTGGCGGGTAAATAATGTTCAGCTCTTTCGAATCGATTGGTGTTATATTCGAAGCGGTTCGTTTCTGTTGCAGGAAACGGGGCAGATTTGACTATTAAGAATAAAAAGGGCCAGACGCCTTTGGATCTCTGTCCCGATCCGAATTTGTGCAGAACGTTGGCGAAATGCCACAAGGAGAAGCAAAGCGGGGAGATGGACATGGGGCCTCATCAAAATACTCAAAACGTACAAATCGGCGCCTCCTACGAGGAATGCCACGTGTGTTCGGACGCCAAAAAGAACACTTTATTCCTGCCCTGCGCCCACGTTACCTGCTGCTCCAGCTGCGCGCCTCGAGTGAAGAAATGCCTCATTTGCAGGGAATCCATCACTCAACGAATCAAGGTACTCCACTCGCTCGCCTCGACGAAACGATTCACGTGCGATGATTTCCAGATCGAAGAGTGCCTCGTTTGCTCGGACAAGAAGGCTTCGGTGCTGTTCAAGCCGTGCGATCACGTTTGCGTGTGCGTCCACTGTTCGCAGATCGTGAAGAAATGCCTGAAGTGCCGGTCGCCGATCGAGCAAATGGTGTCGACGCTGTGCGGCGGGACGCTGCCGACGATCACGGAAATCGAGGCGGACGTCGAGAGCATCGCGAAGCCGTCGACCAGCGAAACGTCGGCCAACATGCAGGCGCCGTTGATGAACAACGGCGGTCGGGATACGACTAATACCAACGATATTCAAAAATTGCAGCAGCAGCTGCAGGATATTAAGGAGCAGGTTCGTATGTCGCTGGAAAGTTATTGAATCGATTGATGCATTGGTTTTGGTTGTTTGCAGACGATGTGCCCGGTGTGCCTGGATAGGCTGAAGAATATGATCTTCCTGTGCGGTCATGGGCTTTGCCAAATGTGCGGAGACCAAATGAAGGAATGTCCGATTTGTAGGAAAGCTGTTGAAAAAAGGATTTTGTTGTATTAGCGTTTTTTATCAGGTTAGTTGTAAGTTTGTTTCTTTGAAGGTACGTTTGCGCAGCCATTTTGAAAACCTGATGAGTACTTTGGTTGAAACAAACCTATTGGAAACATTTGATAGCTAACTCTTTGAATATTGCAAAAGTTTTGATTTAGAGGTAGGTTTAATTAGACTATTAAATAAATCGATTTGAACTGTATAATAATTAAACCGATACACCTATAGAAGGTATGTATGTTTATAACTTTTTTAAAATAATACATTAGAGTTAGCGTAGGTACACAAACAATCAAATGCTTGCATACGCATAGAACAATTGATAATTTCACTTGATAAAGTTAAATGTAGATTTTGTATTCCTCATAAAAATAAAAGTAAAACATGTATTTTACTGTATATGTCATTCATATTAATATAATTAATTTTGTTGGTTTACTAAAACTGGTATTTTGTAGTAAGAACATCGAGATTATGAATCTATAGTTTGTGTAAGTACCTATGTAATTGTAACTATCTAGCAAATACAAGAAAGCCTGTTAAATTAATATTATAATACTCTACTGTAGCTATTTTTATATTAATACGAGTAGAATTGGGCATAGTTTTTCAGTTAAATACGCTCGTATTTAATACATTGTTTCGACTTTATACTTTACTTCTCTGCAACAAGTCTTATTTAGTGCGTAATAAATATTATTTAACGAGCATTTTTTGCTCCAGAATCTGAGCAATATTTTTTATCGCAGGCTTTTTATGTAACATATAAGTAGGTGAACGCCTAATTTTTATCTTCCACTCGAGTAACTTTATAAAGTAACGTTTAAAAATGTATAGGTATTTATATAATTATATTATTTATAGTTGAATCTGTTATTAAATTTATTTAATGCACAATATTTTACCTGTGTATTATTAGTGGCTCTCGAGAGATTTTTATTAAGATTTACAATTTGTTTTATATTGGTTAATCAAAATAAAAATTCAACAACAGTGCTGTTTTAAAATATAAATTGATGAAACTAGTAATTTTTGTATTTTAAAATTTTTGAATTAACTGTATTCATAATACGTTGAAGGCATTCTTCTAATTGACATGAAGGGTCATGAAACAATTATTTTTCAATGTTCCATGTATTGACAAATTTGACATGACATATGACATTGACGTGACATATGTCATAAATTGTAGGTTATGTTATGAACCAACTTATTTAATTTCCTTAATTTCCTTTAATAATTCTATATTAATCTAACATTGAGAGGTACAAAATGAGTAACACTACAGAGAAGGCTCTAAATTTACTCCGTTACCTACCAAGAGTCTGTATTTCTAATATTAGGGATAACCCCGGAGCCCACAAGGTAAGACAAATTATGAAAATGCTAAATTATAAACTAAAACAAATCTTGCGCTGTTTATGTTATGTAGCAAGCTAGAAGAGGGCGAGGTCAACATGGTGGTGATTACCATGGTGCTGGTAACAAAGGCGCCAAGGCAAGACAAAGTTACACTCGATTGGGTTACGAGATGGGCAACAATCCTTTCTATTTGCGTTTCCCATTTGAACCGTACTATAAAGGACACCAGTAAGAATTATCCTTAATTTTTAATGTTTCAATTGTCGCTAAACGAATTTTATTGCAGCCTGAAGAGACAATATCCTCCAGTATCCCTCTTAAATTTGCAAAAACTAATAGATACTAATCGTATTGATACGACGAAACCGATAGATCTAGTAGCAATAATGAACACAGGCCTGTTTAGATTGTATCCTGATCAACAGCATTTCGGTTTTCAACTCACCGATGAAGGCGCAGACATCTTTTCTGCTAAAATTAATTTAGAAATTCAGTGGACCTCCGAACCCGTCATAGCTGCTATAGAAAGAGCTGGAGGCTTCGTAACAACAGCCTACTATGATGCGCAGAGCTTGCACGCTATGATTAACACAAAAAAGTTTTTTGAAAGAGGTATAATAACGATTTTGTTGATTATCTGCATCTCGTTATTTTATCGAAATAATATTTTTAGGAATACCCATTCCTCGAAGAATGATGCCGCCCCCAGATGCGATAGAGTATTACTCGAATCCGGCTAACAGAGGTTACTTATCGGACCCTGAAAAAATTTCCAAAGAGCGCTTAGTTTTAGCTCAAAAGTATGGATACACTTTACCCAAATTAGATGATCAAATTTTAGAAATGTTGAAAGAAAGGAAGGACCCTAGGCAGATATTTTATGGTTTACATCCCGGATGGGTCGTGAATTTGACGGACAAGGTCATTTTGAAACCCTTGGATGAGGAGCTCAAGGAATATTATGCTTCCTAGGTTATTTTATAGGTGTAGTTTTGATATGAAATGGAATTTTGTATTATTGATCATTATTGATTATTGAGCCTGTAAGTGGATTATTCTCGATTTGCATCTTTTCATCCTAATTTGAAATTAAGATTCTTCCCAAAGAGATCAAATTATTTTATAAGCAAACAACTTTGCAAATTTTTATTCAAGTAGATTTAATTAGAAAATTAAAAGTCTATGCTTAACGGAAAAATATATTATAAATCAAATTAATAGCGGCAATAGCAACGAAAATTTACTACAATCAAGCCAATTAATTATTGCTTTACTTTCCTCTTTTGTAATAAACAATCCAAGTAATGAATTCAACATTATCAATACGAAATATCAATGTTTTATTTGCTCGATTTTACGCTACCCGTTAAGGAGGTTAAAGAAAGTTAATTACCGTTTAGTAAGGTACATTAAAGTAATAATTTATTGTATAACCAATTTACAATTAAAAAATATAATATTTATTTACAACAGTAAATTTTCGCTACTGGTACTTAAATTAGGCAAAGATTTAAAAACACAGCTCCTATTTTTCACTATTTCAGTCTTTAAAGAATTTTGTAGCGAATATTTTTTTCTACTACTAGAAGGGCACTCGATGTCTAACGCTAGTATGTTACTTCTAGATAAATCGGGCGAATCCTTATTTGAGCTTTTTTCGTTTTTCGGTGTTTCACAAAGGTCCTCCACGTGCACATCGGCTTTTTGAATCGACGATGCGCTACTTCTGCAACACTTTACCTAAAAAACAAGTTCAAATCCAAAAATTAGGACAGTTGGTCACTATGAATTGTACGAGGGATGTTTCCAAAGTTATCGGAATTGTGCTCTAGATAAATTACGCAGAACTTTGGAAACATCCCTCGTATATCAATGAATAGTTTATTGTACGTTGATTATCATACAATATTTTTTTTGGCAAATATATAGAGTGTATTAGAATATCTAGCTTTAGTAAAATTCAATAGAAAACTAGAACAGTTTTTCGTCTTGGAATTTTCCGATATTTGCCGAAAGGTAACTTTCATAATATTTGCGAAAAACCAATAATTAACACCTGCAAAAAGCGAGTCCGCCGTTTCGTAGAGGCTAAATTTAAACAACATTTGTGTGTTTATTAAAAACGTAACCAACCAAAATATACTGCTCCACAAAAGTTAAGGAAATTCACAAATATTGAGATTAATTTAAAAGTTGCAGGTTTTTTGATCGCCAAATTTAGTATAAGTTGTAGAGGTAGGAGCAAAAATTCCTCTTAGATATGAGAGAAAACATTTAATTTCGCATATTTGAAAATTTGGTGATCAAAAATTCTGTAAATAATCGCAAAATTTGCGAACTTCCTTAACTTTTGTGGAGCAGTTTATTTATATTACACACGTTCTTCCCGACCTTAAAACATTTGTTATTGAAAAATATTTAAATTATATTCCAACACTACAAGACGGCAAACGAACGGTGACGCAAACAACGTTATCCAGCTTATCTCGATTTTTTTTTGAGCGCGTTCGATTCTACTCTCGACAAAGTTCATAGCAATTAAAATAGGAGAGATTTCGCGTTCCTATAACGTACCTTACATTCGTTTTCGAAGACGTAACACATCTGCATTTCGCTTTGGGAATTCGAATTCGTTATCGACGACGGTTGATTATATTCCGCTACTGTGACTATCTGAGTCGGAACTTGGTGCTTAACGTCCCGTTGACAATACGGCGACGACGGCGGTGCGGCTTGCTTTTCAGGAGCGTTTTGTACGAGGATTATACTGGAATTCAATGCCGAACAATTATTAAAACCCCCGACTGAATTTGGGTCGATCGAATTAGAAAAGAAGCGAAACGAAAGCCAGATATTAATTATCCACAAATAGCTATTGTAAACGTAAACTTTCGTTTTCTCCAAATCTTCGTTTAGAATTTACCAGATATTTCGAAACGTTATTTATTAGGAAGTGGAATATTTGAGTTTATCTGCGGTGTCACGAGAAATTTTACGAACCGGTAGTAATCTTTTTGATTCGAAAAATTGCTATAAAGAGAGCATTTTACCACGTTTTCAGTTTACTGGAGTTATTTAAAGAATCTAAACTGGAAAAACCAATGTTTCGATATAAATTCATGATTCAATTAAGCGAGCATTTAAATATTATAATCTATTAGATATACAGAGTGAAGCATTAACCAAGCACTGTAGATCATTTACAATACATTACATTACACTGGCTCGCCCTGTATAATTGTAAGCAAACAATTTTCCACGATTACTCCAAGATTATTTATAGCAATTTTCATAATTAATCACCCTTTTGAAAGATAGCAAACCACAACAAAACATTCTATAAACGCGTATAAATTTTTAAAATCCAGCCTTGATGGAATAATCCAGCAATCATAAATTCTGTCGCCGATTATAAAGGATAGTGGTGTAATTTAAGGCCAATTGCCTTCTTGCCAAACATTCGAATCCAATAAACGTTTATCATAAAGATAAGAGAAATATATAACACATTCTTTACATTACCGATTGTGCGCTTTCCATCGGGAAAATAGATGTAAGTACTGCCTACATTGTATGTACATAAATACAACTCCCCCCGTCGATCCGACGGAAACGACCAGTAATTTGGTCCAAAAAGGCCAAGCTGAAAGAATCAATGGGTTTAAAAAAGTCCCAAACGCACGTAGATTAACCTACCTATCAGTCCTTTTCTCACTTCTTCGGCTGCTCGATCGATCAATACAAATAATGACCATATAACGCACACAGCCGCTACAAAATGGAAGAGAATGGCACAAAGGAGTCTTCTTCTTTCGACACTAGTCATTTCCAAAATCCGCCACTGAAATTTAAACATAGAAATTTGATTTTCATGTTAACATTTTTCGTTCGTGATGCTTAAAATGTTAATTATGTATCCCTAGAGAATCGACTTATTAAGGTAAGTAATTATTAATATTTTATGAGATAAAAAAATTGCAGACAAATTGAATCATTCAATAAAAATATGCACGGAATAGTACGTAATTATAGTAATAGTTCCGATTTGTCAATAGTTATAAATTTAATTAAATCTGCAAAAACATCAATCATCAATCTAATAGTCGCTAAGTAATCCAATAAACGTTTTATTTATGCGACAGTAAATAGGAAATATCAGAATTTCGTAGAAATTCGATAAAGAATTTCATCGAAATTACCTTTATTAAACGCAGAAAATATAAATATATACAAATATTATTTATTAGTGGTTTAACTACATATGATCCAAATACCAGTAATTGGGATTCTTGAAACAAATAAAGGCAACAAAATTCTCGAGTACATAATTTTTATTTTCTGAATTTCCTCAGTTAATTATATCTCCATTTAATAAGTGTTTTAAGTGTATTTTAGGTATCTTACATAAAAAAGTTGAATTAGTAACAGTGACGTCTTAATTTTTGGCAACAAAATGCCTAATCGAAAACAAAACTGCCAACTTTTACGTGTAGGTAATACTTTATTTTTCAATTCCTTTAATCATATTAATCAACTAATTAGTTTATCTATTCAAGTATAATGCAGAAAAGCAATCATGAACAATTTCATTAACATTAGTATCGATTTCAAGAATAAAATATGAAAGCTTGCGTTTCAACACTACTTGTACCTATTTTTTCCATAATTTTTTTAACACCATTCTACGTTTCGTATGTTTCATACAATTTAAAATTAAAAAAAATATATATTCTGTTAGAGGAATGCAATTATTTATATTTAAAATCAACATTAACGCTTCACTTCTATAATTAGGAATGATAACAGCTACCTGCGTCTTTACCTGATATACTGAAAATTGTTTACAACAATTTTGCCGGTAATTATTGGATCAAATAACTTTTATAAAAAAAATTTAAATGCTTCGCATATTTGAAAATGTGAATACCATTACATTGTTTTATCGCTTGTTTTAAATAAGCCCTTTAATAAGCTCCGCATGTCACCAGTAAGTAAATATCCAGGTAAATATGTTCTATTTACCGGGTCGTTATATCTTTAATCACGTTTAAATAAGGTAAAATACCTTTTTACGTAAAAAAAATGAATTTAAAGTCAGTTAATACATTTCTAGTCTGGTCAAAGTATTAAAAGAATTCATAATAAAAAACGCGCATAAAATGACAATAAATTAGCAATATTTTTACTAATTATACGTAATAAATAGAATTAATATTCCACTAAAAGTTGTTCTAAATACATTTTTTTCTAAAAGCTCATGGAAAGTTTCTTTCTAAACTCATTTGCCCGCTGAAAGTTAATTTTTAGCACTTTCAACACTGCTAGAAGGTTGTTATGAACATAACTAAACAATTCTAATTTTTGGCAAGTGTCATTATTGACGTCAATTATTAGTTAAAATATATTATAAATCGAGATAAAAATGCGAATTATTTTAAATATTCCATATGTAAAACATTTTCATCGTGCTTGAAGAAAGCATTGCACTTGCGAAAAATGATTTTGCATTCTGGAATATTATTACAATAAATAATAACTTCTTATAAACAGCTAAGGGAAAAATGTATGTGATTAATTCGAGTTCACACAAAAACTTTATTGTTGTTCTCACAGTTATTTTGTTCAATAGGAATTTTAATTGTTCTGGTTTATAACTCAAAAAGAACTTATTCTATTGGGCGCATAAAAGGGTAAATGTAGTCCAGTTTTGCAATTTATACATCAATTTTCTATTAGTAAAATACAGTACTGTATATACGACTGTATAAAATACATTCAAGCCTGTTTGAAAAAATTTTCATAATTACCAAGAGGTCAAAGTTTAAAATTTTAGTTTGTCTAACGAACGCGGATGACCTACTAACAATAAAATTGGTAAAATGCAGCGAACGAAAGTCGAGTTGAAATCGACATAATACTAAATAATATAGTGAATTTATCAAAACCTTTTACCTACGTAATTTTATCAATACTACGAAACGTACATATTGTTGAAAGTAAATTACAAACATAATCTCCGGTGAACGAACAGGAATCAAGCGATAAAAAATTAGCGGTGAACCTAGGATAACGGTCGAAACATTGTCTCCATATATCATTATGAACTCCATCGAATGAATCTCATGTGATTACATGCAAAAGGTGAGTGAACGAAATTAAAATGAAAAATTGAGGCGAACCGCTATTAAAGTCTTATAAAATAACGGCAAATAAAACCTATGGAAAACGTGGCAAAATTAAATATTAAACTTCTGATATAACCGTCATAAAAACGTTTAGTTTTCCTTGGAAATTTTTAAGAAATTGATTTTTATCTCTCAACGTCTTAAAAGTACGCGCTAATCTTATGTAAATCACAACGATTTTATGGATAGATTAATTCTTTTCATCCGCAAAAATGTGTTAACTTGTTTTTTTAACACTCCAACCATTGGACAGCAGTTATATTAGATTGCTTCACAAACATGGATATAAAACATTTTTTAGAAGACTGTAAACATGTATTTATAAATAAATAACATACTATAAATTCAAATATTTTTTTTCAAGTAGGTACTAAGGCCTGAAACAACCTATTCGTTGTGCTTCAATAATAGACACACAAATAAGAATGCCCAAGTATAAGAAAAAAAATATATTTACCGTTTTTTTTAATATTTTTAGTGCAAAACATGCAATTTAGAATAATAAAGATGGACGTTACCGAACAAATATTAAATTATTAAAGCAAACAATACAACAATTACATGTGTCAATATATTTTTAGCAGGACGTGAACAAAATACGGAAATATCGTGCATTGGTTATGAAAAATGACAAAATTTTAAACGTAATTTTAAACACTCGAAGATTTTAGCAAAAATTCAACAAGTAGACATTAAATTCAGTAACTGTGAGTCAATATTTTAAATTATAGCGTAACTAATTAAAAATTTAATTGCTATGTTTTAATTGAAAACTTATTTACTTGGTGTATAACTACACAATTGTTAAGAATTGCCTATTTATAGGTCCCAGACTTTTATTTGCAAATGAAAGAAGTTCCAATACACTACATGTAAACTAATGTATTAACATAATAGCAAATTTAAATACTTATAGATGTACAAATTCTAATACTATAATTTTGTTAGTAGAACATTGTTTGTAAACAAAAATAAACCATAAGTAAAACTGTTGAAATAAAATGAAACTGAATATAGGCCAAGCAACTAAATATTTAAACCTAAAAAAACAGTTCCCGCTAGGATTGTTTAAACTAGTCCTTCATGAACCAAATGTGATCGCTTTGAAATTATTAAAACAACATTGTACTAATAAAACTTCAATTTAAGCAATAGGCTTGAATTAAATTACTGTCATTAAGAAAGCTATAAAATGTATAACATTCTAAAAACATAAAAATTTATAATCAATTGCAATATTAAATTTTTCAACCAACCACCAATATTATACTTTCATTCATACCTGTGCTAAAGTGAATTATATTTGCAAATGTTTAATAACATAATCTAATGATGCAAAGAACAAATTCAAATATGATCCTATTATTCTACAAAAAATAAATGCTTATATTGAATACAAAATGTGCTAAGCAGTGTTGGGTATAAAAAATAACATAACATAATCCAGTGTAAGATAAATATTTAAAATAAACTAAAACCTCATTATCTGTAAATATATTCAATTTAGTAACGTTTATTGGATTATTACAAAAAATATGTCTTTTCGATAGGGTTATAGAGTAGTGATAAGTGTATTCGAGTAGTGATTTCACAATTCGAAAAGTGTAAAATAAGTGTAGAAAGTAAAGTAAATCGAGCGTAATACAAAAACAATAGCTGGTGGAGTTTCTAAGAACAGGAAGTAAATAAAACGTGGAATTTAATTAAGTCGTCATTAATTAATTTAATTCACAGTTAGTTTAATTCATCCATAAACCCCGTGCAAATATGAGAGAACTAATCTAATCTAATCAAGGCAATGACTTGTGAATAAACCAAATATTCTAAGTACATTAGGCAAGTACACATTTCATTATTTACAAAGAATATGTAATTATTTTGGATCCTCCAGACTAGGTAACAAAATAGAGTGAGAATAAAATATTCAAAATCTTAAACTTCTCTTATTTCATTATCTAAAATTGAGTTGCAAAAATATTAAGTTGTTTGTATGAAAGTTTTGACTTTTATGATTTGAAAATACATATGTATTAAATCAACATAATATTATTAATCAACACATTAAATCCAGAATGTATATTTTCATTATTATTGAAAATACACATTTATATTTTAAAATTTGTACCCAGAATAGCTGCCTTGTTGAATGTTTATAAACTATTCTGTAGACTTTGGAAACAGTATGATATAGAATTCAATTTCAAAAATGAAACTAAAATTATATCTGATAATACTGATGTATGAACCAGAATGTAGTTTGAATTTTTTGTCAAGTTCTTTGATTTTCTAAATACGAATTCAGTCAAATTGCAATAAAAAACTGAAAAAAAAACTTACCTCCGAGAATGGCTTGATTTTTGTATGCAGGATAAAATTAAATTTGCATAATTCACAAGATCTTGTGTCCGATGCCGCTAGCCATTGCCTCAAGCAGGTTTGATGGACGTATTTCAGGCTTCCAGAACAATAACAAGGACTTAGCAAAGGATTGTCTGTGTCTGCTTCACAGTGGCATATTCGGCAAATGTCTCCAATTGAATTTGATAAATTCGAATTCGAATCCCAGTCTTGCGTTTTAACTGTGGTAGTAAACTCGGCCTTTGATACATTTCCGGGATTTTCTTTTACCTTGATGAATTGCTGTGGCATTGTCCTGAAGGCTTTTGGTATATCAACTTCTTGACAAGCAATAATTTTATCGCTGAGTTACATTAATATGTCGGTATTATGCACTGTCCCACTTTACATTGAAGACACCGAATCGAACATTTTTTGTAGAACATAAGTACTTGCGAAGTCTTGTCTTGAACTATTGAATTCAATATTCACTGTAATGTAATGTTCTCTCCTCTACTTGCTGTTGGTGTTCTTACATTTGTTTTGATTTTGACAGCACAACTGTTGACATTGACAGGTGTTTACATAACCGCGTTCGTTTGTTGTTCGAGTATTATCATATCGCATCAACAACAAGGACAAAGCATAAAGTTGAATTTCAAAAGAAACTATTATTTATATCATACGTTGCATTTTTTAAATGGTCTACCCTATTATGTAATATTGCTTGGTTAAATAAGAGTTAATTGTAAGTTAAATGTAATATTAAATATAGACTAAAACACAAACAACTAGGTTTCGTTATACAAACGAACGGATCAGTCCCACTACCTTAAAGTCATATGTTAAATGTCACATGTCAGTGCCAACTGTCAGTGTCAGTGAATTTAAAATACATTTCGGAGTGCATTTGCATTAATTAAATCCTTTACGATTTGTGATTATTAAAACTATAATATTGTAGTGAATTTGTCCGATATTGGCAAGGAACTTCAATAGTAAAGTAATCTATTTCGCACTTGATTGTAACTTATACGACGTTAATTCATAGATGGCGTAGAACCATTAGATGCACCTACCTACAATTTGTGTTTATTGATTTTCGCATAAGTATAAACACAATTTGCTAAATTGGATTTACAATTTCATTATTGTCCGGCAAGTAGAAGAAAGCGAGTTATAGACGTAAATTTGATCCTGTTCATTCAAAAAATTTTACATACAACCCGAAATGTCTGAAGAATTACGACGGAGGAACGTTGAAGGTGAAGCGGAACGAGTGAGTATAAATAAAAATATAAATATTATCTTTTTAAACATTTTATAATTGTATTTATTAAAACTTGTTGAGAAAACGTTTAGGTTTATTTAGCTTGGATGTGACATTTTCTGTTATGAACCTTCTTAGTTGGTTTATTTTTAATTATTACTGCATTTAAGAAGTACCTACGACAATAGTTTTAGCTGTAGCAATTAATAGTTCTAGCATTTTACCCTTGAAAATTGCATTTAATAGTATGCATAAAATATGCAATAATAAGGCATCATGTAATTATGAGTAATTACCTAGACTATAGGAAACACTGTTTTGTAAAATGATTACCCAGTTTTTCTAGAAAATGTTGATTATTATAATGGTTCAGTTTAGATAATATGTGCTAGATTATCTTACCATACTTTTTTTAATAATCAAGTAGAATTGAGTACCTACGTTTGATTATTTAGATTGCTATATTATTTGTATTTAAACATTTTCAGGAAATAAATTAGTTTCTGGTTCTATTTTTTAAAGAGTTACATGCAAGTTACATTATTTCAGAAAGTGAAGTATTGATAATTATCTAATTCAACCTATAAGCTGAATGTAATGTAAAAATTTTTACACAAACTCTATAAGAACTATTTGAATATATCTTTAAAAATTACTTAACATTTATCACCAGCCTCTTTTAATCTCGCTATTTATTTTTAAGATTGAGCAATCGAAATTGTGTTATCAAAATAATTAGTCTAAATTGTTGTGTACAACTTTTTTTAATTTTTATATTTCTCATAATTTCCCTACATCTTCATAAATACTGTTTGTATGTTACAAACAGGTGGCTATGTTTCTTCATTGTTATAGTCAAACAATTCGTTTTATCTATGCATAGAGAATCCATTGTGGATTCTGTGGATATTATTTGAATTTCTGTTCAATTGAAGAGTCACACAATAGAGTAGCCTTTACTGTATGATAGTCTATTCTTCATTTAAACATCTATTAAAGAAATAACGAAATATAATCTATAATTAAAATGATATAAAAATACATACAGAAATTAGTTAACTTATATTTTATTTAATATTGTCTGTATTTGTTATTAACTTCGTTTATATACCGAACAGGTTGAGCACAAATTGGTTAGAGCAGAATCCAACAGCAGTTCAGAGAATCTAGCATCTAACTTGAGAGACAGTGAGGTAAGCAAATAAAAATGGTAATTATTTTTTTTTATTGAAACGTGGAATTTTTAGATCGACAGCGAAGATGACAAAATTGGAAAAGGCATTGACTTATCGGGAAATATTCCATCTGGAACGAATAAGGCTCCGTTTTTCTTAGAAACTCTTTTGCAAGATTTACCAGACAGGTGGCGCAATTGGGTCGTGAGAGGAGTTTTCAGTTTTCTTATGCTCACATTTTTCTTGGTTGTAATATATGGTGGACCTCTTGCGCTTATGATTACTGTAAGCAACTTATATTTAATTTTATTGTCTGTTTTTCAATGAGTTTTTTTTATATTCTGCATTACAAATTACTTTAATTTAAATGTAATGCATATTCAAGGGAATGAATTAGTAATCCATTTGGTAAACAATGAAATAAATTGTGTTTTTAATCCGTACAATCGAAATAATAATTGACATTTGGTCACGGTTATGTTATGTGATTTTTGTATTAATTGAATTTTAAATAATATTAAATGTTTATTTCCAGTAGGTTTATTCAAGGTAGATAATTTTTGCATAGTTTGGCAGAATATCAGGAACCAGATGATTTTCTCACTGCAGATCTCCCATACAACTACAATCAAAACTGCAAAGTGCATTTTGATAATTACATAATTTAAACGATTTTTTGTACATTTGCAATTACATGTTATACATACAACGCGTTAATTAAATATTCATTTCGTTGTATAGTCATGCAATTATATTTTGACGTATCAAGTATCAACTAGTGGTTCATTAACATAATTAAATTCTGTAGAACAGGCTTATTATGGCTAATTACTGAATTCAATCTTCCAATTTCCAGACTCTCATCGTGCAAGTGAAATGTTTTCAAGAAATCATCAACATTGGACATTCGGTGTACCGCATACACGGTCTTCCTTGGTTCCGATCCTTGTCCTGGTACTTCTTAATCACCTCGAATTATTTCTTCTACGGTGAGAGTCTCGTCGAAAAGTTCGGCGTGGTCATTAACAGAACGGTAAGCTCGCCCGATTCAATCGATAAAAACCCGATCGAAACGATTCGAATGTTTCAGGACTTCCTGCGCATCTTGGTCACCTACCATCGCTTCATATCGTTTTCCCTCTACTGCGGCGGATTCGTGCTGTTCGTACTGAGCTTGGTCAAAAAGTACTACATGAAGCAGTTCTCTCTGTTCGCCTGGACGCACGTGGCCCTCTTGATCGTCGTCACGCAATCGTACCTGATCATACAGAACATCTTCGAAGGGTTGATTTGGTTCATCGTGCCCGTCTCCATGATCATTTGCAACGATATCATGGCGTACGTGTTCGGTTTCTTCTTCGGCAAGACGCCCCTCATCAAGTTGTCCCCGAAGAAAACTTGGGAGGGTTTCATCGGCGGCGGTTTTTCGACCGTCGTCTTCGGATTTATGGTTTGTTCGACTGATATTTAACGCTGATATTTCGTTAATATCACCACGATTTGTAGATGTCTTACGTTATGTGCCAATATCCGTATTTCGTCTGTCCCATCGAATACAGCGAAGCCTTGGGTAGCATGACGATGGATTGCGAACCGAGCATACTGTTTAGATCTACCAATTATAAATTGCCGGACTTTTTGTCTGGTTTCCTAACGACGGTAAAATGTTCTTTATTTCTTATTAAAAAAAAATGTGTTTATTTTGTATGTTTGTAGCTCGGCTTCGCCGATAGCATATCGGTTTATCCGTTTATGCTGCACTCGCTGTCATTGTCAGTCTTCAGCAGCGTTATCGGACCGTTTGGGGGATTCTTTGCGTCTGGTTTCAAAAGAGCTTTCAAAATTAAGGTATGATGAATTAGATAAGGAAATCTGGTAACTTGGATTAGCTGCAGAGTAGATGAGAATAGCGTAGAATAGAGCAGAGTAGATTCAGAGCAGAACGGAGTATAGCAGAGTGTAGTAGAACTTTGCATGAGAAAGTTGAAAAATGATGTATTGGAATTTGTTTCGTAGGACTTTGGGGACGTTATACCGGGTCACGGTGGGATAATGGACCGTTTCGATTGTCAGTTTCTAATGGCGACGTTCGTGAACGTTTACATCAGCAGTTTCATTCAGCGGGACAGCCCGCAGAAGCTGCTGACCCAAGTGCTGTACTTGAAGCCGGAACAGCAGCTGCAACTGTTCCATTTGCTGAAGGAGAACTTGGAGTCGAGGCAAATTTTGGCGCCGCAGGTTTAAGTAAATCGCTCCGTTATCTGATTTTTTTTTTATTGAATATAATTTATTTGTGCCATGTGTTATATATTTATATTTGAAACATTTACTATTTATTTTTTGTTTTGTTATATTCTTAAATAATTTTTATTTATTGATCTCTAGTTTTATTGGTTCAGATTTTTTTACGAGATTAATGTAAATCGTAGCGTTTTAAATTTCTTTGCTTTGCTAATTGGGTATTTAAAAGAAGGTAATTGATTTATTTTAATTTATTTATGAATATCAAATTCATTCAAAGGTTTCATAAGGTATTAATCATTGTTAGTATGTAGTAACTACAGTTAACTGTATATTCTCTATTATTTTTTTTCAGGTTTTTCATTTAGTTACCTTCACATAAGTAATTTACTAAATCTTGTCCATTATTCAAACTTTAAAAAGTTGTTTTGAACGTTAAGCGCTTCCTCTTTATTCTATTTATTAACTAATACGAAATTGCAGTGATTTTTAACTTTAGAATTTATTTATATTATATTTTTGCCTCTTTTTCTCTTACAAGATGGCTTTGAACGACCCGTATGCTTTAATTGAATACTACTTTAGCTTTATTTTCTACTTAATTAAACGTAAGTAACAATTTACTACTAACATGCAAAGGTAGATTTATTAAAAATTTACTATTCGGTTGCATTTATTTTTCAAAGCGTTCCTACACGAGATACGCGCTTTGTAAAACTTACTAACAATACAATTTTAATATAATTTAGGTTGTGATAAATTTTATTGTTGTAATTTGCATAATTAAATCATGACATAATTGGAGAATATCTACGATAGGTGTTTGCTCATATCTTTTTATATTTGCTCACATATTCTCGCTTTAATCTTGTGTAAGTCGACCAAAGAAATTGTTTATTTCGAATTAATTAAGATTATATTTTATTAGGTTTTACGCAGTTTTTATAAACTATTGTTGCAGGGTTCATTTTCTTGCTGTTTATTTATTTTATAGATAGATGTAACTCGATACAAATTTTTAATCGGTGCAATTTTGGTACATATGAACTTTATTAGTGTACACTACAAATCATTTTTGCATATTTCATGTCAATTTCAGTTAAATGCTCTAATTATTTATTGGTATATGGAGGAGCTGAAGAATTTTTGCAGTGCGAAAATAATTGAATTTGATAAGATTGTATGTGATTTTCGGAGTACTTTATTCAACAAAATTATTGAATTACGGAGAATTTATAAAATTTTATATCACGAATTATATTTATTTGTGTGGGTACATTGGTGGAAGTTAGAGGTATTATTTCTAAGGCATTAATAGTGTTGTGATAATAATTTTGTTGTATTAACAGTTTTTTAAATTACCGTGTAACCTGTTATTGTTTTTACCTCAGTTGTCGGTGTAGTTTGTTTTGTGCTTGTCTTCCTAATTATCATTTTTTTTTGATATTTTGAAAGTATAGATTTGCTAGATGGTAATCGGTTCCATATCTAATTTAAAATAGCAATACACTGTGTATGTTAATCTAAAATTGAGCATTCCCGTTTTAGAGCAGTATTTTAAAAATGTCAAATTGAATGTTTATAGTGCCTTATGGATTACGTTTGAGACTAAAAAATAATTCAATCATTATTTTAACTGGATATACAGGGTTAGTGGTGTTTCATTAAAACTTTAAAAGGGTTATTCTAATTTTCTTATTGATTTTGGTAAAAATTAATAAACGTTTTTGTATAAATTTAGTGTTTAAAATTTGGGTTTTGTGATCTAGTTTGTTCTAGTTACATATCTTAATAAGCAGCACGATTTACAATGAATTTACAATTAAAAATCCATACGGCACTAAGTATTTGTAGAACCTTATATTTCTAAAGGAACGTTCACTTTTTAATAATACTTCTGAAGAGGTTTATTAGGTATTTTTACAGCAACTTTTGAACAATGACTGAATATTTGGAAAGATTGCATTACTAAAAATTATGGAAGAATTTTTTATAATGAGAAATCAATAAAAATATGTTGGTTACAGGACTGCAAAATCTTCCACTTTTACAAAAATAGAAACTCTTTAGATATTTATTAAAAATTCGAAACGTCCCTAATTCGTTATTGAACAGGTTTATGTAGTAATTATATATTTTATTATTCAGATTGCATTTATTGTTGTAAATAAAATGCGAAACCTTTAGAGTCGTTTAGACATGTATCCTAATATCGTATAATTTAAAGTAAATGTTAAAATAAATTTTAAAAGTACAATTATTTCGTTTCTGTGAATTTATTTACAATTTGGTGCAGAGAGGTTTAGCAAAAGCTCTAAATTCTAGGCGATATAAACCATTTCTATTTATTAATAGATGCATATTTAAAACGAAATTATACTTACATTATTTTAAATATCGGTTATCATCAAAAAGCAGTATATAAAAGGTCTGGAAACAGCCTATGATTTTGCATTAGAGAATTTTTCCCTTTATTTAAAGACTTTTTGAGATTCACTTTCGCGCCGCACCGTGGCGAACGATCGGAGGACCAACTTATCTCAGCCAATCAGCGCCGCGCTACATATAAATCGCGGTTGTGTTGTAAGATGACAGTTCGAGCTGTCAAAACTTCAAAAATTATTTTTTGACATTTCGAGCAGAAAATGGAGAAATACATTTACCGAAGATACGTGAGTCATGATGTTAACCACAAAATCATCGCTGATTTAAGTACATTTTTTTTCTACTTTTAGTATGAATAAAACCTTTCTTTCTAATTCTATATAATAATTTTATGCTCGTACGATACAACAGCGCCTCCTAGCGGTCGTTTTAGGAACCCTGTTTTATCTTCAAATAACGGGCCACTTTTTCGACCTTTGTTTCCAGACCTTAGAAATATACTACCGTTATTTTAAGTTACCGTCTTATTATAACAACAAAAATATAAAACGTAAACTTGATTTAAAATGTGCATTATTTCCATTGGATATCATTCTTATGTTAGAAATACTTCACAGGCAATTAGATCAGCATAACTCGCAAACAACGAGCCTTTTCCCACAAAAATCAAATCAAATAAATACAACAGATATTGATAATAAAATGATCAAAGATCAACTCTCGTCAGAGTACAAAGGCAACAACTGGGAAACCAAAACACATCCGTGTACAACCGATTCCCTTCGGCTTCCAAAGCGACCAGTCTCTTTTGCACGAACTTTTGTTCGCACCTGGAAGTGTATCCGTCCGGGATGCTACAAATCCCATCACAGGTTTGAGAACTGAAACAAACAGAGCACCATAAGCTGTCCCTACTCATTTTTAATCCAATCACTTACGCGCAAATTTCGGTTTTGACTAGCTGCGTCACCTTGGTGTCGATCTCCGGCATATTGGCCACGTACCTCCAATTACCTTTGTTGTTGAGGGCCGCTTTGGGTATGATGTACTGCGTTCTGACGGAGCAAATGGTCCGAGTATCCCTGGGAGATTGCCTCCTGACTCTGTTGGTAACGGTGCCGTTCGAGAACTTCGCGGAAACGGTTCTGGGCGCCCTGATGTATCTCAACGATCTCTTGAATCTTTGATGGTTTCTGCGTATCGATCTGTAATCAAACGATTAGTTTCTGGGCGCGAATTTAGGGTGTTTTAATGCACCTTTTCCACAAATTGTTGTACTGCCCGTACTGAGGCTGCTCCAAAATCTGCTGATAGGGCTGCTGCCAGGACCTCGGGGGCGGATAGTTCTTGTACTGGGCATCCGGGTATCCAGTGAAGTTTTGTTGGGGGTAATAATTCTGTGGCGGGTTGTAGTTGTAACCTAATAATGAAATAAACTTTACTCATTCTTCTCTAACTTTAATTCCACTTACCTTCTTCTTGGTAGGGATATTGCGGCTTTGGTATGTAAATGGGCTCCGGGTAGCCGTTTTGGTGAGTCCCTATATGCGGTGGGACCGGTTGATTGAAGCCCTTTTGATGGTTGTGGACATTTGGAGGCTGGTAATTTGGGGGGCCGTACACTGGGTTAATCGGGGGATAAAAGTAGGCGGAATAGTCCTCCTTCGATTCCGAACTGAACAACGTGGTGTGGTCGTATTTCCATTGTTTGACGAGATAAGTGATCACTTGTCTGCGTTAAGAAATATTTTTTAATCGTAGGAAGAAAGTTTGAATGTACAAGTTACCCTGGATAATGATCAGGATATTCGCAGTAGGTGTATCCTGGTCGGGCGCAATTGGGTGTTTTACCGGGAGGTGCTGGTAGATAATTGCATGGCTCAGCTCCGTAGGAATTCGAACAGAAAGAGCGAGTTGTTACTACTGTGTAACTTAACAACACAATCTAGGATAGAAACAAATATTAATAATAAAGAGAATAGTTAGTTTAAAAGTAGAACTATTAACCAAAATTTATTTATGTGCAAGAGAGAACCTTAGAGAATAATTATCATACTATTACTGCATTTATTTCAAATAATTCATTGCAATTATTTCATTAATAACTGCACGTGATTGTGTTTATCAATTTAATGCAAATGAAATTTTAAATTAATTATTAGTCGCCAAAATTTCGTGAATTCGATAATTGGGTCGCTAATGGAATTTAGTAAAGCGCAAATTTTGCATTAAAATTTAATAATTAGCAATAATTAAATTGAAATTGTTTTAGTTAAACTGCAATCAATTGCTGTAGTTCGATGAACCGTTTACGCAACAATACAAAAAGCTATTTGTACTGTAAGCGTCCATTTATTTAATTGAAATGTTAAATAAAATATAGAATCTCATTACGAATACAAAAGTGTAAAGCTCTAATGTGTTGCAATGAAGCAAAGTGTAATGAAATTTCTCAATGTAGGTACATAACTTACAAAAGGAAAAGAGACTGCCATATTTTATAATCAAACTTGTAGAAGAAATTAAATTCCTATTAAAAATAATTTAGGATGATTGCTATGATTTATTTGAACTGTTAAAAGACATCATCTTTAACACCAATAACATTTAATGAGCTCTATGTAACTCATCATAATAAAATTTACATATCGGAAATTTGGATTTATTAATAATAAAATATTTTCAACCACTCGTGTGAAAACTAATGAATGGATAATAATTATTATAACCTATTGAATAGGTGTAGTAATTTGAATAAGTATATGAATCATTTTTTATTTCGCAATAGATTTCTAATTGTAGCGATTCCTGCAGAGGACAGTTTGGTAATAGGAAATTTAAGTCGTAATGTTCGTCTGCAACGTATAAATTTAAAGAATAAATAAATTAGAAATCAATTTTTGCAGTCTACTCCTTTATCTACTATATCTTTTGTTCCATATAGTGGTTTCAGCTATGTAAACAAAATTCTGCAAGTTCCTCGAACTAATGTAAGAATTGGATATTTATAAGGGAAAGTAAACGTCTAATATGAGTGGAAAAACCTATATTTTTCAGATTTACTTTTCATGTTTACTGCGATTACGGAATATAAATTAACTTTCGCTCATGGTCCAATAATGGTCCAATTGTTATTACCTTAGTGGAATACCTGATGAGCATACAAATGTGTAATTATTGTATTTGAAAATATAATCCACAAAATACATTTTTGTAGTAGTATTTGCTCAATAAGTTTTTCCAATACTTCTCAATCGAGTTGTCAACAAATCGGTAAATTTGTTAAATAATAGGGTCACATTTTAGATTGAACAGTCGCGTGATAGAGTATTGAATTTCATCCAAAATAATGTAGCCACTTTTGCGTAATATTAATTTACGAGCTTTCTACTAATAAAAGTATCTTCCATCAACCTTTTTTTATCTCAACTTTATTCTTCTTCAACTTTCACATATTTTCTATCATTCCTAATTTTTATTATTGCCTATTATGTGTCGAATGATTAATTTGAGCAATTTTCGTGTCACTCTCAGTGCGTAGATATTAACACCAATTCCGGCTTCTTTACTGCGCTATTTTTCCAAAAAAAACGATAAAAACTCAAAATTTATAGCTAATTTATACGGGGTATATTGCGATTATAGTAATTTTTACGGTCAAAATAAGTTTATTTATTACCTTATTTTTAAAGAACAACAACGAAGATATATGTTTAATAAAAATGTTCATAAATGTTGCTATAAAAAATATTTTTCCGAAAAAAGCATTTAAAATTGATAAGTGCTTGTCTGTATAGGATTATAAACGATTAAAAAAATATAAACTATAAGACTATAAAAATTGTACTATTGAAAGTATTACTGTAAGAATCATTGATACTAAAACTTATTTATACCGATAATTATTAAATTATTTATACTATTGAAATTTGTATGAAACCTTAATTTATATATTTCCTAGATCTAAACAAGACTAGGATAGTTTACAAGCAATTCCAATTTTAGATGCATTTTTTTTCGAAAACCTGTGCTTTACAGTATTCTTTCCAAACAAAATCCACCAATTTTTCAATTTTATGATTTAGTACAAACTTATTTTAAAATAAAACATTTTCGTTAATTATCCCAAAAAGAAAACGAGCAGTTACCAAGCCACATCAACCAGATATATTATTAACATAATACAAAAAATCACTCTAAATTCAAACGAGTAGATCAATAGAAAGTGAAAAAAACTCACACTAATACAACGAACGTTCATCCTCATCTCGTAATAATAAGCTAAATAAAATCACTTCAACAATACAATTAACTCGTTAATTAACGACCGCTCATCCGCCGCACATTATCACTATATTATTCGTAACAATTAAAGAATTGACCTCGAGCACTGCACACCTCGTATCAAAATGTGTTCGATCATTTTACAAACTGTTCTAATGTGGCATGCAAAAGAGCCTGATTAAACTTCGGCGTGCCGAAGAACCTACTTTGTATATTAGGGGGCTCCGGGTCATCCCACGAATGCGGTTCCGCCGTCTATAGGCCGGCACTTTTGCCGTCGAAAGTGACAGGTGACTGGGTTACGGATTAATTTATTCGTTCGCTAGTTTATCTTCCGGTCCGATTGATGTAATTAATTCGTTTATTATAATGTATTATTCACTAAATTATAGGCATTGGGCGTTTGTCTTATACGGATCGTTCTAATTCGAACTACGAGATATTTCATTGATTTTTCAAATGTATCGAATGGAGCGAAATTCATCATGCCTGGTGTATAAGACAGTTTGCAAGGAGTATAATGCATTTATAATGAGGAAACTGGAAACTACATAAGGTACTGCCGAAAAATCCAGTTGAGGTTTCGGCTTTCGATTGGGTTCATTTGGAAAAAAATGGGGGTCACGAAAGTGCATGGTGAACATTGTGAAAGTAAGTACAAATACGAATGTTCTGAGAACAAAACAATACGATTCACCATATTCGGAATGATGAAGGTCAATGTTCAATTTCGTTGAATTATGAGAACAGTTTGTCATTTTAAATGGTGCGAGGATAAGAAATATGTACGTGGTTGTCCAAAAGTAACTCATCGAAAGTGAACACTTTTCTCTTGGCATATATTTTAATTTCAATTTACTTGTAGTTTCCTACAATCAGATACATTTTATAGGAATTCTATCAAAGGTATTTACAGTAACATATCTTCACTAACGTGAAATGAGAGCTGTTAATTGAAGCTTTAAACTTACTTATTGACACAATTATATTTTCTCTTTTCTCTATAATTTTTCTTAGCAGAGTAGATAGGTATAGTACTTAATAAAATATTGACACATCTTTGTCGAATGGCTCAAGTATGATTATCTGTAGCTTTCTATTAAAATGTACTTACTTTTAATTCTTGTGAAATTGCGCTTCCATTGTCATGGGTACATTAAACTCTGATAAGAGTAATGTAATGTATAGGTGAAATTTTGAGTAACTTTATTTAATTGACGTTCAATTCTAAATTTAGAGATGTTATATGGGTTGGTGTTTAATTCCTCTTGTAGTGGAGCAGAGCCTTCGATTAAACGACAATTTATTCATTAAAAATTCCTCTACCTCGTCCAAGGTGAGGGTGCTTTGTTCGATCCTAGAATAACGAATTAATTATGCGGTAGGCGTTTGATATATGAAATAATTCTAGGGAAAACAATTATAACTTAACCAATTAATTATAGTAATAGTTCGTAATGAACTTGACTACGTCAATTTGCTGACAGAAGATAGGAATCGACCTGTAGCTACTTAAAAAATAATAATTGTTACTTTATGATTTAGACCTACATAAATTGAATAAAAAAAATAGAAATATCTGCATATGTTATCACATCACACACCTATAAAAATATCCGGTACGTTCGTGTTTAGTTTTAGATTAATATCAATCTCGTCTCGCCAATTAATTAATAGAATGCGAGTAAATAATAAATTAGTATAAGTGATATAATAGGTATGTTATTTATAAATCAATCGATTAATTGCCCATTTATGTCAATTGTTATTAGAGTATGGAAAGAAACTTACCAAGAAAGCTGTAGAAAAAACATTGAAATTGTTACAACAAAGGCTTGTTTTATAGTTTTCACAATAAAGCCTTTTTAGCCTGCAACAAGACAGAAATAAGTTTAAATTTTTAAAGCCTTTTTGTTAACAAAGGTTCTAAAAACTAAAAACCTACTTTGTAAAGTGTTGCTCTCGTTTCAATTGCATAAGAACTGAAAACATTAATATTAATGATGGTATTAATTGAACCTTTGTTTCAAACACAATTTTCTTTTTCTCTAAATAATTACAACTTATAGAAAGCTATGTAACAACCATAATAGTAGAATGATCGCAATTATTGTAATAATATGTTAAGCTATTCATCTTTATTTTTTCCTAAAACAATAAATGGACCACTAAGCCTACAGTAATGTACTTTATGCAAATAAAACCGTTTGCTACATTTAAAAAATTACGGTAATCTTATTTATGCTGATTGTCTTTAAATTAAATTGTAACGCTCGATGAAGGCCAGTGCTTTGACAAGGTCGCGAGAATCACCGTGAAAGTTGCAAATTTAAAGGACGGAAGTTTTTGCGTGTCGTGACAAAAAATCGATGGTCTTCTAATTAATTCCGGCTTTTTGTCTAAATACCTCCATTCTCGAATCCATTGTTTCAAAAACTTATTTCTATTAGGTGTCCCAACTAACAATAAACTGATACTTCTGAAGTTGTAAATATTGCATTTTAAAGAAAGTTAAAGTTTAATAAAGTTGGATTGAATTAATTGGCTACTAGTCAGTACTGCTAATAAGAGTAGAGGACAGGTGTACATGTGTTAAAAGAGTTGCATAATCTGTAGTAAAATACTATTTGAATAGTATAACATTTTATAGGTAAAATTTATTTTTAAGTAGTACCTAGTATTTTTTAACAATTAATGAGAATTTAGAGAGCTATCTCTATGACTTAAACTGTTCCATCTTATTATCTTAAAAATCCCTATAACAAGACACAAGATGGCTTGAACCAGCCAGTTTCTTCTGGGTGGTCTTAAGACTTAAAAAAATACCTCAGAATGCGATGTTCACGTTCAACAAAATGTAAATGTTAAAAACTCGCTAGGTGATTGTTCGGCTACAAAGCTTATTGTTTATTCTATTAAATGTTAAGGCCACTAGGGCACCATCAAAATATGTAAGTATCGAATGTGTTATCTTCGAAGCGGTGCTGTTAACGTATTAATGTAACGAGTTTTCAAGGTCTCGGTAGCTGTAGTCCCCAATAGAGGTTCATTCAGTTACTGTGAATTTGTGAACGAGTGAATCGGTATTAAGTCTAGTCTAAAAATGATTCGTTCTGCTGTAAGTATACGGTTATTAACAGACCAACTATCAGTAAAAAATGGTACAGGTATAAATAGATAAACTCGAGTGTCTAGCAAACATGACAAAACTATGTGGGATGTCTGCATATTTACGTCAATAATTAGGAAATAGTAGATATTAATAGGTCGTCACATCATTATTATTTCATCAATCGTTTTTTCAATTTAAATAGAATTGTTTAAATATAGAATACAAACTCTTGTTTTTACATAAATAAAATCATTTCCATAGTTTATGAGCTAAATCAACTGATAATTCTACATATCTAGAATATCTAACAATAAGTGAAGTAAACAGATTAATTAACTTCTTTAATTTACTCATAAGACGTATTTTGGCCACGCTAATTTAAATTAAAAAAACAAGTTCCTTTAATATTAGCCAAATAATTACTAATCTGTTAAGTGTATCTGAAACAAATAAATTACCCAATATTATACTTACAAATCAATTGATATAAGAATTAGAAATAAATATTTCAACAAAAGCAGATTAGTTTTGTTGATAAAAATATTTATAAATTTGTGCAATCATTTCACAAAACTTTATGATACTTTTGGGAGAATGTTTTCTCTCTTACCCTTAAAGTTCTTAATTATATAAGAATATTTATTAAATGTACCGAAAATGTTGATTAAGAAAGAATTAACCTGCTCTTATCCTTATCAATTGTGTAAAAGTTATTATAAATCTCAGCTATTCTCATCGTTATGTGATAAAAATACATTTTATTATGTATTTTTTAATATTGCAGTATGATTAGCATACATTTAACAAGTTTATGTAATAGTTTAAATATTTTTGAGTACATACAGTATTTTTGTGCAATATTTCACTGGAAATAAATTGGTTATATCAAAATGTGTAAAATAATTAGTATTAATAATATTTTTCAATTTTTTGTTCTTGTATTGTTTCAATTGAGTGTTTTGAAGTAGAAAAATAAAACATAAAATAGGCCGTAGATTTATTTTAATTAATACGTTACTATTTATGTTTTTAATAACTGCAGGATGTGATGTTCAGAAATGTACTTAATGTTAACTTCCATTGTATTCAAAAATTATTAATTATAGTAATTAATTTACAAAAAATGTGTAATACAAATTATAGTTTGCGCATAAAGTAATGTTTTATAACAGTCAATTCTATTTAACAAACTGGAATTATCTGTCCTACACCAAGAAATTTTAAAAAAACCTCAATTTTTAGTCTTATTGTTGAAATTCAATCATCCTAACCTTTGACTTATTTCAATAATCAAGCAAACAATAATTTATTCACATCATTACGACATAACAGCAAAATTCTTACCTCGTACTAAAATTTTCTTTTAATATCATTTACTGCGAATCACAATAGAGTTTTTCTCTTCTCAAACTTAATTTTCTTCTATAAAATTTCAATATATTTTACAGTTTCCTCTCAGCTTGAATCTGCTAAAAAGAAATTATTCCAATGTGGCGCCGACGACGAAACTTTTCATAGACGGGCAATTCCTGGATTCACAAGCCACAGACTGGGTCGACCTGTACGATCCCGCCACAAACAATTTAGTCACAAAAGTACCAAAATGCACCCACAAAGAAATGGAAACCGCCGTGGAATCCAGCAGAAACGCCTTCCAATCATGGAGCAAAACATCTGTACTAACGAGGCAACAGCTCATGCTCAAACTCCAGGCTGTGATCAGAAGAGACATCAAGAAACTCGCTCAAAATATCACTTTAGAACAAGGAAAAACGCTGGCCGATGCCGAGGGCGATGTAATGAGAGGATTGCGTAAGTACATACTATTAATACTAATTAATGTATATTTCATTTAAAGATATTATTTTCAGAGGTGGTTGAACACAGTTGCTCAGCTGGAACGCTTTTGCTCGGCGAAACGCTACAAAACATCTCCAAAGACATGGACATTACAGCCTACAAACTACCTCTGGGAGTCACCGCTGGCATTTGCCCCTTCAATTTCCCAGCCATGATACCGCTTTGGATGTTTCCCATGGCGCTAATCGCGGGCAATACTATGGTGTTAAAGCCCTCTGAAAAGGACCCCGGAGCGACTATGCTAATCATGGAGCTCTTAAACGAAATCGGTTGTCCTCCCGGTGTAGTAAACGTGAGTTACAACACGCTCTGTAACTTCATATTCTAAGAAAATTCGGTTATTTTAGGTAATTCACGGTACACACGAAGCTGTTAATTTCATATGTGATAACAAAGACATCCGCGCCATCAGCTTCGTCGGATCCGATCAGGCGGGGAAATACATTTACTCCAGAGGCGCCGCCAACGGGAAGCGAGTCCAATCGAACATGGCGGCCAAAAATCACGCTGTAGTCCTGCCGGACGCCAACAAAAACGCTACCTTAGACCAAATAGCGGGCGCCGCGTTCGGAGCCGCCGGTCAAAGGTGCATGGCGCTCAGCGTCGCCGTTCTAGTAGGCGAAGCCAAGAACTGGATTCCCGATTTGGTGGAGAAAGCCAAGAAATTGAAGGTTACCGCCGGCCACGAACCCGGAGCCGACTTGGGACCTGTTATCTCCAAAGAATCCAAACAGAGGATCTTGCAACTCGTCGAATCCGGAATTAAAGAGGTGAGTACTCGTTACATCACCACTGATAGATTAATGGTATATTTCTTGTAGGGTGCCAAATGTCCGCTGGACGGAAGGAACATAAAAGTAGAAAAATACCCGAACGGCAACTTCGTAGGCCCGACGATCTTGACCGACGTTTCGCCCAGCCACACTTGCTACAAAGAGGAGATCTTCGGGCCGGTCTTGTGCGTGATGACGGCCGACACCTTGGAGGAAGCCATCGATCTGATCAATTCGAACCCTTACGGGAACGGCACCGCCGTGTTCACCACCAACGGCAGCCACGCCCGGCAATTCGTCAACGAAATCGACGTCGGCCAAGTCGGCGTCAACGTGCCCATTCCGGTGCCGCTGCCCATGTTCAGCTTCACCGGCTCCAGGGGCAGCTTCCACGGCGACCTGCATTTCTACGGCAAGCAGGGCCTCAATTTCTACACGCAAACCAAAACGGTCACGTCGCTGTGGAGGAAAGGGGACGCCGCCAAAACGGCGCCGTCGGTCTCCATGCCTGTACACAACTGAAAGTTTTGTATGAAATTAAGAGATATATTTCATTATTGTAAATAATATTAATATACACGAATATTTTTTATTACATTTAATCTAAGAAAATTGGAGGAATCTATAATAAATACGTTGACATAAACATAGTTAGATACTTATTTATTTCATTGACATAAATGGCAACAAAGTAGTAGAAGTAAAGACATCTATCAGTACTGAAGAATAGCTATTGTCATATAAATAAAATTAAATAACTTCATCAATTAAATTAGTCTCTCGTATCTACTTTCGTCTATCGCGCTCCTTCTCCTTCGCCTTTTCCCGTTCATCACCAGGGGCACCATCATCGCCATGGTGGCGGGTATGAGTCCGGCTCCCACGCCCGCTATGACGGCCCCGCTGTCGCTGCCGGTGCTCCTCGGCGCCGATTCCTGCGCCCTACGCACGTTCTTCCTCTTCTTCTTGTGCTGGCCGGGCCGCTTGCGCTTGTTCTTGAGCTTCTGCAGCTTGCTGAACTTCTGCTGGGCCTGCTCCACCGGCTCGAAGGTCGACTCGACCTGCAGCAGCCCGCCGTGAGAGGTGGTCATGTTGACGTTGGAGTCCTTGGAAGGCGGGAGCACGGTTAACTGGACGCTTTTGTGGGTGTTTATGTATTCCGGCACCATTTTCAGCGACCGCTGTTTCTTGGGGTACTTGTAGCCCTTGCTGGTGGAGAGGAGCACCCAGTTGCCGTCGCCCGCGAACGAGTGGGGCTCCGAGTGCAATTCCGTGCCGTGTCTCCGGTTGAAGTTGTTGTGGTTTGGCGGGAAATTCGGCGAATTGTTGTCCGTTATGATGTCCCGGTGGTCTTTCACGATAACGTTGTTGTGAAGTACCATATCTGATGTGTACGGTGAGTATGCAGGTCTTCTGTAGTTGAACGGTCTTTTGGTGAATTTGTTTTGGTCGAATTCGTCTGGATCGTAGATTTCGAGTTTGTTTTTGTGCGTTTGCCCGAATTTGTAGCGATTGAGAATGTTATTGGGTCTTACTGTACTGGTGCTAGGGAAATCGTCCACGTGCTCCCAATTGTTGTTGTTAGTAACAGGCTGTTGGTTCCAGGAGTATTCGTTCGGATGCGGTTTGCTTTGCCATTTGGAAATTTGCGATACAGACCAAGGAACCGGCTCCAGCGACACCCAGCCCATTTTATCATCATAAGGCGAACCGTACTGTTTCAAATCGAGCAAGTTACCGTTCTTTTTCCTCTTCTTTTCGTCGTCGTTGTAATCCGTCGGCGTAATTTCCGAAGAGGTGTCGTTCAAGCGGTTCTCGATCTTGTCCTTTCGCAGACCTTCGGCGTATTTCTCGAGGAAGTCCCGCAACGCCGTGGCGGAGAACTCGTTGTTTCTGTCGTCGGTGTCGGTGATCGAGGGATCGGGAGACGTGGGCTGATCGAAGCCGCCGATGGTCAATCTCTTGGGGGTTTTCTCGTCCCAAAGCGGATCGCCTTCGGTGATGGTGATGGGATCCAGTTCAGGAATGTCCATGCCGTAGGTTCTCGAGGTGGTGAACTCCGATTCGACGCCGGTCGCGAACGACGCGCCGACGATTAGCAGTAACATCGCAGGGAGCATTTTCTCGCGACAATTTCTTATCTCTGACTGAATTATTCACGGCCATCGTGTACTAGTAATATAAGTTTCCGCCACAATAAATTCAGATCTAGTCCAAGCTCCTTTCATTAATTCTTTTGGAAAAATGTCATAATTCTATCTTTGTTCCGTAAGTAGAAAGTATAAATATAATTAGACGTTATAAAAAGAATGAAGCGATATAAAGTACAACAATTTCTCTCGACCACAAAAGCGTGATATTTTCCGCTTTTATTACTGTTTAAATACAGGGTAATTATTAAACGCTATACTAAACAATGGGTATTCCTGTTTTGTATGCGAATGGTGATTTAATCGCTTATAGTTCATTAAAACGACGAAAACAACAGCAATTATGAAAATACATAGATTTTCTAGTTCATTTAACGTTTATTAAGCGTATAATGCGAAAATTACACTAGATAATGAATTTCGATAGTCAACCGTTTATCAAAAACATTTGTATCTAATTAAGTATATTGTTCAAAAATACCTTCCATAATAGTTTAACTATTTAATAAACTCCCGGAAAACTCTACAGTTTATGGATTAAATTGTTCCTTGATCACATTGTATAAATGTTCCTAATCAACAGATCACTTACATAGATTATTCTACATAGATACAACCATTCCTTGGTGGTATAATTTATGATTCTCGAGCGAAAACTGTGATAAGAATCGATAGCAATTTGTTAAATTAATTAAGCGTGCAATTAGCATTTTAATTGAAATAACGGCAAATTATTCTTCTCCCTAAAGTAAATTATACTACATTAGCACGTGCCTAATGAATTATTTAACTGTGAATTTAATATTTCCATTAAGTAAGATGAAATTCTTTTAACAGCTTAGGGAAATGATATGAAAAAAATGTGTTTGAAGAAAATAATTCAACAACTCATTAATTTTTGAAAAATATATTTATAAAAATATAAAAAAATTAATACTTTGTTTACATCAGTTCTGTACAAGTTTTGACAATTTATTTGAATAAATCTAATAATTTATACATGTCAGTAAAATTTGTAAGCTCAACCAAATTTTCATTACATGAAATTTGTTTTATTTATTTTTATCGCAAATCTTTGTTTTAATAATAATCGTTTTTAAAAGATGTAAACTAATAGGCAACAAGCAGATATTCGTCTTATTACAAATAATTTATTTGGTAAATATGTATTAATTTCTACACACATTTGGCACATACTTCAACTCGTATTTCAATATCCCATAATTGTAGGTATAATAATATTGTTAAACAACATTTATTTTGTTTAACTTATTACTCTAAATTCAGTCATACCTGTGTAACTTACGAGATACACAAAAAAGAGATATTTTACATTTTACAATTTAAATTTGGTAGTCTCTTAACATAACTGTAGAAACTTTAAAGAATGCTTATGGAAAATCCACAACGATATTAATTTAAAAAAACAGAAAGAATCAATCGGTTTAAACAAATAAATATTTTACATATAAGCATAATACTGTTTTGTATTATAAAGGAGCTTAATTTAGAAAAAAAAATAATTTAAAATTATGATTACAGAACTATTTTACAAACGTACATTTTTTTCTACGACCGCAATTACCGAAAAATAAAATCACATATATGTATTTCTAATAACAAACAAGGTAGCGTTTAAAATAAAACGGTGACATCACTAAATACTTCGGTGGAAGATCCAGTAATCAGTAATAAAAAGCAGGAGTCATTGTGGCAAAGTAGTAAGTTACAAGACACAAAAAATAAATCTTTAGATTGTGTTTTTTAATATCCCATAAAAAATGGTTAAAAATCAAGTTCGATTAAAAAAATACTAGATCAATTTTACAAATCGTGGGAATGTTTAATTAGGATTTTACTAATCACAAATTTACAACGTTTTACTCAATATCTCGACATTTAATTTCTACATCCTAAATCAATGGGAGAAAAAATAATACTACCTACCTATTTACAAAATAAAATAAAAAAAAAGGTAACTTAATATAGTCTTTGGTATCAGTGCATTTTAAAAACATTTCCATTTAGGTCCTCTGTTGAGCATTCAAGCTTCATCTGCTCTATTTATCAATCTTCTACTACGTGTTTATTCGATAATAACATTATTATCGATTACAATAGAATAAGACGTTATCAATAAAATCATTTACAACAATCTAAACCACTACATTCCTAAAAATTTCACCCAGATTACTAATCACTACACCTTAATAGGCGCTTGTGCCGTATTTTTTAAAAACGATATAGCCATGTGGCTCTTGCTCGGCTCCGGTTGCGTCTGTTGAGAATCTAAATTACTGTTATATTTACATTTCAACGTATCCCTGTACGCCACCCTGTACTGCTTGTTCATGGTAACATAAACCAGCGGGTTAACGCAGCTCGACGAATAAATCAGCAGGTAGCCCAAGACGTGTAGCGGCGCGTGATTCACATCGTTATCGAATATTTTCACCAAAGTGATGGGCAAATAACAGACGATGAAGCATATGAATATCACCAAAACCATCTTGGTGATTTTCATTTCGCTTCGCTTGTATTTGTTGCCCATCGACGTGTGCTGTTGCATCTTCTGGTGGGATTTCCGCACCACCATGTAGATCTTCACGTAGCAAACGACGATTACGATGCAAGGCAGAGCGAAGCCTATTACGAACAACGCGGTCTTGGAGCTGTGGCCGTTTTCGTCGGGGTTGATCGAGCACGTTCCGAGCTTGCTGTCTTTCCCGAACGTCCCCCATTTGCCCAGCAACGTGGGTATTTGCAGCCCGTAGCTGAACAGCCATATGACACTGATGTACATTACCACTTTGAATTTGGTGTAGACGGATTGGTACAAATGCGGCCAGGCGATGAGGATGTACCGGTTCACCGATATGGAACCGATGCTCAATAGAGACACCCCGACGCTGGCGTACCTCAGGAGAGGTACCATTTTGCACAGGGTCTCGCCGTGCACCCAGTCCCCGTGGAAGAATTGACTGGCCGAGAAAGGCAGCGCCAATATGCAGAACATTAGATCCGAAATGCATAAACTGCGAACAAATTGTTAGTGAGATTCGATTGATGAATAATGAATGAGCTTGTGACTTACGAGTAGTTGTAAGGTGAGCAAATATTATTAAATGATTAAATAAACACAGGATGTGGGTAATTTAAACATTTTAATTGGTTAAGTAAATTGTTAATAGGATATCTAACATTTGTTGGCCAATTAGATAGGTGGTTATTATGAATAATTTTAAAAAAATTTATAAGTAAGAAACACGAGTATGTTAATGGTTTATTTAGTACTGAGTGTCCTAATTTTTTTTATGAAATAACAATTATAAAACCTACCTTGCAATAAAGGCAGCCGCTACAGTCCTGAGTTTGGGGTGCCTTATCAGAGCCCCGAGGGTTAACAGGTTGCCCAATATCCCTATTATCATTATAATTAAGGTAACAACTCCTGCGGCGGTTAACATTGAGCCAGAGTATCTGAAAAGAAAAATTCCTTGAATCATTTTTCCTGTGAGACATTTAAAAATTAAATCTCGTTATTTCAGAATGGTGGTTTAGGCGATTATTTTGAAACCACCAGAAATTTACATATTTAATACGCTTCTCGAAATAGCGGAGCGTAATAGGATTAATTGGAAAACGGCTAAATTATCTGGTATTAGTATTACTTTAGTGATAAAAAATTCGCTAAAAGTCAACACCTACAAAATCCACTACCAGAAAAGAAAAATCGTGCGAAACAACTTATTTATTTTCCTCTAGACAGCCACAGAAACTTTTTTTTATCAATTTCGTCGGTCGAGCAATCATAGCCCAGTGAAAGTTAATGCGCCTCTTAATTCGCGATAGAAACCGCCGACTCACTCCGGTTCTTCGAACGACACTTTTTTGTCCACGACGGTCGAATAAAATTTTCTAAAACCGCAGGAATTTTCCATTAGGCACGCCGGCAAAAATCCGATCTTCGTCCGCGTTTCTATGCCACTGCACAGGCCCGTCTTTCGGCGACGCTCGAGAGGGCACTAATTAGGTCGGTCCTTCGTAAATAAAGCCTCTCGTTATTTCAACGTTCATTTACACTTTATGATTCATAAAAGACATTGTTAACTGCGGCGTTACCATTTAATGGCTTAATAAAAGATCGCATCATGTGCCGGCGAGATTCGGTTTAACGAGAGCAGCGCATTTGGAATAATTGTTAGTGAATAATGTTCTAGTGCATGTTGTAAAAGATGCGTTTGTTAGCTGAAAATAGATTTGCATATTTTGTTCAGCATAAAGCCGTAAAACTTATTTGTGCTTATCGCAAGAAATCTCCAGACACTCATTTATTCTATTCAACTTCTAATAGACAATGCTGGAGTTATTCTGGGTGTAATAAAAGTTTATATAGCGAAATAAATTTCACAATTGAAACGCCCAGAGATAAAACGCATAAGGTCCATAAATTTTATAATAATACAGTTCAATATTGTATAAATAATTTTAGTTACATGGTCGAAAAATTTTTGCCAATTAATTAGCAAACGCCTACTCCGTTTGGGCATCTTCAATGAATCATCGGATGATTTATAGTAGAATTGCATTGCTCGTAAACAAATCTAAAGGAGATACATTCGTACGCGTACAAACCGAATCCGGTTTACGCATTACAATTATTGAAGATAGCGGACACAAGGTTGCGAATGATGTTAGGTAAACCCGTTACCGTGATTCACGGGTCCGCAATCCTTTCGAAATTAACGCTTTACGGAATTGGATAATGGAAATGAGTTCAAAGAACCAACTTCTCGGTGCACTTTGCTTATTGCTTACGTTTGATTTTGTGAATCGTACGATTCGTAGGACGTTCACTTTTCGTTTGATTTAATTAAGTTTAATTATCGTCGAAATTACCAAATGTGTCGTTCTTATCCGTTGTTTGTGTATATTAAATCTAGTAAATTCGATAATAAATTAAAATAATTGTGTGGCACGATTTGAATAGCTGCGATAATGATTGAATAGTATATTGAATAATTGATATTAATCTACTACTCTTTGTTAGTAAATGACTCATAACACTTATTAACTGTTATGTTTGTCTTAGTGGATATCTAAGTATGTACCTACAAAATAGTAGGTGGAAATATGAGAAAATTTACCTAAGAAAATAGAAAATTAAAAGTATATGAATGCCAAATGCATACAGGGTAGATAAATTTTATTAACGAGGTAAAGACTGATAACAATTGTTCTTTTTTATATTTTTTAGATGCCACAGCTACGATGGGAATTTCACAAATGTATATGTAAATTTTGATGCGAAACGATACATATTACACAGAAGAATTTAAAACATATATTTATTTAGTTAACTGATAAGGAATTTATCGTTTATCAGTAACGGAAACAGCATGTCTGAGATCAGGGAAAATTCCCTACCTACAAACGTTTTTACGAAAATATAAAATTTCCAATAACATGTGATTTTTAAATTTCTAATGTGGGTTAACCATCGTTTTAATAGTTCTTCTTGTCATTTCCTATTAAAAAACTTCATGTAAGAGTCACAATTAACACTCCTCGAAGAGTTTTGCTCATTTGCTACTTATTGTATTACTCATTCTTAGACATTCTAGACAATACTAATTAATTGCCTCGAGCACTTACATACTATATTGAACTTTCTTGTTTATCCACAATACAACAAGGAAAATAAATAATTCATCAGATTTTATGAATATTTCAGAAAATTTACATTCCGCTGATAAAAATGACACATACGTGGAGGCACCTGTTAGTTTTACAAGTGAAAAACCATTTAGCTGTTTCACGAAGGTTTGTTAAATATTATTGTTAAATAATAACAGACTGGTTCCTAACCCAGGAAAAAATAACAAAAAAAAACAACTCATCTCAATATACTAACTAAATTTGATCAATGAACAATTTTTGATAATTTAAAAATATAATATTTTATACAAAATTGAAGCACTTTTGCACAAATATTCCTTAAAAAATGAAGCATACAAGATACTACAGACCTACCTAAGGGCATTTAATAATATTGATGATGATTACAAACAAAGTTTGTTATTTCATTTTTAGATAAATGTATATTGTTTCACTCACATATCGTTTTTATTTAATAGCCATGTCACGTAAACTAAACAAGCAAATAATTAAAATTACTGCGAACAATTAAAAAAGTCTTTAACCTAACACACATGCACGCCACATGACTGACGGTCCCTCGGATGCACAATATGTGCCACTCGGAATGTTTTCGGCATTTCAAAATAAATAAGAAATAAAAGATTGAAATAATTACGGGACGTGCACTTACCGCAGCAATTCCGAAAATTGTGACCGTACCACTTCGTTCATTTTTGTCGTTTTAAGTCCACATCACAAGTATAAATTACACTGGCGTTTTCGAAAGACCACAAAGGGAGCGTCCCTTCTAGCAGGATGGTTAAAAATTAATTTTAATTGAAACTAATAAAGCAGAAGCGCTTACACTGTTTAAACTAAACAGAGGAGCGAACGAGCGTAGTTTCGTTAAAAACCCGCACCGAGCGCGTATTAGTCACTATACGTATCATATTAATCAGTCGTTTTCATTGGAAATTACTTAAACCGATGAAGCAAACCTATGAAGTACTGATAGGCATCTTTAACTGAGCAACTTACCTTTTTGTTTACCTTCTGTACACAAAATATATTTACAAACGACGGGGCTGTGGGTTCTGCGATGCGTTCAAAATGAACCGATAGGAGAGTGTATCACATACGCACTTTACTTTTGGAAGGTACTCATCTCTTTGCTGTTAACTTCCTTTGTATTTCCTGTTGCGTAAAGATTATGCCACTATCTCGTATCTAAAATATCCTGTTCGAGATAATCGTAGTTCTTCGAATGCGTAAGGCGAATATCGAGTCTCCCCATTAGTAAGAACATTATTTATGATAATGGAGAGATTATTTTACAATAAAAATGACATGAGTTATGAACGTATAATAATCAACCCTTTGAAATATCATTATTGATATGTATATTTAGAAATGTAGAATCGTAAATGAATGATTTACGTAAATAAAAGTTATTTTATTAAGCATACCTAAAAAATTAAACGGATTTTTATTTATACGGATATCGCGCATGGTAATTATCTTTAGCAAATTATATTTCTTTTTGGCGTTTATCATTAGTATTTTTACATTAGTAGTTCGAGGAAAACTACTCAAAATTTCCCAAAATTATAAAAATGATCGAAAAATTAGGACCGGAAAATAAATAAACAATAAACGGACAATTTTGAGAAAAAATTAGTCCGACAAATTTTTTAAAAAGTTTAAATTTTGTGACTCTTACTGATATTAACACTAATTCAAAAGCCCAGTTTTAGAAACACCCCAAATATAAAAAATAAAATATATTTCTTTCTTTAACAAAAAATATATTCACAATTATTAGATAAACAGTTGCGAATAAAATTAAAACTAAATTATATAATTAGCATTATTTTTAATGTGAAACAAACATTTCTTAATGAGTTTCTATAAAAATCATTACCATTATCAAACCAAAGTAAACCATAAATACCAGTAATAATTATCAATTCATTCAATAACATTGTTTCTTCGCAACTTGGTGCTTGTCTTGCTGTTTCGGTCATTAATAAGTGAAATTTTATTTGTTATTCCCTTAAAAAGATCAAGCCATTAATTTTTTATTAAGTTCTTAGTGTAATGCATCTGATTTAATCGATTAAAATAATTAAAGTGTACTATAGTAAAATGTGGAGTGACAATAGACCTGACAGCCTAGATCAGCAAAAGATTTCTTTGTAGAATCAGATGAAGCCTTGCTAATAAAGGTAGGTAACAAATAAGACACTGTTAAAAAAATGAATTATTGGCTTATCATCAATGTGCTCCTTAAGTAGCACATTCGCTCAGACGAGACCAATTAAGACATTTGAGTAAACGCAAGTAAGTTTCATGTGAGTGAATTTTCTTTATTTCATTGCCACAATTGATTCTAAATGGAAAAATATTATTAGCCCAATTAACCCAATAAACGAATCAACTAAATATTTTTTAAGATAGTTTGTAATGAACTAATTAAAATGATTTCAAATTAGTCTTGGGAATACAATTCATTCAAGTACAAATTACTTATAAAATTAGGTTTCCTTAAAAGTAATAATCTTAAAAATCTCATTCTGATAAAAAATGACAAAACGTTCATTTCCAATGAACAGCTAGACACTTTAAAAGCATTGGAATTTCAAATTAGCCATTTAAAACTAAAACCTTTCAAAAAGTACATTGTTTATAGATAATCCAAAATAACGAAGCCTTACGCTTAATTTTTAATGCATTCATTAAAAGTATGGATTATCAAGAGTGGAGAATTGCAATTTCTAGTTAACCAACCTTTATAATGAACACTTGTGATAACCATTACCATTATCAAACATTCGTGCCATATTTGTATACTTCTAAAACTACATTTTCATTCAATAAGCTACATATTTGAAGTGAGATATTTTTATTTATTCCACCTTCCTCCTCTTGTAAATATTCAGTAAATTTTGTAAAATGAGTTTTTGGGTACACTATGACCTACAAAAACCATCATTTTTGGCAGAAATTTATAAAACTCATTTCATCTCTAATCTGATCATTGAGGAGAAAGTTATTATTCTGAATAGACGATGAAGTGACAAACGAATTTTTATCGCGTAAAATAATCTTTTTCGATTTCATATTCAAAAAATTTATATCTGTGGTATGACGTTGAGTTTATCGTAACTTGTTTTAATTCCAGTGATCATTAGTGATATTCTACGTGTCTAAAATAATGCCTGATGTTACCATGTTCCTCATTTATTTTTTGTTCGCCTTTACATTAACCCAGTGTTTCGGGAATCCCATTAGCCCTGCACAAGATGATAAACTTATTGGTGTAGCAGTAGTAAGTAATTCATTACAATTTATTTTTTTCGCTATTTAAATTTTAGTGGGGAATAAATTATTTGTTTAATTGGAGAATAAAAAACAAATACATACTTAATCATTTCTATAATCTTTCGTCTTAAATTAGTTGTTAATAAATAAATTCATGTGTGGGTATATGCAATTTATTTCCTGTTGCATAGTTTTAAAGTGATATTTGTCATTGTTTAATAATATTTATTTTTAGTTGTTTAGACATGGCGATAGAAGTCCGATTGAGTCTTATCCGAATGATCCTTATATCGACATTAAATATTGGCCAGAAGGACTTGGCCAACTTTTAGACGTAAGTTAAATGAGTAAAATTTAATTTGCTCTCATTTTCACTCTGCTTTATCAAAACATCGCTTTGCAGAGTCTTCCAAGCGCTTTATTGTGTATTTTTGTGTTCCTTCCTAGCTTACTATATGTTCTGTTTAGTAATAGTTTCGCTAAAAACAACCATGAAGCGGCAAATAAAAGGGTAAGTAGTATTTGATAATCAAATAATAGATAAAGTATAAACAAATAAGCTCTTGCATTTTTTTGGTTTCAGCAAGGAAAAAAACGGCAATTCGAATTGGGAAAATACTTGCGAAATCGCTACAATGATTTTATCCCTCTGCAATACAATCGCAAAGATATATTAGTAAAATCGACCGATGTCGATCGAACATTGATGTCGGCCGCTTCGAATTTAGCAGGTCTCTATTTCAAAACGAATAAATCAACTTACTGGGAGGATAATTTACCGTGGGATCCGATACCCATTCACACAACACCCGAAGAAGATGACCCAGTGTTAGCCGAGGGAAAAGATTGCCCAAACTTCTCGAAATTGTACGAAACGACACTAAACTCCTCGCACTTTCGAAACATCGTACAAAACCACAGCGGCATAAAATCAGTCGTAGAAAAAAACACCAATTGGACAATCGATTCCATCAAGTTTTACCAGAACCTCTACACAGTATTCTACGTCTACCAATCAACAAACTCCTCGTACTTGCCCCCTTGGTCTCGAGACTTGGACATGTCCGAACTCAGTCACCTAGCAGGCATCTCGTTCTCCTCCGAAACATTCACCAGCGAACTCCAACGCTTCAGATTCGGCCCGTTCTTTCACTACCTCCACCATTACTTCGACGGCATCATCAAGGGCAAGAAGCCCAGGTTCCTGATGCTCTCCGCCCACGACACCACCGTCGCCGGAATCTTGAACACCTACGGCGCCTACGACTACCACCCGCCGGAGTTCGCGGAAGCCATCATCTGGGAGCTGCGCCGAAGGGCCGACGAGGTCTTCCTGAAAATCTTCAACAAGAGGAATCCCGGGAACGCCGCCGAGATTCGCTTGGCCGGCTGCGCCGAGGAATGCGATTACGAGCGATACAAAAAAACGCTGGAGCACGTCGCCGTCGATCCGGAAAAGTGGGAAGAAGATTGCTACAACTAGTGCGTCAGTGTGAATAGATAATAAAAAATTTATCGCAGTAAATTGTGGTATTTATTGATTGATAAATTGATTGTAGCGGTGCTGGTTATGTCTCTCGTAATGTAATTTCATGATCAATTTAACACTTTTACTCGTATGAACGGAGCAAACTGTTGGATAGACAACAAGCTATACGCTTTGTTTCATTATCTTCCTTTTGTGTGGAAATGGAAATACCCGGTGCTCCAATAAATATTTAGAACACAATAACTTAGTTGAAAAATGAGTGTCTTCCATTAATTGCAAATTGATCCTACAAGGACTTGTTAAATATCATCATATCTCTGTTTTGTGACCGATAACGAAATTAACAAAATTCGATATATTTTTTTCAGGCTGGAAAGAAACGGCAATTCGATTTGGGCCGATGGCTGCGGGCTCGTTACGACGGTTTCCTCCCCGAGCGGTACAATTACCGGGATATTTTCGTGGAATCGAGCGACGTCGACAGAACCCTAATGTCCGCCGCGGCCAATTTAGCGGGCCTCTATTACTTGGCGGATAAATCGAGCTGTTGGCAGGAGAATTTGCCTTGGAGTCCGATTCCCGTTCACACGAGGCAGAGGGAGAACGACAACTTGCTGTCGCTGAAGAAGAGCTGTCCTAACTCCAAAAAATTAGCGAAAGAAGTGGAAAATTCCAAGTACTTTAAAGGCGTTTTGAAGGAGCACGGCGAGCTTAAAGCGTACGTGGAAAGGCACACTAATTGGACCATCGACAGCATCGGGAAGTTGAAGCTTCTCTATTCGACGTTCTACGTTTACTCTAACCATAATTCGTCTTATATACCGAAATGGGCGGATAAAATCAATATGACCGAATTGAGGTATTTAGCAGGCCTGACGTACACCATTGAAACTTACACCCTCGAACAACAGCGGCTCGTAACCGGCCCGTTTTTCAACTACCTCCATAAACATTTCCGAGGATTTTTAGACGGAAGTAAACCCAGGTTTCTCATGCTTTCCGCTCACGACACCAACTTGGTGAATATTTTAAACACCTACGGCGTGTACGATTATCACCCGGTGGTTTTCGCCGAAACGCTCATATGGGAATTGTACAGGAATAAACGCAACGAAACTTACTTAAGAATGTTTAACAAAGGTTCGACTGATGATTTAATCGAACTGTTCCCGAAGGGATGCTCCAAGAATTGCAGCTATGCGGAGTATTTGCGGAAGATGGAACCGATTATTATTAGTAAGGAGGAATGGAAGAAGGAATGTAAGAGGAATAATCAGATTTTAATGTGAACTAATTGTATTGCTAGTGTAGGTGTATTCTTGGTAATAAATAGTCAAATAAATTTTATAGTTATACAGGGTGATTTGTAAAAAATGGTAGCACAGAAAGTGGGAATACAGGAAAATGTGAATGTAGCAATATTTATTTTATCTTCGCCTTATTTTATTCATTTTTAGTGTTTACTGTTCTTTACGATTCACCCTTTAAATTTTATTGAATTGTTTTCTAAGTTTCTTTTATACGATAATGCAAGAAATATAGGAAATATGTAGGATCTTGCAAAAGGTAAGGTATTTTATTATTTTAATTTATTCATGGAGATAAATCTACCCAACTCAAAAGTTTTTTACCTGAAACTCAAAAGAATTGAAGATTCTTCACCGTTCTACTTTTATAGTTAACCAAAATTGGCTACATTTTTTTTAATTTATTCATATTTGGTCATCAAATTTGGACTTATTTAACTTTAACAATTTAACTTAAAAAATGTTTTTGGAACCAACAACAATCTCCAATCTATTAGCAGGGTAATGAATGTAATTTCGGACGACTCCTCCACATTTCTAATTAAGCAACAAAAAAAGAATTACCCAATTACACAATAAATTAACAATAGAGGATTACTCGTGTTACAGTGATCCTTATCTGGTGCAACTCGACTGCTGTGTCACCGAGCACACGGCACGAATCCCGCAAGTACAATGAACTAGGTGCATAAAATATTTCTAGTCGACCTACGCATAACGAACAACGAAACGGCAGATAAAAAGGTGAATGCAACGAAAGAGAAGCGAGCAGGTGCAGCAAAAGTGGAAGTGGCCCAGTCCCAGTACCCCGACAGCCACCCGATTAACGGACGTGCGCCAGTATTTGACTGCGTTCGCGCAACCTTAACTGCCGGCTTTGCGAGTTCGTTACGTATTACGTGTACTCTTCCACCGGGAATCGGGATCGATAGCTCAGTTGACAGTCGCCCAGAAGATACGCAAAACGCGAATATCCCGTGCATTTCGCCGAATACTAATCGTTCGATTCGCACTTGCCAGCTATGGTTAACGGTAAGTGGATTTTCTGTTAACGTTGATCGAGTGAAAGTCGTCTTATTGCCGGCGAGCGGTGGCTTTTTCGCTTCTTTCGGTGACATAATGTGTGTTGGTCTGACGTCACCGCGTTCCTGGATGAGACTTGCCAGATTTATATTTACGATCGAAACGTAAATATTTACGAAAAGGGCAGCGAGCCGAACGGAATTTTTAGCTCTTCGGGATTTTTCTTATGGGTTTTTTTTTTCGTTTTTCGCTGAATGCTCGTCTATTCTACGTTTTATCTTTCGTCTGACAAAATTCAGCGTAGATAAGTGACCTTGGAAGGGCTTACAAAGGGCTGAATTGCGCTCTCAAAGGGTCAATTATATTCTGGTAGGGCAGTAACACCTGGATTTCCCGGTAAACAAACTAAACTTCGGGTTTTTTTCGAGTAGTTGTTTATAACTAAGTGGGTAAATAAGGTATAATGGGTTTCGATAAGGGTGTTTTCTAAATGCGTCTCGAATTTAGATACGACGCAAAAAGGATTATTCCAAAATTTTATCAATTGATGAAACATTGATTTATTTTCCATTAGCATGTATTGGCAATAAAAATTTTTATTGGAATGAATTGGATAAATTGGTTTAAACTTTTGCTTGCTTTTAGCTTTAAAACAATAATTGCCTACTGTAGGTGTGGCAAGACAAGCCTTTGTTGTAAGAAGTGCTTATTTAATCATATATTTAATACTTGAAAATTAACTTTTATATTCTTTTATCAGCATTATTATCTTTGTATTGTTATCTTTAGAAATAATAAAGTAGGTAGACCAAACTGATTAATTTTGCAATAAGTCCTACTAATATAATTTTCTAAGTACAAGATATTTATAAAAAAAATGATTTTAAAACGCAATATTGTACCGTTGCAGAAATTGTCTGCAAGCATAATTACAAATATTATCAATATTTATTATTACTATTATTGTACACAACTGTTAATACTTCCAAGCAAAACTAATTTAGTTGATATTAAAACAATTCCGTATTTTGTCACGTTCGTAATTTATCGTATTTTTATCGTTTCATTTCCGTCTAATCAAATTACAAATTGCTGCGGCGCGACGTCACATTTTAATTATTGAATAAAAATAATTCACATACCGCCAATGTGATTCACATTAACAATACCTATAGGCCCAACAATGCTGACATCGCATAAAATTATGAATAAAATTCAAAACTAAACCGCATTTTAACACGAACCAATTCGATCGATTTTTAGTGTTTATTCCATGATTTTTCCACTCGAAGTGGAGTACTACTGTATAGTAAAGAGGGCGTTTTCTAATGATTTACTGGTTAAATTAGATCAACTTTTTATTGGTATTTAAAAGTCAGCAGGTGGAATTACGGTTCGTTACAATTCTAATTTTCGAATTTTCTTCCACAGGTTCAAACTAGCGAGCACTTAGCGAATCCGATCCTTCAACAGCGTCGCGCGAACCGTGTGTTCACTCAATGCTGAAATTTCGACTCGTCTCCACGCATTTTTTGAAACAGCCATAGATTGCGATGTGTCGTGATAGAGATATGAACCCTTCTGTGTTCGGCTTCATAACCATCTAATTAACAAAAAAAAGTCGTAGCTTGTATCATATTCATTATATTTCGTAATTGCTTAGGAGCACTTCGCGTAGGCGGCGTCTATAAGCTCATCGCCACTACCTTCAATCGCGCTGTCAGACCCTTCACAAGAGGTAAGTCGACAACTCTTTTACCAATTACTGTCCATAACTATTGCATGCGCTACGTTATTCTTACCACACCGACCCGCGAATTGGCGATACTGGTACACAACAGTTTGTAAATGCAAAATTCATTCGACCTTCCAAACAGCGAATTGATCACATCTCCTCCAACCGATCGAGATAGATTGTTCTGACATTGTTTCTTTTAATTGTAAGGTTACCGGTAATTTCCTACGCCTCTAGATACCAGTTTCCCGATGTAACCGATACCTTAGACATCGCATAACAGCGCTCGTAAATGGTAAGAATAGCTGAAGCGCTTTCCGTCGGAAAAACAAAAAACAAATCGTGCTAATCGCATTCATCGGAAACGAACCCAGTTACGTTCGAGCGAGTCGTCAATCGCTGTCCGGCGCAAAGAATGAAAGGACCGAATCGCAAGGAGGAAACGGCGACGAGACTGCACGAAACGAGGGCGGGCAAGCAGAAGAGATCGACGGGACCAGCGCCGACGACCTACGATGAGGCGAAGGCGAATTGCAAGGCGCGGAAGCGCAAGGAGCGCCAGGAGAGCATCAGCTCGCTCTGCCAGGAGAGGAAGGTGATCCGGTCGAATTCGGAGGAGCGGCCGGCGCAGAGGAAGCACGTCGAGCGGCACACCGGCATCCGGAGGGTCTCCAGCAGCGAGGACATCCAGACGAACCGGTCGAATTCGTCGGAGAGGTTCTTCGGATCGTCGAACAAGAAGGGCGATAAGTTGCTGGCTTATGAGGATTGCGAACATGAGAAAAGAAGGTTGGTATACACTGTGCTACATTCGAGATTGCAACGTATGGGCATTTCTATGAGTTGAACAAAGAAAGGTTTATTAAAATAACAGTTGTCAGAGCGAAAAATTCCAATGACAGAATATCACTCTTACTTTTTTCTTTATAAGTGTCTAATTGAAGTTGTCTTTGTTGTACCCACAGCCTATGTTGCAATGAAAAATGGACCAATATATTTTATACAGAGTCTTCTCAGGTTTCTATGGTCTGGAAACATAGATCGAAAAAATGTCCCGTTATTTGAGGATAAAACAGGGTTCGTAAAACGGCCGCTAAGAGGCGGCGATGTTGTAAAGGACCACGGTTTTTTTTTGTGTACGAATTATATAGAATCGGCATTAAGAAAGGTTTTATTCAAACTAAAAATAGATACAAAATATAAAAATATACTTAAATCGGCGATGATTGGGTTGTTAAAATCATGCCTCACGTATCAACGGTTAATGCATTTCTCCATTTTCTCCTCGAAATGTCAAAAAATAATTTTTGTAGTTTTGACAGCTTGTCTCACAACCCCGATTTATATGCAGCGCGACGCTGATTGGCTGAGATAAGTTGGTCATCCGATCGTTCGCCACCTTGCGGCGAAAAAGTGAAGCTTAAAAAGTCCTGAAATAACGGGACACATTCTCAAATGCATAACCATGGGGTGTTTCCAGACTGTAGAAATATAGGGCCGTGCACGTGACCGAATTCGAAATGAGCGTAGTAAATTTGTTATGTTTATGTTGGTACCAAAAAAATAAGTACTAGAATGCTGTCATTAAGGTCAAGTCAACGGCCAACTCGATAAAATCTCGGTAGAAATAAGTTATAACGTGCTTTATTAATTTTTCCTGGTTTTTCTTGTGCTTTTCCCGAAGAAAACTGTAACAACATAACTTTAAATTAATGACAGGGAAAAATAATGAATAACCTAGTGAATTAATGTTCTTACGCCACTGTGTTGATTTGTATATTCAAAATAGGGACATTTCTTGAAAATATTCACAACAGTGCACTTTGGGTTGCATACATTTTTAGGTCACGTGGGAATCAACCATTTATGAAGACTCTGTATTATGTTTAATCGCCTATAATATTTGAAGCAAAAATTGATTGGATTTTTTTTATAAATTGACGTCGCTTTATATTTCGCCAGTCAATAAACGTAGGGGTTTAAGTGCTGATTTAATTAATTGGTCGGTTTTTCTTTCTTCCCGTATGTATTGCAAATGACAGGTTAATTATAACATCACCGTTGATTTATTCTTGTGGTAATAATTCCGAAAAACGTTCGACTTCAAGTGCGAATGAATTTCACTGCAATTTTCACTTAATTCTCAATATTTTGAGAGAGAATTGGTATCTAATTGTTTCGAGTTATAATTTCGGATTTTTTAGGTCTAATGAAAGATTCGCGAGGCCTCTAACGTTGAAGGGAAAGAGGCACCCGACGAAACGGTTAAAGGTGAAGAGCGTATCGCGGATAAAACACAAGTCTGAGACCTCAAACGAAACGAAAGACTCGACCAGAAAATCGAACATAGCTCAAACCGTACACGACAATGAAGACTCCAAAACAGGGTTCCTCCAACTGCACATCGACGAAAGAGACAGACCGTCGAGCCCCACGCAGGAGCTCGTCTCGCCCGTCGTCGACTGGTCGACGTTACACGAACAAGTAGATTGCTCCGAACCGCTCCTATCTCAGACCTCCAGGCACCGCAACGAAACCGCCGAATCCATACCAATCGTCGCCTCCAACAGGCTGTTGTCTTCCCCGCGGAACTCCATCATAGCCACTCACCGGATCTACCTGGACCCCGACGTTCCGAAGGTCACCAGCAACTTGGAGCAGAAGCCGCAGAATCCCCTCGACGCCAGATTGTACAAGATCGCCAAGCAGATCAACAGCGTCAAGAAGAAAGTGAAGAAATTCGAAGCGGAATTCGAGGCCCGGCACGGCTACCGCCCGTCGCACGCCGAGAAACTGAGCGACAGAGACGTGAAGAAACTCTACGCCGATCTCAGCGCGCTCAAAAGAGACCAGAAACAAATCGCTGATCTAGCAAACGGTAGTTGTTTAACCAGTACAGAAGAGAACGTAGGTCGAATTAACGTAGTTAGTCTGCAGGTGACTATAACTGAAATCGAAAAGGTGAGCGCTAATTTTTGAACGTTTTTATAGAAGTGTTAATTGTGTATATGTAATCGTTTCAGAAATTAACCGCTAAACGTGAAGCTGCCAATAGAACGATGAGCATAGACGACATGTCCTCCGAGCAGCTGATGGATGAAAAAGTCGCCGTCCAGAAGGCGCTGCTCTTCCTCGAGTCCATCCACGGCAGGCCAAACACCAGAGAAGACCGCGACGCCGTTCGGCCCTTCTACGACAGATATCGCACGTTAAAACGAATGGTCGCCAAACTAACAACGGTCAGTAACACTAACCCCCTTCCGGAGAACAACTCTCCAGTTTCTTCGCCCGACTGCAGGCGGTTTATTCGAGTACTCTTTCCAGGCGAACGCCGGCAACGAATTGGCGACGATTCACGAGGACGAAGCGATGAATTTCGTGACGCCGACGCAATCGTCGCAATCGAACGACGCCGAATTGACGGAGTCGGAGAGGACGGGGGTGTTGGCGTCGACGAGCACCGAGAGCGACACGGACAGCAGCTCGATCGGGGACAATCTGCACGCGCTGGACAAGGACGAGCTGGTCGAGCAGCTGCGGGCGGCGATCGAGGAGAAGAAGGAGCTGAAGAGGACCATCAAGCAGTTCGAGATCGACGTGCAACTGAAGACGGGGAAGATGATCCAGAGGGAGGACAAGGCGCCCATGGAGGGCGTTTACGCGGCGTACAAGAAGGTCAAGGCGAAGGCCAGGTTGTTGGAGGCTCTGATTGGTAAATTGAGTTGAATTTTATGTGGAAGAGAAAATGCGATTTTCATATTTTTGATCCTGCTTTGTTGTTTACTTTAATTTTATATGTATGTACTAATTATGTATGTGGCGTATACAATTAAATATGTAAAAAATATGTTTGTTTTTTTGTTAATTTAATCCCCAACATTAACTGATCGTTTATCAACGAGCATTACTTAATTTTTTAGTGAATTTTAAGCACAATGAGCCAAAAGCATTAAGGTAGACTGGGGCAAATCGGTTGTAAAATTTGAATAGTTCAAATTAAATCCTAAAATGTGGCTTTATTTTTTCTCTTATTAGAAATGCTGATACCACATTAAATTCACAACTTCCTAAACTAAAGAATCGAGGTATTAAAAAGTTTTTTTTTAAAGGAAGAAAACGATTTTACATATTTTTTAAAATGTTGACAATATGTTACATTTACCCCGTACCATGGGTTCTGAAACGGTTCTAAAGTGCAATACAATTATAAAGAAAAACATATGGGGCAATTGTAAAAAAATATTTGGTTACTCTAAAATTTGATATGCTGTTTATTTATTTATTTGAAAAAATAACAGAGCTACAAAATAATAAAGAAAAAATAAGAAACAAACCCTGTCTAATGCACAAAAGAACTATAAAAATAATAAAAACATTAACATAATAGGTAAAAATATTACATTTACCCCGTTTTTACATTTGCCCCAGTCTATCTTAGAGCTTTTTTCTTATCCAGCGAAGTGCTTCGCTAAACGGTACTTGTATAATTCGATTTTTTTTACTAGAGAGAAAATTTTGTGCAAAGAAGTAGAGAGAAAATTTTGTGCATAAGGAGTTTGTGAGTTAATTACATAAAAGCAAGCGTACTGAGTTTATTTAAAAGAGCTCACAATTGACCTTTTTTTCTCAACATTGGCGCTAAATAAGGAATACAAATTTTACAAGGTTAAGGTCGATTTAAAATACGTGCAAAAACGAGATAATAGAAGTCTTCTGGCATTGATTTTTTTGCAAAAAAAATTAACGAATGCCTTCCGTTGCATAAGAGAAGAAGTGAGCCGTATACAGATCTAGGTCAACAGTTAATAAAAAAATAAATCATGTTTGTCATCCATAATAGTATTGATATTAATTATACTATTTAAATATTCTTCAGAATTATTAAAAATTATCTACCTGCTTTTAAATGTCAACCTCATCAACCAAAGATTATGAGGTTACAGAAAAATATCGAGGAAAGTGTAAGAGAGAAATTCATTCAAGCAAAAATTATCCAAATAATCTTCAATTAAAGATACTAGGAATTTAATATTGGAGAATATGGATAGAAAACATCTAAAACGAAAAATGAAAGGTATAGCCATATGTACATATGTATGTAACTAAATTCTTCATAAATAGAAACTTTTAGCAAAATCCTGCAAAAAGTACCAACCGTTACGCTTTATAAATTCCGTTTCTGGAGAATCAAAAAAGTTAATTGATTAACCAATTTCCTTGATAAACGTGTTCCTACGAATTCAATTCCAAATTCAAACATGCGGAAAGTTTATATATTGAAAAGAAAACAATAAAATAACAGTAATAAAAATAAGTTAAACGCAGGTAGGTGCTTGCAGTGTTCGCGACACAATGGTGAGTTACTTTACGCAATTTCCATTTTACTCTGCAATTTGCAATTCGGTATATTTAGTCATTGAATCGTGTAATGTAGCGTGTAATTTGGATGAAATGTTGGTACTTTCTTTGGAGTTTATCGACACCTGAAAGGCTCTTCCAATTAGATAAAAATGCATGAAAGTGCTATTGATATTTAACTAACAGTATTCAAAAGAAGCATTCTTGAAAATCACTGAACGTACCTATAAAAATAAATGAATATTAACTATTTGAAATTACCTAATATCTGAAACTTTTTGGGTAGCTTGTAAATCGATTGAATACTTTTTGAAAAAATTTTTAGATTCACTTTAATTTCAAATCTACTATTGGATAAATAATATGTGACAACACAAACGTTAAAAGCACATAATCACGTACTAATAAAATGAAAATTTCTAACATAAAATAAATATTATAGAAACATTATAATTTAAGGTTTACAATTTTAATTGCCTCAAACAAAAAAACTCAAACAAAATGAAATTCTAATAGCAAGCATACACAAGTACTTAACAAAATCAATAATTATAGGTGTTCAACCATATCACGTATGTATCCTTTCACCAAGTCGCTGAGTTACATAAATTTAACTGACTCCGATCCTGCGTAATGAAACATCCTTGATCCACAAAGGGTTTCTGGACTATTTGGCAACAGAGTTGAACCAAAGATCGTGATTGCAAACAGCTCTTCAATTATATAAGTGTTAGATAATTTAACATGGCGGTTATTTTGCGATTTTGAAAAAAAATATGTCACAACTTTCTCTACGGAATCGCATCTTCAGTCAGTCGGTTGGCATGCAAGTAATGATAGTTTTGATTAAGCAGCGCGAGATATTAGAGGTCGCTTTGTTCGTGTATGTTTGTGATCATGGGTAAAGGTGGATTTACGCCAACAGATTGGGTATGTTTTGGATTTGTTTTTTCAAAATCAATCAGTAATTTTTATAGCGAATACGTCTAGAGAAAGGTCCCAACTGCAAGTTAAAAATGTATTCTCCCTAGTTGTACATAATTCTGATTGAAAATGAAAGTAACTAAAATCTCTTAATAAATTATAAACTAATATTTAAATTGAACCAAAATCATTCGTGTACAATTTTGGTTATTGTAATTCGTTAGCATATTAGTTGCATAAAATTTTCAAAATTTTTAAACCGAATATATTAAGTTTGCATGCATTTTTTTCCCCGCGATGAAAGTTTTCGAATTAACAATAATTATACAGGGTGTGGCGAAATTATCGCAGTCTTTTGAGCGTGAAGTAATTGGATATTTTCTACAATAAGTTCATAAAGAAATTTGAAATATTTGAGGAGAAAATTAATTCAAAAACTATTCACTTCCGAATCAAAAAAGTCATATAAAAATTATATAATATATACGCTGTACATAGATACAAATACTTGAGGATTTTCAAAATGAGAAATAGAATTATCATCAACTTTCGCTATTGTCTCGCTCGCTGTATGTAAAATGATTTTAAGCTACTCCACTATTAACAATCAAATTACCTACTACGTAACAACATACACAGTCTTTAAATGATTACATCACAATTTTTATTTAAAATCCTGACCTGCCTACTTCCAACATTCATTCTAACTGATTTCCTCCATAAATTCATCATCAATTGCAGGACATCCAAAAAGCAACAAACATCAAGCCCGAATTCCACCACGTATCTCGAGAAAAACGAAGCCAAATACTCGGAAAATCGGCCGAAAAAAAATTTCGAGGTTGCACGATATGGTTCACAGGACTATCGGGAGCCGGAAAAACCAGCATCTCCTTCTCACTGGAAGAACGCCTGGTAACCAGCGGAGTTCCCTCTTACAGCTTGGACGGCGACAACATCAGGCACGGGCTCAACAAAAACCTGGGATTCTCGGAGGAAGAGAGGCAGGAGAATATCAGGCGGGTCGCTGAAGTAAGTCCGCGTTTCCATCAATCTCACCAAGCCCCAAAATTCCCATAATTTTTTCCAGGTGGCCAGACTGTTTGCTGATGCAGGTCACGTTTGCTTGTGCAGTTTCATATCGCCCCAAACGGTCGATCGAAACATGGCGAGAGCCATTCACCAGAAGAGCGGCCTTCCGTTCTTCGAGGTGTTCGTGGACACCCCGTTGGAAATATGCGAGCAAAGGGACGTCAAAGGGCTCTACAAGAAGGCCAGAGAAGGGAAGATCAAGGGATTTACAGGGATCGATCAGGCTTACGAGAAACCTGAGCATCCGGAATTGGTATTAAAAACGACCGATTCTTCGGTAGAGGAATCGGTGAATATGGTGATGGAAATGTTACAAGAAAACGTAAGATGAGTAGATAAAGTTTTCTCGTTCTATTTGGTTTGTTTCAGGGAATTTTACCTACAGCAGCGCATTCGGATCATCACAATGGAGGTTTCAATGATATTGTTGTTCCGGAATTGTTCGTTCCTGAGAATAAATTGAACGACGTTTTAACCGAAGCGCAGAATTTACCCAAACTGGACATCAGTAGTATAGACTTGCAATGGGTGCAGGTGCTAAGCGAAGGATGGGCTTACCCATTGAGAGGTTTCATGAAAGAAAACGAGCTCCTGCAAGTAAGCGCACATTTTAATAACCTCAAGGAATGCACACGTCGAACCCTCTTAAAGAGTTAACCAAATGACAGAAGCAATCGTACCACTTCTTCTTCGGCTTGCAGCAAATCTTCTCCGTCGAACAACACCGGCTCAACTCGCACGAGCTCTTCGGGCACACCTCCCTCGGCGCGCACGCCGGGCTCCCGTCGCAGGTTTTGAACTTCATCCTGCCGATGACCTCGTAGCTGCCGCAGGCGTCGTCGACCGATTTGCCGCATCCGATCTGCCTGCGGAACCGGCACCGCGGATTGTGCTTCTCCAGCACGCAGATTTCCAGGGCGCAGCCGCAGCCGTGGTAGCGGGGCGGCACGGCCGGCAGCTTCAGCGTGATTTTCGACGGGATGCAGACCAGCTTGTCGTCCTGGGCGGTTTGCGTGCAGCCGCTGCAGCTGCTTTGCAGAGGCGCTTGGGATATAGTTTTTGTCACTTCTTCGACGAGCTCGGCGCCGTCTTTGGTGAAGGTGCGATTGACGCATTTCTCGGTGACGATGAGGGGGTTCGATTTGGGCGGGGGCTCGGGCAGGCATCGGAGTTGGGATTTACGCTGGTGGAGGTTCTGGCAGGCTGTTATCGTTATCACTAATGGTTTGTTCCTGTTGCATTTGTGGACTCCGATGAAATTTGACATTACATATAGGGTCTTGTGTGTCGGTGCGTTTTCTCGAATTTTGGTCTTGGTTTTTGTACTAATGGGTTTTACATTATTTCGTAACGATTATATGGATTATTGTTGCTTTTTTTTTGAGACGATTATATGTTGACATTACATGGATTTTGTGGATTTCTTATGAAACTGTTAATGACACATTAGTGTAACTTTGACATGTTTTTAGCAGATTATCTATCCGAACAGATGATTAATAGTTTAAAGATTCTTCAGTTTTGACTTTGATTTCATCTCTTTCAGGTGCTACATTTCAATACGATAGAAAAAAACGGGGAAAAAATCAACCAAAGCGTCCCCATCGTACTATCGATCAGCAACAGTGACAAAATAAGATTACAAAACAGCTCAGCTATATCACTACATCACAAAAACGAATTATACGCAGTACTTCGTAACCCGGAGATTTACCACAACCGAAAAGAAGAGAGAATAGCAAGGCAATTCGGCACAATCGACAAAAATCATCCTTACATTAAAGTAACTACCACCAAATATTCCCATCTACAAACATCGCCTAATACACTCCCACTTTTGCAGATAATATACGAATCGGGCGATTGGCTCGTGGGAGGAGATCTCGAGGTGCTCAGGCCGATAAAATGGAACGACGGCCTGGACCAATATCGCCTCACGCCCAACCAACTGCGGCAAAAATTCAAGCAAATGAAGGCCGACGCGATCTTCGCCTTCCAACTCCGCAATCCAGTCCACAACGGTCACGCTCTATTAATGACCGACACCCGTCGTCAGCTGCAAGATAGAGGCTACAAAAGGCCGGTGTTGCTGCTCAATCCGCTGGGCGGTTGGACCAAAGACGACGATGTACCGTTGAAGGTTAGAATGCACCAACACGAAGCGGTGTTGGAGCAAAATATACTGGATAAGGATTTCACTGTTCTGTCAATATTCCCCAGTCCGATGATGTACGCCGGACCCACAGAGGTAATCATAGTTTAGAATAAACTGTGTTATTTATAAGATGTGACATAAGGATTGCTGTACAAATGTGTCAAAAGCAAGCTAACTTTTTTACCAAATAACGTTCGTAAAAAATAATGACAGATTTGAAAAGATCGTCAAAAAATGAGTCGAAATGGACATTAAATTTTCTTAAATTCGTTCTGGTTTAATGAAAAAATGTATAATTAAGTTGAAAAAAGTCATACGTCATATGTCACTATCTAATAATTGGTAAAAGGGCCGGGGATATTTGGCATTTTTTGTTTTTTAATGTTTTTTTTTTGTCAAGAATTAAAAAAAAAGAAAAAAATGTCTTTACTGCGCGGGGATTGAACCACATTACTTCCCGCAAAAAAATTTTAATTTCAGAGCGTAAACCATCCCGGCCTACTCCGCCCATTTGACAATTATTAGATAGTGACATAAGAATGACACATTTATGACGTTTGACTTTTTTCAACTTAATTATACATTTTTTAATTAAACCAGAACGAATTTAATAAAATTTAACGTCTATTTCGACTTATTTTTTGACGATCTTTTCAAATCTGTCATTATTTTTTACGAACGTTATTTGGTAAAAAAGTTAGCTTGCTTTCGACACATTTGTACAGCAATCCCTATGTTGCATCTTATAAATAACACAGTGTATACTGCGAATTTACTTACTTAATAGTTTGTAATGCAGGTACAATGGCACGCCAAGGCTAGGATGATCGCCGGAGCGAACTTTTACATAGTGGGGCGCGACCCGGCGGGGATTCCGCATCCTCGAGGGAAGGAGGCGACGCCCGACGGGAATTTGTACGATGCCACTCACGGCGGGCGAGTGCTCAAACTGGCGCCCGGGCTGGATTCCATGGAGATCATTCCGTTCCGCGTGGCCGCGTACGATACGACCAAGAAGAAGATGGACTTCTTCGAGCCCGATAGGAAGGACGAATTCGATTTCATATCGGGGACTCGCATGAGAAGTAAGTGAAACGACGGAAGTAGATGAGACTCGATGAGTTTGGAACGGAAATTCGGTTCAAATGTACTTGGAGTTACGTTGAAATGTCTGATTTATTTACAGAATTTGCTAAAACTGGAGAGAATCCGCCGGTTGGTTTCATGGCGCCAAAAGCGTGGGAGATAATAGCGAGTTATTACCAATCGTTGGAAATTAAGCATTAGATTAGAACGTGTAAAGTATACAATTCCAGTACAACTATAGTGTACCTAATTTAAGCTCTTTATATAATCGGTGTGTTCTTTAAAAGATTTATTATCACCTTTCACATTTTTTATATACTCGACTTTACGTCACAAATTTTATGCTTAGCACGTTTCCTTTCGTTTGTTTTAAATAATTGTTTATACATTTGTTACTTGATTTTAGGATAATTCACTATTGTGATATTTTACTTAATAAACGACTACAATATCATTGAAATATTTCTTAGCATAAAGCCCTGAAGATCCTGATGAGAAACCAATCACTATGAATAGCAAATATAGATATGTGACTCGACGCTAGTATAAAAAATATTAAATTTATTTGGTATAAAATACTTTTTACAAAAATATTATCAAAAAATATATAAAATAAATCTATAAAGAATGAGCATATAATGGCGAATTTAAAGGCTAGTCATGGCAGGAGGTCTAGCGTAAGCTTTCGGAATGAAACCGTATTTTCTCGTTTTAGGGGCGTAGGCCCACAGCCAACCGTCAACCGTTTGATTATTGAGATCAGCGTATATCCAGTCGCCCCTGCGGACCGTCAGGTCGTCGGGCGCCTGCGCTTTGTAATCGTAGAGCATCACCAGCTCCGTTCCGTGATAACGAAGGTCATCCACTGTAGATGTACCCAACGAATGGTTGTTGTTTTGATTGTTGAAATTGCCGTTTCCATTTGAATTTGCAGAATTTAAATGACCTTAAACAGACAATCAAATCAATAGGTAATATACAGCAGACTTCAATCAACTAACCTTGTATCACATTATCAGCGGGATAGACGAATCCCGAAGGAATGAAGCCTTCTTGACCGTCGCTTCTTACAATCCAGTACCAATCCGGGTCTTCTCTATTCAAAACTACAATAAATCGAAACTTGTAATTAACATACACAATTTTTTAACGCAAACGTACCAGTTACGAACTCTCCTCTTTCAACGGAGACATCGTTTTCATCTCTAGCAATAAACGTGTATAGTACGATAAATCGGCCGGAAGGATCCTTCGAGAAGGGTATCATATCGGGCTCCGAGTGAATGCTAATTGGTGATGCAGCGCCTGTTCCGTGCTTTTTTCTGTCAACTGAATCAGTATCGCTATCTGCACCGGCTCCATCGCTGAAACGATTATTCATATAAAAATTACCTTTGTACTTAAATTACTTAATTACCAGTCTTGATTAGTATCCAAACTTTCACCAGAAGCTAAATGTTCTCCTCTGGGTAGTTTCTTCTTAATAGCCAATTCAGCCAGGTGGTTGTTGTAAGGAGTGCAGTACGAGTAAGGAATGAATCCTTCTTGTCTCGAGTCGAGTCCTATTACGTACACCCAGTCGTTCTCCCTATACAGTATATTCACGATCTACGAATGGTTGCTCGTGGTTAATTTCTCGAGTAATTAGGAAAGGAATGTCGAAAGTCTTACCTGACCCCTTTTTACTTCGAGTTCGTCATCAACGCAAGGTGTAAAATCGTGCAAAACGACCATTTTACTGTCGGGAGATAATCCGTGTTCCTTTTCGATTCCCACTCTAACAAGGGTTTCGATGCTAGCGGATCCTGTGATCCTTCCCATTCCGGGTGTAACCCCATTATTGGACCTTCCGAGTTCCTTCTCTAAATCGACGCTTGCTGCTGCAAATTTTAAGAAACGAATATAAGAGAAATCGATGTCGTAACGCCGATATCGTTGTTGTTAGGCGGTTAAAATAAAAATCGGGACTTACATTTTTTCTTTTTACCACGTCTAATGCGAACTGGGCATAAAAATGCCATTTTTACGATTATTTACATACTTTGCACGATTTTCACTTCGATTCTCACATTTCCCAATAGAAAATTTCAAGATGAGAGCGCAATTACATTCAACTTGCAAAACTAACAGTTAACTTCTCTGCATAAGCGAATAGTAAAAAAAACACAACACCAACAAACCGAACAAACCAAACCACAGCAATTTTTTTTCAGGTGAACTTTCAGCTTTCAGTTAGTTCACCGGGGAATTTTTGTTTATGCTACAACCATTACACGGATGCATTGTTTTTGCCTGAGAAACAGGGGCACCAACTGTGATCATTTTTATTATGTAATTTAAAATATTTTTTATTATAGCTATTCATAAACTTTTATTACTGACATTTTTATTTGTATATTCGAAATTATCTCGTCGTTATTATTGCAAGAAAATAATAGAAAAATTGTCAAAAAAAAAGAAGACATTTGACACTGACGTAACCGTGGCCGAATAACCAAGTAGATGAAACATTACACGAAGGAAGAAGAAGAAGTCATATGTCACAACATAACCTCAATAACATCCATAACCCCAAATTTGTTTGTTTTCGGTTTGATCTCTATAAAAAATTAAAATGAGTTCGAACAACAAACGAACGATTTACGTAGGGGGTTTAGCCGAAGAAGTAGACGAGCAAGTCCTAAATGCTGCATTTATACCGTTCGGGGACATAGTGGACGTGCAGATCCCGTTGGATTACGAGTCGGAGAAACATAGGGGATTCGCGTTCATCGAGTTCGAAAGTGCGGAGGACGCGGCGGCGGCTATCGATAACATGAACGATTCGGAACTGTTCGGACGAACGATCAGAGTGAACTTGGCGAAGCCGCAGAAGATCAAAGAAGGCTCGACGAGACCGGTGTGGTCGGAGGATACGTGGCTGCAGCAACACGCGGGCGAGACCATCGGTAAGAAAGTCGGCACCGACGAGGGCACCGAGCAAGACAAGGAAACCGAAGAAGACGGCAAAACCGAGGCTAAGAAAGTTAAGAATCCGCAGGTGTATTTCGATATAAAAATTGGAAAAACCGAAATAGGTAGGATTACGATGATGTTGCGGGCTGATGTAGTTCCACGAACGGCAGAGAACTTCAGGTGTCTTTGTACGCACGAAAAGGGCTACGGTTTCCAAGGCAGCAGTTTCCACAGAATCATTCCGGACTTCATGTGCCAAGGGGGCGATTTCACCAATCACAACGGTACAGGTGGAAAGTCGATTTACGGGAGAAAATTCGCAGATGAAAACTTCGAACTGAAGCACGTCGGTCCCGGCACCCTTTCTATGGCGAATTCCGGACCGAATACCAATGGTTCGCAGTTTTTTATTTGTACCTCGAAAACGGACTGGTTGGACGGGAAGCACGTAGTGTTTGGACATATCATCAGTGGCATGGATGTGGTTAAGAGGATGGAAAGGTGTGGCACGAAAAGTGGCAAACCTACGGACAAAGTAACTATAGCGAGTTGTGGAGAAATCCAATAATATTTGTAATATTACCAATAAATTAAACCTTATTTTTATACATCTACGCGTTTGATTTTATAGTTGAGAAAAAAACCCCTTTTGAGCATATTTAATATATTTAAGAAACTACAAACTAGAGTGTATAATACAAAAAAATATGATATAATGTGTTTAAATTTATAAACAATGCCTTTTAAACTATTAACAATAAAGAAACTATTTATGTATATCAAACACAAGTTACATATAAAAAATAATTTGCTTGTAAATAAAAGATAGACTTTAATAATAACTATATTCTTTTAAAACTGCAACTCGTTACGGAGAACAAACTAAATATAGGTATTTGCGATATCTTCATCGTTTATATTATTACCAGGCTCTGAATGTATTTATTTAAATTAGGAATGTCACAATAACTTAAAGCCGCTTTGAAGATTTCACATGACTGTCTTAAGTTAAAAGAATAATCAACTACAAAAACGATAAAAAAGAATAATTTAGGCAGAATAAAATATAGATTACATTCATATTTAACACTAAATTAAAGCAAATCCCTAAAATACTGTTTTTCATTATTTGGATCTTATGAATTTTCATTTTTTTATAATCAGCTGTATCTTAAAGAAATGATTGAAGAAAATATTTACAACAGGATAAATAGCGAACTGGTTTTTTTCTGTTAGAGAAAATTCCGAATTGTACAAGCGGCCTAGTGGTATTTGCTTTCAAAAGTCTAATTAATTTTTATCTATTAGCGCCAGTTTAATTTAAACTTTTTTAGGCAGTTCAATGGTTTTGTGCGATAAAAATCCGACGAAACGTCAGCACTCCAAATACTTTGGATTTACAATACAAATGTGTTTAATTTTTATTTGTGAAAATCGAAAATTGTAAAGGAATCCAACAACAAATTTTCCCTTACAAAAATATCACGTTAAACACGTCGAGTAGTCGTCAAACTCGCCTAAACTACGCCAATTTTTTTTATTACAAATGTAAAAAATGAGTTTTTATAAATATATTAAGATGCAATCACACAATTGATAAATCGATTATTTACATTTACAGTTTTTTTAACTCGATTACTGTCAATTCCTAATGATTTTTTACCATGTGGTCGTTGTGTTGATAAAATGTTTTTATTATATTCCTGTCCAAATCGCCTCTTTGGTAAAAATTCTCCATTCACACATTAACTAATAAAAACCTACATAATTCTCTCGAATATTTTCAAAAATGGCACGACCTGTTACACAACAAGATAGCCCAAGAAACATTGTAAACAATTGAGGCTTCATTTACCGAAAAAATGTCACAAAATTACAATTTTTATTTTACAAAGTTATTATTTCGTGTATTTGAGACCACTGGGATATTTCGTTTTAATCCTAACTAACATATCCTTATCCCGTACGAATTATTGTAACAAATATCAGTCAATTAATTGCTAATGTATCCGATATTTTAACTTAATTTTCCACATTGAAGACAAATTAGTAACCACTTTGAGGCAAATTCTGCAACGCCAGTTTTTAATACAAAATACGTTTTTCTTACGCAAATGATTATATACAATAGTAAATTTTAAAAGCAACGCTTTCCTATAACAACCTTCTCACGTATAATACTTTGCCATATCGCGGTCGAAATTAATAAAATTTATAATTTGTGTTTACACTTGCAATTTGAATTTCGAAAGTTTCTAACCACTCAGTACTTTCAGTTGATTTATCATTAATATGTTAGGATAGATATTTTATTTGCGCCGTTCAAATAAATGGTAAATTATGGAAGAAAAAGGGCCCTTAATGAAACTGGTTCTTTGTTCATTCTTGCTCTCGATTTAATGATTGATAAGACTCGGATATCACAGATAATGTCCACAGTCTTGGATTAATTTGTGCGCTCAGTCTTACATAACAAAGAACCAGTTTTTTTAGAATAATTAATGCATTTGAGAATAAAATAGAGATGTCAAGAATGCAATATATTCTTATAGTCCAAAGATTATACAATAAAAAATTGATAAGTCGAGTGTTTAAATCAGAAATTTCATTCTATTCGAAAATAGTATGTTTCTTAATTCTTGCATCTACTATTTCCAGGGCATCCCACCGCGTCTTGCTCTGAGCAATTCGGCAATACCACATCAAAATCCCATGTTTAAAACTTCCTCAATAAACTGCAAGAAAACCTAATCCGAATTTGTCAATAGATAACATCATCCCCCAACACTTAAAACGACCAACAAACGATTCAGACCATAAAAATTAACCAGTTAAATCGAACCGGAACCAAACAGCGATAAGAAACACGGGCATATCTATCTATTGCTTAATGACAAATAGATACATCCACCGCCCCAATCTAGTGGTAATGCACCTCAATCGAGTTACGCAACCAATCAGCCGGGGGGTGGACGTGACCTCAGTACGCCGAGGCCTCCTTGTATTCCGAACCGTCCATTGTGAAGAAGTCCTCCAGCTTCCACTGGAGCGTCTCGAACGTCGGCCGGCGCATGGGATCCCTGTTCCAGCACTCCAGCATTATATCGTACAGGGCCGGGGGGCAGCTCGGCGGCGCCGGCATCCTGTAGCCGTGCTCCACTTGGTGCAGAACCTCGGCGTTCGTCATCCCTGAAAATTATTTCGAATTCGAGGTAACGGAGAAGCTGGAAGTGGAGGTGATTTGTTTACCTGGATAGGGAATTCGTCCGTAGGTAACGAGTTCCGTGAGGAGGATACCGAACGACCATACGTCGGATTTGATGGAGAATTTGCTGTAGTTCGCCGCCTCCGGAGCGGTCCATTTGATCGGGAATCTGGCTCCAACTCTAGCCTCGTATTCGTCTTCCTGTAAATTCGTGAAAATGAACTGTAGAAACCATTTTCGTACGCAAAGAAGCATCGTAAATGAGTTAGATTGGGTGAGTGAAATCCTTTAGATGGAATCATTTAGAACACTTCAAAAAAATCATCTGGTAAGTAAGAAGTTGTGCTATAATTTTAGAGAAAACTTTCCAACAAAGCATGTTTCATTCGATGTTTGTACGATTGTTCAACGGATGTGCATAATTGCAAACAAGTCCTTAAACGGTATAAGTAATACGCTACTTATTATCCATAGGTAATTCCAAATGAATAATCATCCTTAAACGATATCAATTCAAATTTATCGGTAACGTACCTTTATCAATCTCGCCAGGCCGAAATCGGCGATCTTCACAACGTTCCCATCGGCGACGAGAACGTTCCTGGCGGCGAGATCCCGGTGAATGTAGTTCTGGGATTCCAGATAGGCCATTCCGGCGGCGATTTGGGCGGCCATGTCGATCAGCTGGGTCAGTTTCAGGCCCTTCCCTTTGCCCTGGAGGTACTCCAACAGGGAGCCGTTGCGCATCAGCTCCGTGATGATGTAGATCGGCTCCTCCACCGTGCAAACCGCATAGAGCTGGATCAGCTTCGGGTGGCGCAGCTTCTTCATTATCTGCGCCTCGGCGAGGAAGTCCTTGGGGTCCATGGTGCCCGGTTTGAGGGTTTTTATGGCGACCGGCGTGGTGTTGTTCCACATGCCTTCCCAGACTTCGCCGAACTGCCCGTGGCCTAATTTTCTGATGAACTTCAGCGAGGTTCGTTCGATCTCCCATTGATCGCGGGTCCTGTGCGAAAGGCCTTCGGGCTGCGGCTTTTCCACCTAAATACCCAGCCATTGTTAGGAACATTACTACTTATTTTCTTGTTCTAAACAAATTACCTGTACGCAAGGTTTGCACAAATTAACACACAAACCATCGGCATCGTTGCTATAATGTTGGACTAGCTCCTGTAGCGTTCTAAACGTCGTTCTTCGAGCTATGAAGAAACCACCTTCGTCTAATTGTCTAATCCTGTAATGTTTCACGGTATCCCCGTCTCGTACTAAAACACACAACCAGTCAATAATGCAAGATCGAAACGGCCTAACAATTTTTTACCTGATAGAGAATAATCGTTATGTCTGCTCTCGGAGTCTCTGATAAGGAAAGCCCCGTGTTCGTTTTCGGGCAATAGTAGTTTCTTCTCGGCTTCTATGCGCTTTATTTTGCGGAAATACCATCTGCAATGTTAATAAATAATTCATCAGTCATTAGCGATTTCCATTATTGTAGAACTTGTCCGGTCCGGCTCGTAACGCGCAATCCAAACACGTCCGAGAATAAAATGAATACATGTGCAAGTGCAAGACGACGAGCTTCGACGGGTATAATGTGTAACTGCTTATTTAGTAGTTGAATGATAAATGGCGTTAATTAATAATAGTGACTGGCCGATAGGAATTTTATTAATTCACATTCGATCAAATTGGGATATGATTATCCAGATGTGGATAAGATAATTTAAAACACAAGTATATCTACTTTTTTATATTTGTTGCATCTACTATGGTATCAATTTCATATATTCAAATTTGGTACAGTTAAATATCAAATCAATTACCTGCCAATTGATTATGCTTAAGATGTATAAGTATATTTTTAATTTAATCAAGTAAAACGGTAATCTTTATCAAGTAAAACAAGTTCTTTTTAATTGAAATGTAATTGACATACACGTATATGCATAATTATTATTGTAGCAATTTGTTATTGGATATCCAATTAAAAATGCAAATGTTGTGCGGGACCTTTCCTTGTATTGAACTATTTCATGGAAATCGTGCACACTTAACCGAAATGCAATCGTTTTATTGCATTCTTTTTCTATCTAAAATGGTATGATAAATACTAGGAAATGCTATCGGAATAGTAGTTATACGGTGCGAGCGGAAAAAACGTAACCATCGTTTATGTTCAAACAGAATTTAAATCAAGACTGGTAGAAAAATCCAAAAATTTTATAAAAAATCTATACATAAATGTATGAAATCAGAAATAATAGAATGCTGATCGCATAAGTAATTTCCGGTAATTTTTCATAATGAAAAGTCTGCTTCAATCTGCTAATTTTTATAGGTAATTATTCGATAATTGTACGTGCATTAGATAAAAAAAAATCTTAACCACAAGACCTTCGTGACCGGTACATTTGTTTCTAATTCCATTGTGTAATAAACGAATTGGGTACAATTTAATTTCGTTAATAATTGTTTACAGTAGTTAATGATATTGAAACGTCCCATCAATAATGCAAGCTTTTTCAAAGAATAATGAAATATAAAAATTCATCAGTGCAGAACAACGAAAACAATTACGAAAGATTCCATCTATCTATTGTTCAAAAACAATAACTCGAAATTTTTTTCGAGTGCATACCAATCAAGCGTAAAGCGCAATCGTATTTCGAAAATTCTAGATCAATTGTTATCTACAAGATTTAATTAATCATAATTTTATTGTATACACAAGAAAAAATTCCTAAAAGAAAATTTACACGCAGTTTAATACTTGTTAGTTATTACTTATTTATTACTGTTACTTTTAAGGGTACAACCTTATACGACTTAATTAACATAAAACATTAGCAGTCAATAGAACAATTATCTCCAAAATCTTTAGTGTCAATAAAAAAAATAAACGATTGGAATACAAAGTAACATTTCTACGTATAAATTACAAATAATTCCAACTAAATTCGTATGAAAGTTCAGAAAAACCCTTCTGTAACATAATATGATCAATTCCTATTTCAGTGGAGTTCATTTCCGACGGAAATTCGGTTTTTTTCTCTTCCTTAGTACCTCTTGAGGCCAAGGCAGCCAATTTTGTAGGTAATGCATAATTGTCCCTGAATTTTATTAACAACAAAGTCACCATCAAACGAGCGCGATCGTGAATATCAATAAAATCCTTCATGGGTACTGAAGAAGACTCGGAAAAATTACAAAAACAAAAGTACTGCATCTAATTGAATAGTTTAAAAAGCTATAAACTTTCGACAAGGATAATTAATACCAAACACATTTTAGATCTACGAAATAGAACAAGAATTTCTCAACTATGTAAACTGGCGTCAAACTATCTACTGATAACCTCATTCCTCGTTACTCTCGTCTCGACTGTATAGTGCAGTAACAATTTTACGATTACATAAGAAATGTAAATCTCCTACAAAACCGTACCGTTCAATAAACATTTAGCCGTTCCTCGAGCCGTAGAAAACGTTAAGTAACATTAAAATTGCGAATTATGAGCTGTTCTGGCTCTGCGGCTATCGGTATTAGGAACAAAAGCCTTTCGGAATATCTCTATAAAATCGCAGAGATGCAGTTTAAAAAAATTGTGAATCAACGATGTAAGCAGGAACAAAAACGTAAACTTGCGAGGAATTTGCGACAGAACAAGCCCTCTACTGAGGTAATAAAAATCCTTGAAATTTCTCCAACAGTGATATAAATCAGGAAATGTATGTACATGATTCGATCAGAAAAATTATTGCAATAATACAATTGCAGATCAAACTAGTGTCTCTTTGTTGTAAATTCATGATTTACTAGAAACAATTTTCCAATGAGGTATTGAAAATAATGGGAATGATTTCTTGGTGATTATTTAAGCCTAATTTTCCCTATAATCATCATAGGTGTACCAAGATTGCATCCCTTAATAGTAGATTTATTCACAAATCTATCTGATAAAGTAATAATTAATAACAATGCAAAATTTAAAAAATAATATTGATTTGCTAGTAAGGAATCGTGACAAATTTGCATACGAATAATTAGTAACGTATCAGGTGTGAAATCTTAAAAAAAAATAAACAAAATAAACGAGTACACAGAATTTGTTACCAAATTAGTCATAATTTTTTCCTTGTTTACGCAATTAAACGAAGAAAATGATTAATGAAATTTTAGTTTACTTACGGTTGAAAATGAATATCGATATTGGGAACATTGTGAAATTCTGAAGGAGTGCTGAATTTTCGGCGGTTTCGGCTCCACGCCTGCCGTTGCTTCTTCAGCCGTTTTTCCGAACTTTTGGAACTTAAATGTTTTTTAAGGAACTTTTGCCATTGGTTTAATTTCTCGCCTTCGTCGCAATCCGAACAACTGCTATTAGAACCTACACTACTCTTTCGACTGTTTAATGTACTATCACACCACGAGGATTTCCGACTTTCCGGCGTAGAAGGCGTCGTCAGGCTCGATTTACGCGATTCGAAGCCCGACGATGATGATTTCCTTCCGATTGTACTGCTCTTTCGACTGTCCGTAGGAGATGATATTCCAACATCGATGGAATGCCTTCTAACTGGAATGTTATCGAAGCTCAACTGGTTGTTCTGCTGCTTCAGCCAGCGTATGACGTGCTCGTTTTTGTCCTCCTCCAACGAATCCAACGGAAAGTCGAGGTTTTCGTAAATTTTTTCATCGAGGTGTATGTAACCCAACTTCCTTCTTCTCGGCTTGATTTCCGCTTCGTGCTTCTCTTCCAGGGAATCCTGGATGATTTCACCTTCGATCCTTTCGAAGGCGCTCACGATTTTATCGTCCAACGTATCCCTGCTGTACCTGCAGTACTTCTTCAACAATCTCAACACGATTTCGTCGTTCTCTTTCGATATCTTATCAGTCTTCTTACGCTCAGTCTCCGACGATAATAAATTATTAATAAATACGTTATTTTTATCTAAAGATCTCAATTCCGGCATCGACGGCCTCCGTGGCTGCTCGGCGATCCTGCCCTCCGGTATTTGGCTTAAACTCACTTTGCGTTCGTTTGTACTTTCACTAGTATCTATCACATCGTCACTACTAACTACAGAATTTTTGGAATTTTGAAACATCAGCTCCTTGTGTTCGTCGGTGAGCTCAGCGAAGCCGTTCTCCTGCAGGATCAGCTCCTTGTTGGCCACCTTCCGGAGGAAATCCGAAATCGTCGCCCAATGGGCTTGGGTCAGGACGCCGTGCAGGCGGATGGAGGAGAGCTGAAGGGGGATCCATCTGTTGTCTTTGTAGCACCAAACCACTCCACCGTTTACATTAACCATGCTTCCAAAGAGGCATCAAAGGGGGTTTTCAGGAACATCGGTTTGTTTGCGACAACTACTGGTAAATAGAGTAATTAGGTACTGAATTGTGGGATCGACAATGCCTCGATATTTTCACTGAATAGTTTACACTTCTAATTGTTTACAATCGGTTAATTTGGAGCAATGCATGTGATATAAACGCGATTGTGTAATAACGCTTTGAAAGTTGATTTTTTTTATAAAGAATTTGAAAGTTTCGCGGAATGACAAACACCAATAATCTCTCTATTATAATGTCTAACGCTTTCGGAGATGGCAGGTACAGCAAAGTACCAATGATATAGGTAATGTTTATTGTTCGAATTGTTTCGCGTGTGTCACTGAAACTCAATTCGATATTTGAACGATTTTAATGTCACTCGAAGCAACGCGAATGCGGCTATATCAAATCTGCCTTTGATCTACTAAATATAAAGAGATCAGTATTAATTAAGCGGATTAGAAAGTAAAAATTTCGAGAACGATTAAATCGTTATTTAATACATCATAAGAAGTCGTTCTACTTGATGCCTTCAATCATCATATTGGTTGAGTGGCATCCGTCGAATGAGAATAATTACAAAATACCGTTGGTTACTCTAGACATTCTTAAATGATCATTTCTTATAAGGAAATCTAAATTTAGATTTCGTTTCCATGTATAACCAACGCATGTACTAGTTAATGATGAAATATATAATATCCTAGACTCTTAAGACTAACAGTAGTTCAAAAAAAATGTCCTGTTTGCAACCTATTACAGTAGCGGTTTCGAAAACTTGATCTTCGACTAAAATATTGCTATTTGAAAAATTCCTATTGTTTACCGGAGTGTCTCAACATTCTTGGAATACCGATCATCAATCAAGTTTAATTTTCAATAATTTTTTACTCTCTGCTAGTTACGTAATAACGGCCTTCGCAAACCAGAAACCACCTTCCTGTTTACACAAAAAATGCAGCGACAGTCGCAAAAAAAACGTTCAAATTAATCCTGAACCTTACAGAAATTTTCCGCCAACACCCACAACTTCTTAAAAGACAATAACAATTATACATGTGTGCGAAACTCCGCGCGGAATATTAATTTTGCGGTGACAACATTGTTACTACCCGCAGACGCATTGGAGAAATAAGGACGCACAGTCGTTTGGAATATTTTGCATTAGCATACAATAAAATTGATAGCGAATTGCAATGACTCACATATATCGGAACGGCTGAGATAAATTGTTTGAGTAGGTACTGCTCGCTCGGTTTTTCACGCCTAAATACAGTGTAGAAGTTGCTGAAAATTCGCTTCAAATTTCCAATTTCATTCCTCTAAGTTTCGAGATTTTCCCCAGCAATTTTTGAGTATGTAGCTATCGTAATGATAGCAACAAAATGAATAGAAAGTAGGAGCAATTGGCTATTGTGCATGATTAGCGTGAAAAACAACAATAATTTTGGTTCCTGCAATGTCCAACCAAGCCATCACTCTATTATGTTCCTCGTTTCCGATTTATTGTTGCACGTTCAGGAAATAGCATTAAATCTGGGTGAACAGCCTTGTAATATTATGTACTTTTGTAGCACACACCGTAATTTGTACCGTGATTATTAATCAAAACAATACAATTGGCCTGAAGGATTCGGATTTCGAATAAATTGATCGTTATTTGTGTAATTAATTTAAGCCTACACCCTTATGTTTACCCTCTATTCCGAAACTAACAGGAAAATGCGTTCCCTCTTATAATGTAATTGCTAGAATTTTTTATTGGAAAGTTACATAATTATTTGTAACTACTATTAATGTCATGGTTTTTAATAGTTAATTAAATCAAATGTTGAAATCAAGGTCAATAAAGAAAACAATACCTGCAAGTAAACCAGATTTTGACATTGAATGGCCAAAATTTTTCGTTCGATACGAGTAAATAAAAGTTATCATCCTCAAGTAATTGCTAGAATATTTAATTACATAACAATGGTTTATAAACAGTAAAAAAAGTACAAAAAATTTATTCTAAGGAAAAAACTGGCCAAATCATAATTAACTCTTTTTAATTAACTAGTAAACTCGGTGTTTGAAATTCAGCAATAAAAAAATTGAGCCAAACGTTTCCGTCCGAAATGTATTTCTAAAAACACATTTAGATCCAATTAACAAGAACAATTCTGAGAAAATCCGTCGATTTTCTTTCTACATTACCAAGCGTCTAGTTAGCAAAATAATCAACGATCGCACATCATGATTACGCTTATAATTTATTAAACAGTGAAAATTACCAAGGCATTGCGAAATGGTGCATCGAAGAATGAACGAGGCGCCTTTGCACCTGCATTCAAACTAGATGAAAAAATTCTTCTATTGAATTACAAAGCGATTTTCTTCGACTAGACCAGACTAGACTTGCAATTTTGAAAATTCTTTATAAGCAAACTAATGGGTAATTTGTATGTGTACTTAATGATCGAAATATACCTATAGGTATGTAATTTATTTCTAATTTACACAACCTTCTTATTCAACATAACATGAATATAGCTTTGTTTAATTTATACTAGACAAGGAAATAAATTATAAATATACATATTATGTAGGTAAGTACCTAAATTACTTTTGAATTTAACAATTCAATGAAAGTTTTCTTCAAATCAAATATTTAAGATATACGGTATAATGTTTATGAACGGTAATATATCGGTTACGCTGGCCTTGTTTGTAAGTTTACGAGGGATATTATAGGTGAAATCGTGCCTTAGACAAATTTTTGTTCGAGCAAAAAACAATAGCATTAAGTAAATCATGCACAAAAGGCCATTAAATGGTCGCACGCGGAGAAGGTCGCAAAAAAATGCGAATTTTGACGTTGCGATATGGGGATAATAAATAATAAAATCGTCTGCGTTTGAATGAATGAATAAATCGAAGAGAAAGTAATTTTATCGTAAAAAATATCCGCGAGTTTTAGATTGCCGGCGCCGTACAAAATATTTTTGAAGAAAGTTCAATTTATCAAAAAATTCGGACTAGTTAACCAAGCGGTTTTAATAAGTGATTTAAATTGTCTGGGAGTTTAACGGAACTGGCTCAAATCTGATGTAATTAAAAATTTTATTTCAAAATGCATACTTTTCATACTTGTTTTGATAGAGTGGAAATGGAAATATTCGAATTAGCTATGAATTCTTAAATATTTTAAGAGAAAATTGTTTTTCTTCAGAGTTTAGGAAATATTGAAAATCCAGAAATTGGGGTCAAAATATTTATAAAAACGAATGCTCGAGAATGCATAAAAAAATTCAAAATTCGGTAGTCATTTCAAAACCGTACAATTATATTAAATACATAAAAAGTGTACATTTCATAATTATTATTATCACGTTTTATTTATTTTTTATGATACACGTTATAACAGCATTTACAAACAAATTTTATTTGACAGTTTATTACACCAATTGTTACTATTATTCAGCACTGATTATTATTTTATTAGCAAATAAAAAATAGTAACATTTAAAATTTACAATTTTGAACGTTTCATTTTATAGTTATGTTTTCAAGTAATTATTAAATAATACGTGTGAATCATTTCATGGTGAAATTAAAGAAATCAAACCAAAATAAAACTTAAATTTAGGAAATTTAGCTCTACTTATGTATGAAACAAAATCAAAACAATCTCAAAAGTGATACTAATTAAATTATTATTTTAAAAATATCTGTATATCAACCTATTAGATAATAATAAATAATATGTAGATTTGTATAAAGTAACAGGTTTAGCAAAAATAAATAAATTAAGCCAGGATTAAAATACCCAAACTGTACCTAATAGAAAGAAAAATTCATGGCAAATGCGCTTTATGAATAAAAAAATATTTCTCTTCAAAATTGCAAGCAACAAAATCAGGTCAGGTCAGAATCGACAACACAAATTACCAAAATTTCCTCCGGCCGTTACGCAATAATCCCAATTCGAAATCGACGGCACACAAAAAATTCAAACAGACACACACGCGAAAAATCACTGAACGCTAAAATGCGACGAGCCTATTCCGCAAAACTGATATCAGCGCGCTTAACCCACTTTACCAACAATCCAGCGAGAGGTAAGTTCGACAACTGATTGTGTATGCTGCACCTATGACCACTTTACACAATACAGAAGGATCGCACAGACGTTGAATTGGTGGGAGCGCTGGATCTTCTTCAATGCGTGGACGTCGTGGTGTCGCAGAGGACACTTCACCAACGCCTTATTTCATACCATCCATGAGAAATTTCGCATGATTTCGTGAAATTTTTGTATCCAAAGGAGACTCTGGGGTTGTTCAATTTCTTGTTTAAAAAGATTAATTAGGAAGGTCGAAGCATAATGTTTATAAACCTTCATATTTCTTATCAATTCGTTCGTAACACCTTCATTCCTCTTATCATAATTGTACCTTGTGTATTCATTGCGATGATTCATATTCAATGAAACTTTCAAAAAAAATAAAGAGTTTACTAGTGAAGGTAAAAATTAAAACCTCTAAACGCACTAAATGTACAAATAACAAAACTTCTTTTTCAAAGAACTATCAAAAACCCAGCAAGTATGCAAATATTATATTCAGTTTTCACGCGACCAACCGCTGGACAATATTCGAAGAAACTTATATTAAAAATAAACAAGGTTGCACCAAATTAAAGCGCTTTCCATTTCCACGTCGATAACGCTAATTTTTTTCATCTACATTGAGACATCGTGACATTGAAAAATCGATAATTTCGCAAGACTTTGAAAAATGCGACAAAACCAATACGAGAAAATTCGTGCCAACGCACACATAAAAGGTTGAACAATTAAAATAAAAAAATTTAGAATTGCCGACACAAAACCATCACGAGGATACCAGCGAGTAAACAAGCGTGTACTTTTAAGCAAGAAGTTTGATTATTTTATTAGCAGGAAGAAGGCAAGGTAAACAGAGCTATATAACAGAGACTTGCCGGTTTGAACTTTCACATATAGATTGCGCGAATTATTAGCAATAATGTCGTGGATATTCGAATACGTGATTATTAGGCGAATCGATCGAGGCCTCGAATCCGCTTATTTTTAAAGGTGAGTAGCTGATGGTCCCCTAACAAGGTTTAATGCCAAAATATCGGATATTTTATACATTATCCAAAATGTAAACAACTTCCGAGAAAATTGAAAGTAAACCTTTCACCAATTCAATTTATTAAAAAATTACAAGATACATTTGGGCTAGAAATATATGGAGAAACATTCCTAAATTCAAAATATTATCCACTGCTAATGTTATTGAATACAATTGAACAATAAAAACAACTACAACTAGACCCTGTAGATAAAGTAAGGCAAGACCAACAACCCCATAAAAGACAAACCACAGTGTCACAATCGAAAATAAGTATTGTGGCAAGCCGGGCAAAATATTAACCAAAAATCAATTTATAATAAATTTTACAGACAAGGGTTGCATTATGAACAAACGAATAAATTCTAAATAACTACAAATATAACTTTAGAAAGTATTGACACCAATTGATGGGATTTAATCCTAATATTGAGTTAGTCTAGATACGGTAAAAATGAATGGTATGAAGAAAATTTATAAAACTAAAAATAAATCAAATCATGATTTAATGACTGGGTACTTTCGAGAATACAATAAAATTCGGAAAAAATAATTGCGTATTCATATTTCTCGGTAGTATAATTTAAGTGGTAAAAATATCGAACTAATACAATAATAAGACGCTATGTACACACAAATTACCATTCTATAAGAGTCATCGAAAAGCGTCACGACGAGTCAACTAAATGGCCGCCGTATAAGGACCGTACTTAATTTTTTTCTACTTGCAATTCATTGCAACATAATATACTGCATTTTGTATATGTTACTTGTACTCAATTTCATAAATTCATCTCACTGTTTATTCTGCATTCGAAGGTAGAATTTATTTTAATACATCTCTGAACGTTATTAAATCTAAACTGTGCAATGTCATACCCTATAATTTATTACACATAACGCGATTATAACTGTATTATTTTAAAATACAAAAAACTACAAAATTTGAACAGAAGAAATTAGAGAGTAATGGGATCAGCATCATAGATGAGGGTATCAATGACGGATCAAATAGAATAATCGTCTGAAAAAATTCACCAAGAAAATAATTTGTATCAAACAACCTACACTTATAACACACATTTCTTTTTTACCTACTTTCAATAAAATATCTCGAATCGTATTATAGTTATTCCACCAACATCCATCAACGGTAATGATACAGTACAATCTAAATGCGATGTATGCACGTCAAAAAGAACAAAGACTGAAATTAGATCATAAACATAACCGTTTTTATAATCGAAAAAATACGAAAGAAAAAAACCGAGGATTCCGCAAGTTTATTGTCCGTTGGTCAAGGACGAAGCCGCGATCGAGCGGCATGTGGTCGTTCACTTCGCGACCTTCCAAGTACGCCGGTGATGCTCCTCGCCCGGCATCATCTTCTAACTTATGACCGGGGGTATGAAAAATCCGCGATGCGCCTCTTCGGGAGCGAGTGATTTATTTTTAGATTTATATAACATTACAGGTTTGCGGGCAACGAGCGGCGTATTACGGCAGCGAGCGCAAAAAGTTGCACTTATCAAACTCGACGTCGATGTCGAGGTGAGGTAAAAAGTCGTTAGCATTTCGAGAACAACGGACGCGATTCGATTGGAAATCATTCCTATCGATTTGTTTTGGTGTGTACATCAGTAAGGAAAATATAATAAATGCTTATCACATCTATGAATTCTTGTAATTTACATACTTGTTTTATTAGAGCTGGTATTATTCAGTGCCTTTATAAAGTCCTTTTACCTATAAGTGACTAGATTTGGCTTTAACTAAATTTGCTCATTAGAAGCTTCTAATTCGAACTGTACAGCAATATTTTATGAAAAATAACAACCTACTTTGTTTTTTTTTTTATAAATCCACCAGCTTTATTAATAATCAAAAATAATGAGAATAAAAATCAACGTCCACAATGCCACAGACAAGTGTAATAAAATTGATTATTATTGAAGATTAAATATGCATTAAAATTTGTGGAAGTCAAAAAGACTTTAACACGGCACTGTAAAATGAATGATGAGTTTTTATAATGGTCTCTCGAGCGAAAATGATAAATAGCCCTCTATTCATATTTGGCTCAAAATATTAATCTGGGTTTTCCGTTACGCAATTTGCAACTCTTTTTTACCGATGGAATTACCATAAGAAATTAGCGTCAATCTTCCGAGAATGTCTCATTGGATTTTACATAGAATCTCAAGAGAAAATGTAACGAGTCCTTGACATTTTTCCCAGAAAACACGCGCTTAAAAGGAGGTTCCAGCTTTCTCAATGAATTAACTTGCGAATAATAAGTGTATAATAGATACAATAATTTATACGAAAAGTAGTTTTGAGAAAAACATATTACAAAAGTAACTCTAATTTCTAAGTCAAATTCGTATGTTTTTCGAAGCTGTAATCGATGAAATTTGCAAGCCGAATTTTAATCTGGGTCCAGCTTTATCCGCCCAACGAGAAAAAAACACGAAATGTAAATCATGCTCAGCCGGCGCATTCGAAATTCGAACCAACTTCTCGTTTTATTTATACTTCTATAGAGGCATAATATTAATTTTATACCGTAATTTATTGGCCGAGTTTAAAAAATGCGCGGAATAAGATGGAACGTATATTATGCGATTTCGAGTACCTCTACAGGCAAAGGTGCTGGGCACTTTTTATTCGATTTTTGGCGCCAGCTATTGAATAATTACACGGATTGATCCGCGCGTTATGCAGTTTCACCGTTCTATCTTATTACGCTTTTAGTCACAGCGATGCCCTCGAAATAAGGTAATCTATTTAATTTTTATTGCAACTTTAGAATTTTTTATTTCTATTGAGAATTCTAGAACGTTAATAATTGAAGTTTCTAACAGCTCCAGCCTAAACATATAAAAATTGGCTTGTTTCGAGTCATTTTTAATAGCCCTCATTTTGGTTTTTAATGTGGAGGAACTTGATTGTGCCAAATTATATGCAATTTAGTATTAAAAATTTATATAGCTGCTTTAAAAGTTGCTCTAATTTATTCACTTTATAGTACCTATAATTTATATGTACTTACATTGTAATACAAAGTTTAGTATTGTAATTAGGTATTCAAATTGACATTTTTTTTTACTTTTTACATATTTCTATAAATACTAATGTATTTATGTTGCCTTTCCGGTAACTACCGAACAAGAATCTATTTATAGCACCATACATATTCCTAACTATAATTAAATTGTGCGATTCTTCTTATTGCTTCCACATAATTGCTGTGTGACAGGAGAAAAAGGAGCAAGTAATCAGCTAGAATGTCTTATGTAGGATATTTATATCGGTTTTTGAAAAACGAATAATCAAAATGGAGCTAAATAGTGTGAGATGAAGAAAGTAACTCAATCGGTACTGGCGCCCGTTTTGGCTGGCGGCGCCGGCGCCCGTTCTCGAATCTGGATTTCCGAGAATCTGCGAGAGCCTTTTTAATTACATTGTTGCACTGTTAAAGGTTTTTTTTTGTCCGGTCGATAAACGAATTTACATTTCAAATTCCGGCTGTTTGCTTTATAATTATGAATTTTCTCTGGCGTTACACATAACAAGCTAATCTGCGAGGGAATGTGCTTTAATTATTTCTGTACGAGGTGTTCTGTACGATTTTATTCAAGTTAAGGTAGTTGAATAGTTATTACGGAATAACAGAATTTGATGACAAAATTGCTTCATAGCGGAATGTTGCTTCATGTCTTGAAATTTGAATGAAAGCAGAGATTTGAATATGAAATGCTGGGAATACCTTTTATTACCGATTAACTTTCACATTTTAAGATCATTTATTATTATTGCGAATTGAAAATTTCACAATTATTTGATGCTCTATGATGTGGGTTTATTATTTTCAAAAAAATGTAATTCAATTACCATTTTCACTGAAATAATTTCGCTTATAAAAGAGTTTATCTAGTGCTTGTTTTTACCAAAACTTGGAGGGTACAGTAAGTAGTTTTTAAACTTTAGAGAAAATGGTGTAATTTTGCGACTCATATAAATACTTTTATTTATACATGTTCAAAACAAGCGGCCCATTCGAATTCATTTAAAATTTCAAATGTCTGCAAAGGAACGGAATGAAATCCCAACTCATTTAGCAAGGCAACGGACCGAAAACTACAAAAATTTTTCATCCATCCACATAACGAAGTATTCACGAACTGTTCGATAAAATTAATTCCAACAATAACTCAAAAATTCAAAAAAAAATCGCCGTGTAGCAGTCAGTGGCGCGGAGAAAGTACTCCCGTTCGACGTCGATACACAACCGTGAAGGATTTACTTTTTTTTACATTTCCATTCGCAGTCGCCACTAATGACAAGACAACATCCGCCACAACCGTTCGGTTAATTGCGAATAGCTGACCTTAAAAAAAGCTCGCTGTCGAAAAAAAAAACAACCGGTAAAAGCCGTCGAGGTATCGAGGCTCATGCCGATGATCTATTATTAAGAATGCTGATAATTGCTTGGAAGTTTTCTGGAATAAGCGATGTCGTCGCGTGATTAATTGTTTAATTGCAAAATGTATTTTCGAGCAATTTGTAATGCGCTATTCGAAATGTATCGGCGTAATCTAGAGAGCACTCTTAACGGTAAACAGTTATTAAAACGTAAAAAGCGAGCACTTTTATATCGAGATCTCAGGTAGGTAAGTACTCGAAATCTTCTAAAGATTTTCTATTTGCTTGTTATGAAAAAGAAAATTAAGCTTTTAAGCGGTTAAAATAGAGAAATAGAAAGCAGTTAAGCCTTTTAAATCCCTCTAAAAAACCTGCAATAATGTGTAATAATTACCCATTGTTACTTCACTATTATAAATAGCGTATGTAATCAATTTCGTTTTTTTAATACATAGGTACTGATATTAATCAAATGACTTACATTGCACCGAATGGTATCAAATGCGGTTTTCTTCTAAATATTGCCAAAATAAATCGAATTATAAACCACATATCCTACGGACTCATTTAATAGCCAATACAATGATGCACTAGCAGAACACGAAAAGTTAACGCAACAAGAAATAATGGTCGTGACGGTTTTTTTATTGAAAATAATACGTTTTCGTATAATATAAATAAATTAACTAAATTGCATTATTCTCTGAGGAGCATGATGATAATGAATGTTTAAATATTATGCAGCATGTACGAGATGATTACGCGCTCGATTCGTTTGGTGATTGGTGATCGAACAATACAGACAGAAAATTTTTAAATAGAACGAAATTTATCCTATGGTATAAACAAATTAATTCGAAAAATATACGTCATAGAGTCATTTCGATGGGAATTTAGTACGTTCGTATTTATAAATTCCTTTTAATGATTTGCAAATACTTCTACAGAGTCAGGTAAATAGATAGATTTTTGAATCTTACTAAATATGCACATAATTTCTGTTTCACGTCCCGTATAAAGTATCCTGTTTTCTTTATTAAAAACGTGCCTATAATATATGTGGAAAAGTTACAAATATTTTTGTATTCGACTAATTAAATTCCGTGTTTAATGAGCATTGTGTTGCATGAAACCTACATACGTGGTCTCTACTTTAATAAAAAAAACTAAATACCGCACCCTATAATAAGTAATCTAATAATGGATTAAAATAAAATATGTTTAAGATAATATTCATGAAAATCAAGTAATGATTAAGAACTAATTAATGGGTTGCAATATTTTATATAAAAATAATAACAATAAACATGATAAATAATATCAGTGATCTCACTTGTGATTTCCTGTATTCTATTTTGATAGCTACTTTGTTAAAATAGGACGATAAAAACATATTTGAGATGATACATAAACTCTACTATCAACATATTATTTGATATTCATTTCTGGCAAATATGAATCGAAGTTTATTCACAGCGTATTATTAATTTACAAAAATTAACAAACTCACTCACTACACTACTCTAATCTCATATTTCCTAGAATATTTCCTTCTTCAAATGAAAGTATTTAATATAATCACTCTAGTATCTTTTCAACTATTTGTGGTTTTCTTTCCAAAAGATTCACAAATGGTAATCTCATTGAATGACAAAATCCATTAAGAGACATTTTACTATCAGTTATAAGTATAATGTAAATTTTATAAGGAAAAAATAGCTGGAATAAACTGTTAGTCATAAAAACTAATTAAATCCTACTCTCATTACAGCAGATACTTGTTAGAATAAGTATTAATTCCACAAAGAATAAGAGAATGTATAACTAATTTACATAATGAATTCAATAAAAATCACCAGCCTACTTGCAATTTAGCTTTCTTTTATAAATTAAATAAAAAAGGAACCACGCCAAGAGAAGAGTAATAAACACAGTAGTACGGCATTAAAGCGGTATTAACAAATATTACATAAATTCAAATATTTGTCGAGCATTTAAATCGTACGGTTACACTCGATGTATTCATTTAATGCGAACCTCGGAGTGTATTATGCAAATTGTCATTAGATAAAAATAAAAAGGACCGATTACTTACGGTTCAGCTTCGATACTCTTCAATTTGGCTACATAATTCGAGGGGATGTACCCTTCCTGCCTCGTCCTCTTGCTCCTGGCCAGCCACCAGTCACCCTGAGTATCGTTCAGTATCTCTAAATGCTCGCCTTTCCTGAAACTCAAGTCCTCGTCCGTCCTGGCATCGTAGTCGTACAACGCGACGAAGATCCTCGCGCTGGTCTGCTCGGGCTCCGCGGGGTTCACCACGGGGGCCCTGGCCACTTCCGAGGGCGGAGTCGGAATGGGGTTCGTCTGCAAGACGTTCTCTTCGATCGAGCTGCCGCCTAGGCCCCGATTGTTCCGTTCTATCCTATCGGTCGTGCTCGGGCTGCTGAAACAATTGCCCATTTTCTCATTTGTTTTTAGTCACCTCACTAGTCACAAATTCGTAATCATAACACACTGCGATGCGGGTCGAAAACCGGATATATCGGAAAAATGTCTCGGCGAAAACTCATTAACGGCACATAATAATTAGAATTATCGGGCCCGATTCGAAGAGCAACGAATTTATTATTAGGGAAAGGCGAGTATTCCTTTGGAAACTTTCGCTTTCATGGTAATTGTTAGTGACGAATGTTGGTAGCATTGGCTGTCGTATTTTTAGGTTAGATTTTGTGTTGATTTGTTTGTCAAACGTCAAGTGTCACTGTCAGTGTCTAGCATATTTCAGTTTGCTCAGCAAAAAAAAGTGTGTATCGTACTTGTAAACTCTATTTAACCGCGATTTTTATATTAAATATAGAAAATTAAGAAGAAAGTGCTCCGTTTTCTGTGATAATAGAGTTTATTAGTTATCCTAAATTTTTTATATCATGCCACAATACAAAGGTACAGTACTTAACACTTTTTTACAATCCTAACCTATCCTTTTATTTTTTATAGTCATCAACACTTTCTACCGAATTAAATACTAAATACTTTACTTATTTAACTAAATACGCTTTCATTGTTTTATTGCACGTTTCAGTAAAAGTAAAATGGGGAAAAGAAACTTATCCGGACATCGAGGTTAACACAGACGAGCCTCCCCTACTGTTTAAGGCCCAACTATTCGCGTTGACCGGCGTTCAACCAGAAAGGCAGAAAGTTATGATCAAAGGCGTCACCCTAAAGGATTCCGATTGGAACAATTTCAAACTAAAAGATGTAAGTCATATAAATAAAATATGCCTAATCATCCTCACTGGTCTTTACATATTGAAGATTTTTTGGCCTTTTTGTACTTGTTGAGCGCACCTATGTTTGTTGAAAGGCATTTTAATTATTATTTAAGCTAAAATTTTTGTAAATTTGTAATTAGGTCACATAATTTGTTGTAAGATTCTTTATTACGTTGGTTCATTTATAATTGTTTACTTCTTTCCTCAGGGTGTGACTGTTCTTTTGATGGGCAGTAAGGAGGAAGATGTTCCCAAGGAGCCCGTCGAAAAGACCGTCTTTGTGGAAGACATGAACGAAAGCGAACTTGCTACTGCTGTAAGTAATTCTTCTAAAAAAACATCTACAAATTATGCTAAAAAAATAATCTTCCAGTTGGATCTACCGGCCGGTTTAACGAATCTAGGAAACACTTGCTACATGAACGCGACCGTGCAGTGTCTGAAAGCTGTACCTGAATTGAGGGAGGCTTTAAAAACATTTCAAGGAGGTAAGAATTTTAAAATTAACTCCATAAATAGTTAATTAACTGATCAATTTTTAAAGGTGTAGCAGCCGGAGGTAGCGTCGTACCGGCTCAATCTATCACAGCAGCTCTACGAGATCTCTACAGCAGTATGGACAAGGGCAATGCTGTGCCTCCTATAGTACTACTACAAGTAATGCACATGGCTTTTCCTAGGTTCGCTGAGAAGAACGAACATGGTACTTTTGCACAACAGGTACATTTAGAATAGTATTTACGTTCTGTTAATTGCATTTTAAAATCTTCTAGGATGCGAATGAGTGTTGGACCGAATTGGTCAGGATGTTGCAACAAAAATTACCTGCTAAGCAGAGCGACATGAAGACCAGTGAGCAGTTCAAGTAGGAAATTATTTTTTTTATTTGTAATATTTATTGCTAATTAATTGTGTTTCTCAGGTCGTTCATAGATCAATTTTTTGGCGGTACGTTCGACGTGGAATTGAAATGCGTGGAGGCCGAGGATGAGCCGGTTTCGAAGAGTAAAGAGCAGTTCTTGCAACTTAGCTGTTTCATATCACAAGACGTGCGATATATGCATTCCGGCTTAAAAAATGTAACCCTGCAATTTCGTAATTTCTTTTGGATAATTTTGTGTTGTTTTTGTAGAAACTCCAAGAACAGATTACAAAGAAATCGGCAACATTGGACAGGGATGCGGTTTACACGAAAACCGTGAGTACTATTGGATCTACTAGCAATCGTATCCTAATTATTTTTTTATTAATTTTAGTCGAAAATAAGTAGATTGCCGGCTTATTTGACTGTACAGTTCGTAAGATTCTATTACAAAGAAAAAGAATCGATTAACGCGAAAATTTTAAAAGATGTCAAATTCCCGATGGAATTCGATGCGTACGATTTGTGCACTTCACAATTGCAGGAAAAATTGACTCCCATGCGTGCTAAATTCAAGGCAAGTTTTCTTTATATTCCTCAAATTAAATGCTTGTTAATTAATGTGGAATGATTTTTTTTTATTTCATAGGAATACGAAGACGCCCAAGTGGAACTAGCATCTAAAGATAAGGGGTCAAACAAGAGTAAAGGGGATAATAAGCATGGCAAGGTTGAAAGGAAATTTGCACCTTATTGGTTCGAAGAAGGTACTTGTTACGCATAACAATTTATGGATAATTGTGTAACGAAATTGAATTGTATTTTAGATTTAGGGAGCAATAATAGCGGATATTATAGTTTACAAGCCGTGCTAACCCATAGAGGAAGATCATCGTCCAGTGGACATTACGTTGGATGGGTTAGACAGTCCGATGACAAATGGATTATGTGCGATGATGATAACGTATCGCCCGTTACAACTGAAGATATTTTAAAACTATCCGGTGGAGGTAAGTTTTGATCATTTGAGCAATACCTATACTCCTCCTAGTTTTTAAATGGAGTGTAGTTAAAAGATTAGAAGTATTGAGAATATTCTACTGATTTTTTTTGATTGTAGGTGATTGGCATTGCGCATATGTATTGCTTTACGGGCCAAAGTTATTGGATATAACTGAAGCCGAGAGCATGGTCACCGAAAGCGAAAACATGGTAACTGAATAATTTAAAGTCCTAAGAATTGCTTTAAATATTTATAACTTTGTATTTGACTTTATCGAAATAAAAAAAACAATCTTAATTTTGTAAATTAAACAAATCAAATGTTACTTCGGTTTTTATTTGAGTATAAAATCACACTATAACATAAGTTCTATAAATTAATTTCAAAAAAACACCGCTGCCGATCGCTCTGATTGTCCGCCAAATCAAATTCGTGAAACAATCAAAGAAATTAGACTTTGAATTCGAAAAATCTATTTGGCTATTAGTGTTGACTCGTGTTTTGGCAGTACTCATATTTTCATTCATAAAATTTACATACATGCAATTCCAATAAATAAAAATGTACAAATAAATCTCCTTCCATTAGGAGATTACGTTAAAATTTACATAAAACACTCGATATGCAGTTGATGGAACGAATTTTCACGGGAATAATTGAGGCAGAAACGTTCTCCACAAGAAAAACTCCAAATATAATCAAGAAATAAAGACAGTAAAATGCACAATCCACATCAAAAGTGAAATAAAGGAATTTACTTTATAAAAAAATATATTTAGTAGCACCACTTAACTTTGAAGCTTACCATTATACTCTTGCCATAAAACATTTTTCGCATATCGTTCGATCATTTAAAAATTACAGTTTCGGAATTGCATTCCAAAAAGGCCGACGAACGTCTAATAAAGTATTCTGAATAGACGGAGAAAAAACTAGATATCTATATACAATAATGACAAGATAAAATTTTTCTCTTTGCTTAATTTGAACAAGTGTTTAAGTGCAAATATTTCAACAGTTTCCTCGTTTTCATCTATCGGTTGCTAGAAACTAATAAAATGTTGATTGGAATTGAACGTTTGTTAACAGAAATGCAATTATTAATTACTCCTTGTATTTTCTTTGTACTAATGACTAATTCAAATCGTCATCTTTAGCCTTAAATCGGTAAAGCTAACGTAAGTTATTCTCGCATTAAATAAAAATTATAATCGATTTGTACCAATAGAATCGGTCGTGTATATAACCTACTCTCATTTAATTTAAATATAAAAACGCTAATTATTCGAAATTGCTATCACACACTTTTCCGTAAAAAAGTATTGAAATGTACTGCATCAAACTATTTGCACCAACTAAAATACTACCAAGTCGTGGGGCGTTTTATCAAAAACTATTAAATGTCGAAGGTACCCGTAGTTGTTAGTCGCTAAAAAATAATTCGCGATGAAATAAAAATGTATCCCTCCCTTTATCGTTTACAAATTTTACCTACAGACCAACAGAAATAGCTAAAGTGTTATTTCCGCCGCACTGTACCTAATTGCATTAACACTTTAAAGCAAATAAGTAGTTTGAATAATACCTACAAAAAATTCATTATTCAGACGATAAAGCGGGAAAGTTACCGCTAAAAAAACGAATAAAAAACCTACACATTTTCCTTCAAACGAAAATTTCTGATAAAAAACCCGCTCGAAATACACCCATCTGTTCATTCTGTAGCAGTAAACGTGATAAAAACAATGCTATCTAACTGACGTAAAACCCTCAGTCATCATCATGCTACTCTATACGAATCCGATTTGGATGAACAAGGCTGTATGTCGTCTAAGTAGTTAAGCGGGTCCTGCTTGGACGTCGACGGCACCACCGAATAGTTCACGATGGGCTTGTAATTGTGCGTCGTTTGGTTCACTTTGTGCTGGGGCGAGTCCGTCGAAGACGTGTGCCTCTCCTGCAGGTGGAAGCTCAGGTCCTCCTCGACCGGCTCGTATTGGGCCATGTGGCATTTCTGTATCAGCGATATCACCGCCGATTCTATACTACAAAAGTATCCTAAGCACTGCAAAGAAAACGATACAATTTTTAATCCAAACTTCTCTAATCCTCTTACAGACAATAGAGAAGGATCAAGGGAACAAAGGGAATGAAGTAGAGAGAACAAAAAAGAAACTGCTGATGATAAATATGAATTACTGAGGCTAATAATGCAGGAATAATTAAAGGAATATCCGAGAATCGAAGGAATGATTGGTTGAGTTGCAATTAGTAAAAAAAATTGTATACTTACCCCGGTAACTAACAACTGATGATGAGACCACTTGGGCATTTCAATTGCGAAAGTCATGTGAAATATGAGACTCGAAGCTATAAGGAACAACACACAAAGGCTTACATATAAATATGCATTCTGAAACAGAAACGTTGAAGCATATTATGCTGCGTTAGGTACAAGCCTCTATAGTTTCTTACCACTTTTCCCCAATTGAAAGGAAACAAATAAACGATGTGGGATATATCAAGAAATAGCAGAAGGCATGTCACGAACATACTCAACAACGTTATGAACAACATGAATCGTATCCGCCCGGCCGACGGAAGCATAAACAGTCCTACTTTGAGCGTTCCCGACGTGCACAAGCACGCCAAACATGCTATAGAAGTCGCCTGGAACGAAAATTCAAACTCATTACGACCGCTCGAGCGCCGCGACCGGGCCGATCCTCACCAGCAGGAGCAGCCGAAAGAACCCCGTGGACGTCCTGAGCTGGGTGTGGTCGCAGTAGAGGATGACGCCTGAGTAGAGCGATAGATCGGGCGAGGGTGGGTGCCGGCGGTAGTGGGAGTGCGAGTCCCAGGAGTTGACCGTTCCGAGGGGCGATTCGCACTCGCAGCCTCCCGCGCACTCGGCCGTTCCGCTGAGCGCCCCCGTCCTGCTGCCCGCTATCTCGAAGTCCTGCAACACACAACTCATACCATCCGGGTCCTGCAACACCAACAGCAAGCGACGGTCACAACAGTGATGCGGTGAGATGAATGAAAATGAATAAATATGTCGTGTATAAAGTGAGTGGCCTACCTTTGGTAAAAGATACAAACTGTAAAATTCTTATTAAACAATTATTCTTGTCGTTGAATATTCAAACATATTCCACTAAAATCTATTGACTAAAAAGTTTGGTATCAAGTGGAAGGTACTGGAAAGGGAATGAAACTGTTCTAGTTAAAGGAACAAAAAATAAAAAAATATATTTATATTACAATAAATGATCACAATACAATAAAAAATAAAATAAAAACAAAAAATAAATACTAAATAACACGATAATCAACTGAAATAATAACGCTATACAAAACTAGCTTAAATCAAATATTTTGTTCTAAATAAATTGGTAATATTAATTATTTGTACTTAAGCTTGTTTTGCACTAAAATATAACAAAAAGTATTCAAAATAAAAAAAAACAATTCTCTTAAAATAACTCAAAAGTAATTCCATGCCACATCTAATCTAATATCTAATTCTTTGGTAGAGTTTTTTTTTGAGATCAAATCATACACACAGAATAATCTGTTTCTACTTATCACTTAAATTGTTTACAAACGATATGTAACGATTTAATTAAAATATTCTTGGGTTTATTTTGCTCTATATTAATAGAAAATTTCATGAGCAAATTCCTCCTCTAGTATCACCAGGAGCCTCAAATAGCATACACTCCCAATCTACGACTATTTATCTACTAAAACAAGAAGACTTTTTCTTTCACACAGTCCTCAATACTAGGAATTATATTTTCTTGTATCTAACGAAAGCATTAGAGGGGATCTACCTAAGAAAACTATGAATTCATGCAAGTATGTATAGCACAGCAAAACGTTTGCATTTTTATCTGAATTTTAGGGGACTACCTGAATGTCTTCAGGCCTGTAGCTTTTCGACTCCAGATCCTTAATGTCGTCGAGTAGAAATTCAATTTCGTCTGTGGTATAGAGTAAATCGGATACGGAATGGATGTACCTAGTACTGCACTCAGACTGCATGTCACATCAACATTAGCTAGGCACTGCCCCACACCAGTCCATCTTTTCCTACTCTCTGTTCCAAACCGAAAATTACTCCCCTGAGCCAGCTTTCGGACCTACAATTGGACACGTTACACACAACAATAAGGTCAAGGGAGTTTATGACCTACAATCTTCAATCGAATGTAGGCTGGTGGATGAATGAAAAAAAAATCATGGAAGACGGGGTTAGACAACATTGCAAAAAATACGCACCTTTTTGTTAAAATACGAACCAATTGTGTAATGCGGGGACTGTGCTGGATTAGAGAAATGTTTGATCAAAAGGTGGACGCCAGAAAATAAACGCCATGTTTATGAATTCATGTAAAAAACCCCATTTCTTATAGGGAGAGCGATTTTATGCAGAGGCACACGTTACGTTTTTACAACGCGCATGTGCGTCGATGCGCCACGCTAACAGTGTTACCACAACAAGGTCACACGTTGAAATTCCCTAGATATTTGAAAATTTTCAGAAATAGTTACAAAGATAATAAATTGTCGAAGGAAATGATGTAGTCTATTGCTACGTTATTGAAGTTAAAGACAACTAATTTTTTTATCTATAGTTCATTCATTCATCAGATGAACAAATTATTGAAAAATTATTGACTGAAAAAATCCTAGAGTTGCCTTGGATGTCACTGACTGTCATTTGTCATTGTCAATTCATTCTTAACCTCAAATTTAAGTAAGGTTAAGAAGTTAAAAGTGTGTTTTATTTATAATAAGATTTGTTATAAATAATTAAGTTTAACCTAGTGATTATAGTAGTCCGTGAGATTCATAAAAATTATCAAAATTCGTTTTACTAATTTTTGTAGAGTTTTACTTAACATGGGTCGGAAGCACCGGACAAGAAGAAATCATCATTTTAATCATAATAAGGTAATATTCTTGTTACAAAAATATAAATTATTAACAAAATATGCATACATTTTCTTCATACTATTCATATTCTTTTCTAGGATGCTCAAAAACCGGATAATGTAGACACTCGAAAACCCTATAGCGACATAATAAGAGAAAATGAAAAGTTCGAGCAGTATTATAAAGTAAATACGCGAAAAATAATAAATAAATCCACAAATTCACCAACATTTCTTTCAGCATCTTAATATCTGCAAAGAAGAAGAATTTAATACGTTCGTATCGTGTTTAAAGACGGATTTACCAGCAACTTTTAGAATAACCGGTTCGAAAGGAGTCGTATACAAATTATTGGAAATTGTTCAAGATCAACTGATAAGAGATTGTGTCAACGAAGTAGAAGGATTGGAAAAGCCAAAAATATTTCCCATACCATGGTAGGTGCATAGTTATATTATTTTCCAATTGATTTAAATACAATTAATAATCCTGAGTTTGCTATTTAGGTATCCCAACAAACTAGCATGGCAAATGGAAATAACCAGAAACGATATAAGAAGATGCGAAGCGTACTATAAGCTTCACAACTTTTTGGTGTCCGAGACGGAAAATGGTACTATTTCCAGGCAAGAATCCGTTAGTATGATACCTCCTCTGCTCCTCGATGTTCAACCACATCATAAGGTATCATCTGTAATTAAAACGATCTATCATTGGGGCCTAAACAATTTATTTTAGATACTAGACATGTGCGCTGCACCAGGATCAAAAACTGCGCAGCTTTTGGAACTTCTCCATGCGAGCGAAGAGCCCATACCATCGGGCTACGTCATAGCCAATGACGTTGATAACAAACGTTGCTACATGTTGGTCCATCAAGCTAAGAGATTGAATTCTCCTTGCATTGCCGTTATAAACCACGACAGTTCCATTTTACCCAATCTTTCGATGACTCTACCTGATGGGTCAACCGAACAGGTTTGTTACGTGAACTAGTATTTTTGAGAAATATGAATTAAAATTGAATTACAGGTGAAATACGATAGGATTCTTTGCGATGTTCCCTGTTCGGGCGATGGGACTTTACGAAAAAATCCTGATATATGGATGAAATGGACAGCAGCAAATGGATTAAATTTACATGGGTATACAACATAATTAATAAGATTTTTAAATAGCTAATGTTATGATTTTTAGTGTACAAACCAGAATACTAAGAAGAGGAATTGAATTGTTGAATGTGGGTGGAAGATTGGTGTATTCTACTTGTTCCCTCAATCCCATTGAAAACGAATCTGTCGTACACAGAATTTTAACGGAATTCGAAGGTGTTTTAGAACTAGTTGATGTTTCCAACGTTCTACCCGGCTTAAAATATTCACCCGGTAAGTAATTCGAACAATAACATTCGAGTCTTCAACAGTTCGTATTGCCTCGATAGGAATGGAAGATTGGCCAGTGTCGAGTAGAAATCTAGAATTCTACAAAACATTCGATGAAGTAGACGAAAAATGGAGAACAACTATCAGACCTCAAATGTTCCCGCCTAAAGTTGAAGACAGAAGCAAGTACAATCTTAATAGATGGTACGATAAATACTAATTAAATAACGTTTTAATATACATGTAACTTTTTAGCGTACGAATTTTGCCGCACCAACAAAATTCTGGAGCTTTCTTTGTGGCTGTTTTCAGAAAACTGAAAACCTTACCCGAGAAACCGAGCTCCTTAGATTCGGAAAACAAAGAGACGCTGGACAACAATAAAAGAGATAACGAGGACAGCAGACCGCAAGGACAAAGGAAAAGAAGGAAAAAGGACGCCTATACAGAAGATCCTTTCGTATTTTTTACTGAAAACGAACCAGTCTGGAACGACATCAAAAGCTTCTATCAAGTATCGGACAGCTTCGATTCGAAGTGCCTGTTGACGAGATGTCACGTGGGTAAAAAGAAGAATATTTATTTGACCTCAGAAGCAGTTAGGAACTTGGTAATCACCAATCAGGGGGCTGTAAAACTAATCAACACAGGCGTGAAGGCTTTCGTGCGCTGCGATAACAAAAACATGAAGTGTGCTTTCAGGTAAGCCTTCATCAACTCATGTCTGTTGAGTGGAGAGTAGTACTATTTTTTATAAAACTACATATTCTTATGAAGTCATTAGTGAAATTTTTAATTTTCTCCGTTTCCTATTACAATCTTAATCAATCGATCTGGTTAATCATAATTTCAATTCGTTTATTAGGATCGCTAACGATGGATTGGAGAGCATATATCCTTATATCGGAAATGATAGGAAAGTGATGATTCCAAGGGATGATTTGATTACTTTATTAATGAATGATACTCCTCAAAAATCGCCTCCTATAGCCGAGCTTTCGGAATCGATTCGAAACCAAGTGGATAATTTAAGTGAGTACATTTTTATCTATTTTATAGTGTTATTAAAATTACATGTTTGTTTTGTTTTAGGTCCAGGTAGTTGTGTACTCATTTATAAAGAAGAAACTTCTACTAACCCACTTGTTATTCACATAAGCGGGTGGAGAGGTACCACTTCTTTGAGATGTTACATGGACAGACATAGTACTTTCCATTTACTGAGACTTTTAGGCGGGGATGTTTCGAAATACGGTAACTATAAAATTATAATAGAAAGTAATATGTACTTGATTAATTCATATGGTATGTTTCAGACAAAAATAAATTCAAAAAAGACGATTCGGAAGAAGCTCGAAACGTCGAAGAAGCCGAGGAAGAGGAAGGTTTAAAAGAGTAGTTTTTATAAAACAAGTTTAAAATCAATATTTTTATTAAAAGTTGATTAATGATTCGTATATTTTCCTGTCTTTTATCCCTGTATGTTCTTTATTACCATTTACTTATCCAGTTATATTTGTACTGGTGCATGATCAGTTACAGGTTTCGAAGCTACTACAATTTTCCCTATTCCAGTCATCTTTTCATCTATTTCTGTGATACCAAGAACCTTCCATTGTGTATTGTCTGAGACACCTGAACCTCCGCTATCTAAATTAAGCGATGATGAAGCAAAGGTGGAAGGCCACACGTAGAAAATCGCTAAATCAAAGCGCACTCGTACAGGTCCCTCGGCTCCGAACGGACCTTGGAAAAACCGAAATCGCGGTAAAAATAAACCGCGCGACAATTAGCATCGCCGATTTTTCGAAATTTCGCGTCGAAAACGTCACGGGGCAAAACAAAAAAGTGTTTTTCTTTCGCCGCTTCTCTCTCCGCTCGTATAAACACTGACCGAGTACAAGGCCTCGCGTGCTTGCGCCCGAAATAGCCGAAGTGATCGGCTCCGACAACGTGCCAAACGGTGAATTCAAACGCCGATTGCACGTCCAATTAACGAGAATAATGAGTTTCGTGCGGAATATTTTCGGTGTAGGTGATAACAAGGAGAGCGAACAGGAGGACGAGGAGACCAGCGAGGAGATCTCCTCGTCTTCGGACACCGGCTTCCTCAGCAACCTCAACAGCGCCAGCGACTTCGACACCAGCTTGGGATCCAACGGGTCCGGGGACCCGGATTGCTCTACTATCTCCAATTTTTTCGGTTATTGGTAAGGGTTTTATTAATGCGGTAATTGTAACGTGGAAGTAGGCCTGGTTAAGTTATAAATATCGTTCAAGTGCTCTAGTTGAACATGTATTTTTATTGATGTTTCTCGATCTAAACGCTCTTATTTGCTCTCGAATTAATTTAACATGCAACAAATTCAACTACAAATATATTATTTAAAAAAAATGTAGATTTTACCTTCTATAATCAACTTATATTAATTATTTTTATTGTTAATAAACAAAAAAATCCGCTGTAAATAGTGTTGTTTAATCATCTTTAATAATTATTGGTAGGGATAAATTTTCCGATATCACGCCATTTAAATACGTATTTAGAACTAAATATAGGTAACCTGCGAACTTGGCTATGTTCTTTCTTCGTTTCATTTTATTTTTATTATTATTTTTTATTGTTAGGTCGTTTATTTTGGCAAATATTCTCTCTAATTAGACGTATCGTTGCTAAAATTGCTTTACAATATTTATCTAATTACTTTTATTGTCTTCAATGTGGATGGAAAATGTACATTATTATACTTTCTATCTTCTTTGTAGAATTTAGAGAAATTGCGTGGGATTTCTAATTTAAAATTGGGCTGATCGATTGCGTGTAAATTTCGTAGAATATTCGGAGATAGTTATTTAGTTTAGAAGTGCAACCCACTGCAATGTTAAATTTATCAGAGCATTTCTTACTTTGCGAAACTCCGATGTGTTAATCACCGAAATTTATCCAAATGCACCGGCTCAAGGCGACAAAAATAGATAATAACTGGTTATTTATATGAATGTTATTCATTGTAACTGGACTGTGTAGGCTGTGCTTGCGTATATTCTTTAGTGACCACTCCAAAAATTTTGCCCAAAATGGAACCATTCAATAATCTTGCATGTTTTTGATGTACTCTCTATTTCAAACGCGAGCTTTCAAATCTCAAATCTCCCGTTCTTAAGCTACATTTTATTGAGTATTTGAGGTCTTTCCTAGACGTTCCATTTAGAGTTTTTCTCACCAAAGATTATTCTGTTAATTTCAGTCAATTAACTCCTAAAATGCTTACTAGTCTGCGAACGAGATAAATCCTGCAACAGTGCTATTTTATTTGCATCTGTTTCGGGCAATTTTCCGGATAGTTTACATTTCTAAAAACTGGACCCTGCCAATTTCTATCCTTCTTGGAAGCCCAAAACTCTAAAAAACAACAGGAAATCAGTAATCGCTCTTTTTTCCCACTTTTTTTCGGTGACGCCGTCCCATACATGCGCTTCCGAGATACTCTATACACATTTCGTAATACCTGCTTCGAGACTTATTAATAGTTTCAGTGTTCAAAATTTCCATCTTGCCGAACTGGCACAGTTTACGACGCGATTGTTGATTTGTTGGGTTAAAGGTGTTCCCGGTGGTAATTTGTTGTTAGATAAAAATCGCACGAGCTGTTGATGGAATGTAATAACGCGTTGGTTTCGTAGCGAGACATGTTGCCCGGGTGGCTGTCGAGGTATATTTCACAGAAAATTCGTTTAGAGATCGTTTTTAAATAGCGATATAATGTTACAATGATTTAGGTTCTTTAGAGAAAGGCGCGAATTTTGGTTTTACCTGGTTGTGTTTTTGATAAAGCCTCAAAGATAGATGTTTTTTGGGGTATTTTTTTCGTTAGTTCTACAACAATTTTTCTGTTTCATACTTTTTACTCATTTGTTGTTTTCTTCTCAAATTAATTTCAATTGTATTTGTACCATTATTTACGCTCGAGTTATATCAATTATTCATTAATAATTTTCATTCCAGTTTTAGATACTTGTAAAAATTCATCCATTTCTTTAATTTCATTCTAATAACGAGTCTTTGAGTAGCTTAAATGGCCATCTCCTTTCTATTAATAAAGCTTCTATTTAAAGATGAAGTGAAGTTGTCACCCTAGAGTTAGAAATTTAAAAATAATAAAACCTGTTTTTCTTTATAAAATCAGGAAAAACGTTTTTTTGGTTCAAATCTATAATTTATTTTATTTACCCGAGTATAAGAAACTCTATCCCTTTATACAAACTCACATTTATATTTGATATTTTAAAAAAAATCTACTATTCTTTCGTCAATTAACTGACTTCCTGATTGTGCTTCTTACTAGCAATTTATGGGTACTTGATAAACATTATGAAATTGCATGTTTCGAAAAAGCTCGTTGGTAATGATTGAAACATCTCGTTAATGCATGGAGAAACATTGGAAAATTATTAAGCCAGACTATACACATCGATCAATCTTCGGTATCGCAAATATTTTAAGTTTGATCGAGACGGAAGCGCGCTTAATTAATTTATCAAAGCTATTTTCGAACTCGAACGAAAATTTTATCGCTTTTATGCTGTTCTTAGCTAGAAAACATTGCCGACTTTTTTTAGCAACTTCTTACGTCAATTCGGAGTATTTTTAGTTAGCGTAAAATGCAAATTGTCGACGGGCTAATTGAATTTTCCCAAAAACGAGCATCCTAGCTGATAGAAACGTCAATGGGTGTTTTCCATTTATTTTGAAGCTGTTTATTTAACTTTGCTTTGCGTTTTGGGTTATTTTTTTTAAATATTTTTGGGTCATTTTGTGGTATACTCGAATCTACTTTTTGCGTCATTTTATTTCGAGTTTTGATATGAAGAAAAATTTTGGTAATTTTAAAACACAGTACAATCTGATAGAGAGCACTTGATCGACTGCCAAAATCGTCAAGTGTCTTAGAGAAAATGTGCGAAAACTAATTTAAAAACTAAATTTAAACATCCAGACCTATTTATCACCAATGCTTTTATTATTAATCAAAATATTCGCGTATTTTCACCCGTGATTCATGAATTTTCCCACCAATTCTGGAGCTTTCTTTCGAAAGCTCTCACCAGTTCAACGCCCCTTATTCACTTCCCTAAACTCTATATATATTATTAATTAAGCGAATTTTTAAAACAACTCGCCAAATTTCAGGAAAAGCCTGGTCAACCAAGAAGCCAAATTTCAAAGCAAACTCAACGACCTGACGAAGGAGCTCTCCTTTCGAGATGCCGAAGCGAACAAGCTCAAATTCCAAATGGAGGAGCTGCAACGCGACGTATTCGCCAAATCCGCAGGAATGGACAGTAAGTGCACATTCTAAAACCGAAATAGAACCGATTGAATTAAATATTCCCAACCATCAGGACTCGAATCCGAGTTGAAAGAAGCCCAAAAAGAATGCGAAACCATCAGCAGAACCATAAGGAACTTAGAAAACGATCTTGAGAACCAGAAGAAGAGGAATATTTTATTAAACAGGGAATTAGAAGAAAAAACTGGTAAGTACCAGTAACTCCAAAACACTCACAAACTCCAAGCTATATATAAATCAATTCCAGAATCATTCAGTGTATCAGAAAAAGACTACAAATCGAAAATAGAGCACCTGGAAAATGTCATAAAAGAGCTACGCACGAGGATCGAAAGCTTGGAGAAGCAGCTGCAGGTGCTGCAGGAGGAGAAGCTGCAGCTGGCCCGGCGGCAGGAGGACATCCTGAGCGAGCGGGACGAGGAGAAAAGGCGCATAGAAGAGACGCTGGAGCAGGCGCAGAAGCAGAAGGAGCAGCTGGAGGAGAAGTGGAAGAAGGACTTCGAGAATTTGCGCACGGTGAACATCCTGCGGGAGCAGGAGATGCTCGACGACTTCGAGTGGAAGCTGAGGGACGTCGAGCAGACGTGCAAGAAGAAAATCGACGAGAAAGATGAGGTGTTGCAAATGTCGTTGCAGCATTCTCAGACAAAGGAGACCGAAGCTGAGGAATTATCCAAAAAGGTAACACGAAATTACTCATCAAAGCGAAAATTACTATATCTTTTATTAGATAGAGAATCTCATTATCCTCGAAAAGGAGCTAAACGAATTAAAAGACAAAACGACGGAGCAAAACAGATCGATGAAAACCCTAATCGAAGAGCACGAGCAAATGCAGCAAAGCGAAGAGAACCTCAAGACCGAGGTGAAGAAGCTGCGAGGCCTAATCGACCTGGAGAAGGAGAACCTGCAGCACATGCAGCGCATCCATCAGCAGGAAATCCTGGACAAAGAGAGAAAATTGCAGCAGACCCTCAACGAGAAACGCATCGAAATCGCCATGTACTGGGAGGACCGGCTGCTCAACGAGATATCCAGGCTCAAGTACGAGCTGGAGCAAATTTACAACGAAGAGAAATATTCCGCCGTCGAAACGGTGAGGAAGTCCAAAGACGATGACTTCCGAAAGGCGGAAAGGCAATGGGAACAGAAATTTACCGAGTATTTAAACGAGGTAACTATTTAACTAAGATAAAAGTGATTAATCATCAGCGCCGTGTTACTCTAGTGTTCTCAGCTATTCCTGCCGGTCTGTAAGTGTTTGAATTTCGTTGTAGGTGCAAAATTTACAAAAGGCCCTCGATGAAAAGGATGAATATTACAAAAACGAAATAGTGAAGCAACAGAGCATCACGGATCAAGACATATTCGAACTGAGAAGACTCATAGATAAATTAGACATGTCTCATCACGAAAAGTACGATAAACTGGTAACGCAGCACGAAAGCGATTTAGGTAAGAGCTTCAAAGAAGTGAGATTTGGTGAATTGAGATTATTTTTTTAGAACAAGCAAGGTTAGTGTATAATAAAAAAGTCCAAGAGGTAGAAGCTTATTGGATGGAGCAAGTCGAATTGCTCAATGCCAGAATAAACGCGATGAAGCAACAAATGGAAATAGAAGCACAAGAAAGGTTAAAGGTTTTGATACAGACCCATCAATCCGATTTAGGTAACAACAATCAGCATTATTCAATCGAGCTTTTAGTTTAAGTTTACCTTTAATAATCATTTTCTGTTTTTTCTTCATTGTAGAGCTGTAGATATTATTTGCTTTCATTCAAGGTTCCTCTTTTGTTCTTCCACACATTGAAATTCCCTTTGATTTATTTACATTACACCATTTATCAACTAATAAAGCTACTCATTTTACAAGGAGTTTGATGGCAATAAAGCATAGTAAACCATTTCTAATGTTTATCTCTTCTATCAATACGATTACCGACATTTCCTCCTGTAGAAGAACAATGGGAGAACCTTATACAGCAAAAAAAGGAAGCTATACAATTTTTAGAAGAAAAATACATCTCCAAATGCCAGCAACTGCAAGAGCAGCTGCAGCAGCAGCAAAAGTCCCACACCGGCAGGGAAGTGGAGCTGCTGAAGACGGTGGACGCGCTGAAAAACGAACTGCAAAGCAAGGAATCCATCATAGAAGACATGCAGAGCAGCTTGGAAACCCTGGAGGGCGGGATTCAGGTCCTTAACCAGGAAATAGCCCACCAGAGCGAAGTGATCCTGAAAGAGAAAAAAGACTACGAACAAAAATTGAGGTAATGAAATATGTAGTTTCATAAGGATGCTTTAAATTGCATTGGTTTAAATTGCAGATCATTCGAATCGAAAATAGCGAAGATGCAACACCAGCACGAAAACGAGCAGGAAGCGTACCGATTGAAATACATCAACTCGCAGAAAACCTACCAGCAAACAGTCGATCACCTTCAGAAGAAATACACTTGCTTAACCAAACTGTAAGAACCAAACACCTGTATACAGGTTGCTCCATTTTTGATCGCAACATAGGTTATATAGGCCATGGGTGCGATAAAGACGACTTCCATTAGACACTTACAAAGGAAAAGGAAAGAGTGACATTTGTGTCATTGCAACTTTTCACTCTGACAATTAACTGTCATTTTAATAGTCTTTCTTTGTTCCACTCATAGAAATGACCATGTTGCAATCGGAAATGGAGCAAACGATATAAAACCACTCCAAAATCGCTTATTTTCTTTCAGATTCGAAGAGGTGCGGCAGAGGTACGAGCGCAGGGAGTCCCGACAAGAGGACATCAACATCATATCGGACTTGAAGCAAGTCATCGCCGAGCAGGAGAAAGACCTGAACTGCATCAACGAAGAGAAGAGGTACTTCCAAATGAGATTGATGGCGTTGGAGAGCCGGCTCGACAACCGGGGATCCTCCGACGATGAATCGCTGAGCAACGATCCCCCGTTCGCCGATTGCAACGACGCTTTCGCGGCGGAGACCGCGCTCCATCCTCCCAGCGCGCCCCATCAATCGCACGGCCCGGGTATGCTCAGTATTCCACCGACGATAGAGGAAGCCGAAGAGTAATTTAGATTTTTCTACGTGTTAGCGTTTACCTACGTTTATTTCGCACAAACATTAACGTGTTGGAAGTAAGGAAAAGTTTGGGTCGTTGACGTGGAGGTTTTCTTACTTTTTTTACTTCGCAGAATGGCGTCTAGTTTGTATTTGAATTGTTTGCACGGAGTATATTTGTATATCTTTGAATAAAGCCGATTTTATATATAGTTATTTGCATAGGTGATTTGTTTTATTTCATGTCGAACAAGTCTATCTCGGCCAATCAGCGTCGCGCTACATATAAATCGCGGTTGTGTTGTAAGATGACAGTTAGAGCTGTCAAAATTTCGAAAATTATTTTTTGACATTTCGAGGAGAAAATGGAGAAATACATCAACCGAAGATACGTGAGCCAAGATGTTAACAACAAAATCATCGCTGATTTAAGTATATTTTTTATCTATTTTTAGTTCGAATAAAACCTTTCTTGTAAATTCTATATAATAATTTTATGTTCGTACGCAAAAAACCGTGATATATCGCCTCCTAGCGGCCGTTTTAGGAACCCTGTTTTATCTTCAAAAAACGGGACACTTTTTCGACCTGTTTCTAGACTTTAGAAATATACGACCGTGGTAAAAAGTAAAATCAACGATATACTAGAAATCGTTATATTACATGTATGAATATTTAATCCAAAACACCGAATTTCATATTTTAAATTTCCTCATTGTTCATTTTATTAATCGATTAACAAGCCTATCTCTCGGATTCAATCGTGTCAAAAATACAACGAAATGATTAAAAGTACGTTCCAATATTTCCCCCAACAAAATCTGCTCCCATAGAAAGATTTCATATCAATAATTTATCTTAACCTATGGTATTCAGTCCCTCATCTTAAACAACCTATTATATCGAATTAAAAAAGAAAAACAATAATTATAAAAATAAATACGCTCCCGTCGGACAAAAAACCAACGCCTATTCGTCCGGTAAATCCTCGTCCGTGGCGTATTCCGATTCTCGATCGTTCGTTTCGGCCGGATCCTCCTCTTCAGAGTCCCCGAACTCCCACTGAGGGTGCTCGGTGATTTCTGCCGGCGCTTCTTTCACGTCCAACTTGATCTCTTTCTGCTGATCGAAGCCCAAGTACGAATCGGACCTGAGGCACACGGTGAAAGTGTACAAACGTGGCCAATGTGGCGCTGTAAACTGCAACGAAAATCGCTCGGTCAACTCGAAAATTCACCGAAATTCAATGATAAATTCTACCTTTAGATGGACGACTTCTTTGTCGACGAGACTAGTAATGTGATAGGGCGCCGTCAGCAACGTCCTGGATTTTCTGTCGCAAATGTAGGTCCACCAATATTCCTGCTTATCGAACGGATAATAAGGACAGTGAACCGTGTGCGAAATTTTAGATCTTCCTTCTAAAGACCTCTCTCTTCCGCGGATTTTTTGGAACTTCTCCCATTCCTGCAACATTCCATGTTAACCTTCCCTCGACACATTCGAAGCTTCCCTGTTACCTGATCGTCATCTTCGTTCGATTTATTAGCATCTTCATCGCCCGAAGATTTATCATTGTGTTCGGCGCTCTCGACGTCACTTTCATCTGTTTCATCAGTTTCTTCGTCTTCATCTTTTTTGTGCTCCTTGTGCTTAGACGAAGCAGACGCATCTTTTTTCTTAGTCGCAGCTGGCTTTGGTGAATCTTCAGTCTTCGACTTGGGCGCTACATTGTTCGCCTGCTTGTTGACCGGCTTCGATTTCTTCGTTTTCTTACCGCCTAGAATTTCGATTAAAATATGAACCAATCTAAAATGTTGTTATTTGAGACTTGCCCTTCTTCTGCTTGAGCCATGCAGGTCTCTTAACGACGGTTTCGTTAGCACCATCCCCGGTACTTTCTTTTGCATCTTCGATACCACCATTTTCCGTTATCTCGGTGGTGTCTTTAGCGAGCTCGTCTCCGAAGAGAACGCTCATATCTTTCCTGATTAGAGTAACAGTGACTGTTACGATAGCACCTGCTGTTACCTCATTAGGGTTGTCGTCGTCCATAACTAAAATAAACACCCAGTATTATAGATTCTTTAATATTTGATGATTAAATACCTTCGACTTGAATCTGAAAATCAACATAAGGCATCTTCCCCAACACTTTCATCACATCGTCGTACTGTTCGTCGCTCAAACTCTTCAATAAATTCCTTCTTTCATCGCCTTTGAGCTGAGCGTACTGTTGCAAAGATTTTATCTGGCGTTTTTTCGACATGAAATATTTCAAATTCTCATCGTTGATGTACGGTAGTTGCAACAGGGGCGATTTAAAATCCCAGAGGCCTTGTACTATCATAGGAGACAGCTTCATGCAATTCTCTATGGTCTCTATTGGCGGTAATCTGGGGACTATAATTACGAATTACGAACAAGCACATATAGGCTTGTATAATACATACTTCTTCTTGAATACGCCAAAATAATCAGTTCATTAACAGCGTTGACTTGTTCGTTGATCAGAAACGGACACTTTCCGATGACGTATCGTCTATCTTGTTCTAACGTTAGAGGGTTCAAAGGTATCCGGCTCAAATGAGCGTGAATTAGAGCACGAGCTTTGATGCTGTACAAATAACACAACGGTTTTTCTTTATTCTTTTCCCCCAGATTAGGAAGCTTCTTAATGAGCTGGAATGTATACGATAGTTAAATTTTCTTACGATATGTAAAAGATTACACTCACTTGGGGAACTTCTTGATTGTCGGACTGTCTTTCTTCGATTTCAGAGTTGTGCTTTTTATCGAACTCCCAACTGGCGGCCAAAATCATAATGACGCGTTTAATTAAAGCGTTGGGAGTTTTGTTAAAGTAGTGAAAGTACAAATGTGTGGTATCTAGTAACACTTGATCTCCGGTGTATTTGATACTTCGATACCACCACATGCCCACCTACAACGTTAGATATGATTGAAGATGTGGTAAGGGCATGTTCGATGGTTGTACTTACGACAGTGGGTAAGGCAATCATAAAAACAAGAGCGTAGAGCCCTAGGACCCAAACGCTATTTTCTTTTTCGACGATCCAGGATGGTAGGGCTATACCGAAACTCATAGCTCCTGGACCGTCTGGATTGCCGTATTTTTCCCAATTCCTTCTCGCCTCATCGTCTGTTAAAGCCTAGAATCGAACAATTATATTTCTTAACCAGTCGACTTGTAATCGAAAACTCACCTGATAAGCTTTCGTTAGTTTCATAAATTCTTTCTCATTTCCAGTGTCTTTATCTGGATGCAAGATTAATGATAGTTTTCTGTAGGCTTTTTTGATTTCAGATTGACTAGCACCAAGAGGGATTCCTAATATTTCATAAGGGTCAAAATTAGACATTTCGTAATCGAATTGAGATACCTTATAAGCTAGAAAAAATAGTACTATCCAACCACATATGATTACTAATTTAATTAGAAAATTCTTGGGACCCTTCCATGGTTCCATTCTCTTTAAATGGTCTCTTTTCGACATACATGGTGGACAATTGCACAGTTTAATATCTTCTTTAACATCTGAAATAAAAAGAGTATTTATATTAGTAATTTGTGTCTTTATAAAACTGCAATATGTAAGTAAATGGAATTCATATTAAATGGAATCGGTCAAGTCTAAAAAGATCTCATTACGTAGAAACTCCAATAGAATGTTATCTTCTTAAATCTCGCCTACATTCAATTAAACAATTAATCCAAACTAATTTATAATATGCAAATAATCAAAAAACATGTTACTTATTCCAACCTCGTTTTTTCTTTTTCGGCCAATAGTAAAATGTCGCAGGAATCAAAATTAAAGCTAAAAATGATAGTAAGAAATAGAAAAATGTTCCACCACTTTCATCGTACTGAAATTTTTGGCCCATCTTATTTTATTAAATTAATAGGGCTCCAACGTGTCAAAAATTTTTTAAAATGACATCAAAAGAAAGATGAGCCTTTAATTTTTTTACAGTTAAAAACAGACGTGTCCGGAATATCAGCTCCACATTGTTCTGACACTGACATTTGCGTACTCCAACACGATCTACAACTGTCAATTGCCACTGTCATACAAATATTTTTCCAAAACAAAACTAGTAATTTTGCTTATTATTACATGATTCTTCAATATCCTTTAGTTGATTGTTTATTCTATCAGATACAATTCATATTATTATAAAATTAATTAGGCAAATTTATATATTTTTTGTAATGCTGCCAACTTAATTCAGGTTACTAAAATTGAACGCCGTGTTGGTAATTGTAAAATAAATGTCAAAACTGTCAAAATAGTGACAGATCGTAATCGGTTAGCGGGTTTCAGACAGGTTAACTAAACGCCATTGTTGGACTGAATAATCTTTATTTTGTTAAAATACTTTTGTTTATTAATGGACCTAATAAAACGTTTTAGTGTAAGTGAGTAGCAATTATTAGTGCAATAGTGGTAGTGATTCTAACAATTTTTAAAAGAAGTGAAATTGATAAAGATTAGTCAATGTCAGCAGGCGTGTCAGATCAGGTAAAAATCAAAATATCATTTGACAGAAAGTTAAAAAATATTTTCGGTTTTTGATCGTATCCGAATAATTCTAACACATTCTCGTTTTATTTTCATAAAATGGACACAACAGCGGATGAAAGGACAGGGAAATCAAGGTATGTTTCTGTTGTCACTATGTTACTTTCTTCTTTATCTGATCAAGCAAAATATCAAATGTCTTCAATAATAGTCTCAGTATCGGTCAAACAAGCAGCACGCGTCTCTTATCTTACTTTATTATTACAGTTGATTCATATAGAAACATAAAATACATAAAAATGATTATGTTTGTGTTTTAATTTTTCTTGTTCTATTCATTTTCAAATCTAGTGTCCAATGGCTCTAAAGAACAGCTAGGTGCAGGTGAAGGAGCAACGGGCTCTGAAGAGTTTGAACCATGGAGAAATCAGCAACAAAACACCACTGCTCATACAGCTTATGGGGCTTCCGTACCAATTTCCAGTGCTACAGACATTTACAATATGAGTACAGCAGGTAAAAGTGTAGTAATATTCCAATTTTTAGTTATTTCGATACATATTGAAGTGTACAAAACAATATCAAAGAACTGTTGAACTATGAATTTTCATATCGAATATCAAAGAATTTGCCCAAAGTTTAGTAATAAATTTTATCATTTTGATAAAACGGTGATTGATTTAAAATTGTTTATCAATTATTGTGTCGTATTTATTCTTTATAATGCTATAAACTGAACTATTGAGTCGGTTTTGAACAATTACAAAAAAAATGCTGTGATGTTTACATTAGTTGATTATTAATGTTCTACTGTAAATTGTTCTGCTTAATCGAGCCATAATTTTTATTTATTGATCCATAAAAGCGACAATTTTTGAAACAAATTAAAATTACCTCGAGAATATAAATATTTTAAATTCATTTTATTCCTGATTTAAAATAGCCCTAATAATGTTTTTAATATTCAAAAGGATATTACGGAAGTGGAGGAACTTATCCTTATCAAGCTTATGGTGTAGGAGATGGAACTTGGTCGAATGGAACAGATCCAATGACATTTTTAAGCGGATATCCCCACGATTCTTATTCCATGGATGGTACGTGTTACATATTATTCTATACATATTTATTTTTGTGAAAATTTGTATATTTTTAGGCATGTTCGGTCCTTCGACGGCATTTTCAACTCCTCCTTTCGCCGGTCAACACTCGTCCTTCAACTATTTCCACAGCAACGGAGACTTCAACACATGGGGAAGTCAATTAGGAGGCCAAAGAAAGTACGATGATTATTATAGGGATCACCAAAACATGTACACTCAGGCTATGCCCGATTCTACATTGAAAAGCGTAGAACAAGCAATGCAAAATTTAGGTCAGTTCTCTAACGATTAATCGGTACGTTTCGATGCATCTATATATATCATTGTAGATTTAAAATCATCGATGGATTCGAAGGAATCTTTAGGACAACCGAAGAAAGCCACGTGGGCGAGCATAGCGAGCCAGCCGGCCAAACCTCAACTATCCATCCAGAATCAAGGACTGAAAAAGAAAGGTCCCGGCATGCCGCCCGGTCCCATCGTGCCGGGCAAACACAACATGGACATCGGCACCTGGGACACGAACAAAACGCCACCCCAGCTGCCGCCCGTCGTCGCCAACGCCCCCAAGAGCGTCGTCCCGTCGGCGGTGGCCGTGCGGCCCGGTTGGAACGGCCCGCCGAACAACAGACAGGCCCCGCCGGTGGCGCAGCGTCCCCAACACCCCATGCCGGCGTACCAGCCGCAGGGGATGATGCCGCCGCATCTGCCGCCGCAGGTTAACATCCAGCCCGGTCACATGCAGGTATATATATATACTAGATTTTCCGCATTAATTTGTGAAGATTTTTATATATTTTCGATCGTTTCGTAGGGGATGATACCGCCTCCGATGCCGCCGATGATGGTGTCGAACCCGCCGGCCAGTTCGACGGCCATTACGCATCCCGTTTTGGACGAACTCAAAGGGAAGAACAATTACAATCCCACCGAGTTCGATTTGAGCGCTCCGAATGCCCGTTTCTTCGTTATAAAATCCTATTCCGAAGACGACATCCACAGGTAAACGTATCGGGTCGTTTTATTTTGGCAACGTCGCTCGCTTAGTAAACGAACGCGCGCGGCGTTGCCAAGTCGGTATATAAAACGTACTTTTTTTTAACGATAACGTTACGTTTTCTTTAGGAGCATTAAATACGAAATATGGTGCAGTACGGAACACGGCAACAAACGGCTGGATAGCGCGTACAGGGAGCGCGAAGGCAACGGGCCCATTTATTTGTTCTTCTCCGTGAACGGTTCCGGGCATTTTTGCGGCATGGCTCAAATGGTGTCCGCCGTCGACTACAACTCTAATAGCTCCGTTTGGTCGCAGGACAAGTGGAAAGGACAATTCAAGGTGATTTCATCGACGCAAACGAAACAAAAATATATAATATATACATAACCGACGAACTATTATTTGAAGGTGCGTTGGATTTACGTGAAGGACGTGCCGAACGTCCAATTGCGCCACATTCGATTGGAGAATAACGACAACAAGCCGGTGACTAATTCGAGGGACACCCAGGAAGTGCCTCATTCGAGGGGCGTGCAGGTCCTGCGCATCATGCACGCCTATAGACATTCTACATCAATCTTTGATGATTTTGTGCATTACGAGAAGCGACAGGAGGAGGAGGACAGTCGCAAGCAGCCGCAGATGAAGGAGAATTGCGGCGGCGGCGGTGGACAGGGACACGAATCGAGCGGCGGCGGCGGCGGCAGGGAAGGCCAGAATAGGGAACATAGAGATAGAGGCGATCACAGAGGCGGCAGGAACCACGATAGGGACGGCGAGAGCGGACATCGTTCGGGAGGTGGTCACAGGAATAACGATCATCATGGCGGAGGAGGACACAAGGTAAGATATTCAATAATATAAATAATATTCTATCGAGCTTATAACGTCCTACACCTTCTGATGCCTATTCGCTATTCTTCCCTGTTTTCCAAGAGGTTCTCTTTCAATCCTGGGTCTATTGACTGGGTCTATCTTGTTTTCTTCTTCCTCTTGAATGATTTTTAACATGCCCATATGTACCATATTCCTGTGTGTTGCCTTGCAATCGGCGTAGTATTTTACTCTTTGGAAATAAAAGGAGATTAAAGGAAATATTTGTTTCAGGACCGTGATAGCAACCGAGGCCGCGGAGGTCGAGGCGGAGGCCGTAATTAAAAATGTTAACAAGTAACATATAAAAACATAACACATTGTTACGGCTGCTGTGTTTACTCTAGTGTTATTCCTATTATCGGCTTCTAACGAACTTCATTTAATTTGATGAATCAACACTCAACATTTCTCTCAATTGAATTATTATTATATTATAAATTGCATATTAGAGAAAATTAATAGGCGCAGATCAGTTGGTTTTTTTTTTACAAGGCAGTCGACTTGTTTTATTTTGTTTTCTTTTTCTTTAGGAATTATTGCTTAAGTCTGTTGCTTTTTCCGTTTTCGATATGAGAATCATTTTGGGTGTTGCTAACATTCTTAAAGTTTTTCTAAACATTAAAAGAAATTTCGGTAATTCCTATTTTCTGTTATTATTAAGTTTAAAAGATTTCATTACACGCTGATTTAATTAGTTTTATTGGTAAATTCTGTTGTCTTAACGAAAAATAAATATTGTTTTTGATAGAAGCATAAATTTCTTACGAAAAAATATTAGCAATTAGCATATTTTTTACTTTTTAAGCTTTCAAAGAATAACAATTTTTTGCAGCCGAATTTGATCGTTGTTTTGATAATAGAAGAGCAATTATTTCTCATTGATAACTGCAGAAAATTGTCATTTTTTCTTACGCATAGGAAGTCGCATCTATTGTATTGTAATTTTTCATCACGTTTACCAACACGAATAGCTAAAAGTGGTAAAAATGGTGGAAAAAGCCCGTAATGTTAGCATCATTTGGAAAATGTATATTATTCAATAAGCCGGTAAGGATTCCTCCTATTCAATTTGGATTAATATGTGTGGGTTCTCTTAAACTTTTCAATATATCGGTTATAAAATTCTAAAGGTATATGGATTCTAGCAGAGTAGTTGTACAATAATTGTCCACTCTTCGGATCGGTAAAGAAGATGAAACTAGTGCAGTGTTTTCGTTTGTGTGCCAGAGTGTTACGGACCTAAATAAATTAAATTGTAATATAACGTGAGAGAACTGTAGTTGAATTTTTCTGGACTAATGTTAACAATTTGGTCGTGCGGTCAAGTGCATGTTGGCTGCATCGAATCATTAAAAAAAATTACACCATTCAGTGGGCGACGAACTGTGTGACTGTGCAAGTGAACGCAATCTCGCAACTTTTGAACTGTAATAAATAAAAAAATTGGCTACTAAGTATTTAGTTGGATGAACACTGACGTATATGTTAATATCTGTTGCAGTTTTACCAATGTTTTTTCAATTTTTTAATACCTTGTAGATGAAGATGATGAATAATATGAACTATGTGCACATTTATGAATATTTGTTGAGATTAAATAGTTTAACTTGTGACTGTTGAAACCGATTTCATGCTATGTTCTTATTCATTTTTAATTTGGGTACGCTAAATAAAATGAAGTTCTTTTATTGGAGCGGCGACAATAAGCAATGATACTACGTTTCAAAGAAACTGTAATCTTTGCGTTTAATAAAAATATGATTTATTCATAGCAATTCATGCAACAGCCTTCTTATTGTTGTAATTTCAATATCAAATTATGTTTAAACCGAAATGGTGTTATTTTCTTATTTCTATTGAAATATATAAAAATATTTTAGTGTTCCCAAATTACTTTAGGATGTTAATTGGTAGTTTGCCACATTAATTTGAAAATTTTTGATTAACAAATTTCTTTTTACCTGCATTATATTAATGTAGAATTTTTAACTTTTTTTACATTGCAGGCTTTTGTATCTTTTTGAAAACATAAATTGTTAATCGTCATCGAAATTTAATTAGAAATTACTACTTGGAAGCAAATGTAAGTCAAGTAAATTTGGCAATTTCATCGAATTAATTTATGCTCGAAATTTCGAAAAAATGGGAAATATCGATTGCTACACAATCATCAAACTTCTAATACTACTAATAGGCTTTCTATAACAAATCTCAAACCATCCGTTTCTAAAAACAAAGCCTTTTCCACGGCATATGATTGTAAAAAAAATCGATATTTTTCATACCTTCTAAAATTAATTATAAGCGTATTGTAAATAATTGTAAAAATGTAAATTGAAACCAGAATTTAATTTCATTAGCGCTCGATGACTAAGTTATAACGTATAATTTAACGAAAACGTTATTTGTTGCGTAATTCGAACATGGCATGTTATAGGTTTTGAGTTTGTCTATCTGTACACTGTGCCTAATAAGTTAGACTGATGCATTCGTGCATTTGTTAGTTGATTATACTGAAAAATCTATGTGATCCGAAAAGTGGGCGTCTGTTGATAGCGACGTCGATAATAAATCAATATCTTTAAACCTGTTTCATCTTTTTCTCAATTACCTTCTTTTCGATACATAATTTCAATGAATTACGTGTGCTTTAAAACAATTTGAATCAAATATAACAATTTATTATATTTCCTACATAAATTACACAATATATAGCAGATAGACTAGAAAATAGATACTAAAAACAAATAAAAATTACGAGATTTGAAATCGTAGTTACATATATGAATTTCGAGGCACTTTTTAATATGTATTTTTTTGATAGAAATCCAAAACAACAAATACATATATACAAAAACAATTTCAAAATAAGTTAAAGACAATATGGCACATATTACTATTGGACCCAGTCAAAAGTAGGATGGATTTTATAGAAAAAAAAGAAGAACTGAGTATTTACCCTAATACATATTCGTCTGATTTGTCTTCATAAAAAAATTAATTATTAAAGCTATTCCAAGGTTTACGGTTTAAAACTCAAATGTTTACATTACACATAACATAAAATTAGTTGTCTTAAAAAATTCCTAGTGTGATAGCATTATTTTTTGGTTTTTGGATAAATCCACACAGATACGTGGTCGATTATAAAATATCAAAATACAACAACGTCAACAGGTGATTAAAAATAAATTAATTTTCAATAAAGGCGACGATCAGTCATATATACCTACGTAAGTAAAAAAAATAGGGAATTTGTAAAGCTTTAAAGAGATTTACCGATAGGTAGAAATTGAATTGAATTTTTAAAATGTACGTTTGGGTGTAATGGCTTTACAAATTCCCCCAATATACAGTGTGGCCCAGAACTCGCGTCCCACCGGGAAATATGCCTTATGGAAACGACAATGGAGATGCCAAAACTGAAGATAAGAAAAAGTTATTCCTTTGGTAAATAAAGAGGTTCAAAATCGACCAATCCCAGTAGGAATTCAAATCCACGAAAATGACGTGAATTAGCTATACACCAATTTGACATTATTGAAAGATTCTATGTCATTTTCACTTTGAAGGGCAACAAAACCCAATTTTAAACCTCTTTATTTACCAAAGGAAAAACTTTTTCACGTTTTCGACTGCAGCTTTGGCATCTCCATTGTCGTTTCCATAAGGCATATTCCCCGGTGGGACGCGAGTTCTGCGCCACCCCGTACACAAAAATCAACATCTAAAATTGTATCCTGTATTTATTGGTACTCGAATCCGAGGAACATTTCCCGTCTCGCCCCAACGAAGAGCCCCTTCGCAACGAACCGCCGCCGCCGCCGCCTCCCCCGTACAATCTCACCTTCGTCGAACCGGCCGAATTGTCGCTCAACGTCGACGCCGAGTCCCTCTCGCCGCCCGCCGAGCCGCTCCGCAACCGCCCGTACTCGCCCAGCTTCCTCGGCGGCGGTATCAGCGATCGCGCCGGCGACGCCCGCCGGCTGCTCGCGTTCGAACTCAACGACTCGCCGCCGTCCGACGACTTCTTCTCGCCGTCCGGCAGCCGGTTGTAGTCGCCGAGCCGGCGCGGCAGCCCCGAACGCAGCGACGGCCGCTTCGGCCGCGGCAGCGAGCTCGGCAAAGCCGGCGGCGGCTTCTGCGAGGCGGCCGGCGAGTGCGCGTGCGCGTGGTGCGCGTGCCCGCCGTCGGACATGCGCTGCTGCTGCGACGTGCGGCCCTGCTTCTCCAACAGCAGCATCTCGCCGGACTCGTGGGCGGCGTGCCGCGCCGACGGCGGGGGCAGCAAGAAGGGGCTCTGAGACTCGTAAGCGGCCGTCACACTTGCCAATAATGGTTTGGATATTTTTCCTTTTCTCTGCGCAGTGACTGGATTAGTGAATCCTGGAAAACAGCAAAGTGCCCGCTGAAATAGGAAGAGAAAACCAGAATTGGGATGTGTCCCCGGGACCCTACTGAAAGATGGGTTAGTTACACGGCAACGGCAACTTGGCCACAACGCCATGCTGGGGAACTGGGGTGGTGGGGGGGCGGTAACTTAGAACGAAGCAAGGAAAACTTGTTTTTCTTTATATGAAAATGGATTAATAATCAAAGTTACAATACACGAGGTTTTCCAATAAGTGTTACTGATATATATTTATGTACTTATTATTCCATTTTCATTCCAGATGAGGGCGAGAGGAATTAGAAAAGATATTAATGATATGCAAAACAAAAAAAAAACGGTTTATTCGGATCGACATGCTGTGATACAACGCTAGCGAATGAAATAGCACGTTTCAATTGCAATTCGTTTAAAACAAGCGAATACAATGATTATGGTTTGTAAAGAAAATGATACATGAATTTGCGCGTTTCGAATATTTAGCAATTGGCGCGTAGAAAACGCAAAATGTATCAGTTTCTCGTGAAAACAGCGATGCAATGTATGTAAATGATTCGTTCAAAAAGGAAATTAAAACTTCTTCAACAAACAAAAAAAAAAAACAAACTACCACTGCGAAATAAAAAAAAACTGACTCACTGTTCGACTGTATATGTTCAGAATAGAATGTAATCTAAAATAATCTACACGTATTCTGCACGATAAAACAATCAGTTTTGCAATTTTTAACCAAAATAAGCAGCTAAAGATTACACAAAATGTCCCTTTTCTATGCAACAAATGAATGAATTTATAGTAAATTTACTGTACTCGAATAAGTATTACAATATTTTTAAGTATGTTACTTGATATTTTATTGAATCGTTTGGAAATTACTGGAATAATTTATGACAAATAGAAGCTCAAATTATTAAGAAGGCTCTTCAAAGAAAAGTGTCAACAATTTAACAAAAAGGGACAAATTTGCAACTAATTTATCACCGCTTAAAATACGATAATTTTTTTTGAAAATAACGAATAAGTACAGAATAGTGAAAAGTTCACAGAACGTATAGCCTATAATAATATACAGTCAGTAGAACGTCTCAGTATTTCCTACCTTACTAAGCAGCTGCGAATCGAGTTGGCTATCGATTTCCTTAAGCTGGCTGTCTAATTTTTGTTTGGTCGTATCGTAGGTGGCCTTGTTCGATTCGTACTTGGCGTACGACGGCATGTGGTAAGACGAATCGCTACCGGCATACGAATTACTCGAACCGTACGCCGTCGAATTCGTCAAAACGCTGCTCACTAAAACAAACAAATCAAATCAAAAGATAGAACCGAGTTAGAGCGGCTGATTGACGACAGAAATTAAAACCGCGACCTCTTTTCGCCAGCTAGATTCGTTTTTTCCGGAAATCGAAATTAAAAGTACATTTTTTGACAGATTTGTAAATAAATTATTTGATGGACGTTGTCCGTTCGTTTGTTTTAAACGGAACTACACCGAAATAAGATTTTTTCGTTATTTCGACAATTTCGTCGCTTTTAATGGACGAATATAAAAGAAATTACAATAATTTCCAAAAATATACGTTTCTTAGTCATTTGTACTCAACAAAAACCAAGAAAGAATCAAATTATTTTTAAAAAAACCTACTCTAATGACAGCGGCGATGAAAAAATTTCGAACTGTCAAAGTTGTCATTTCCGTTACGTTGACATTTAATTTGATGTACAGGGTGTTCTTTCAATAAAGAAATCGGAAAAATTGCTATATAGGGTGGTTTTTTTTATCTTAAATGAAAAATTGTGCATTAAAATTGAAATATAGTACAAGGCGATTCGTTTTTAAGGAAATTCAGCGAGTCAATGTATAACTTGGATTATAAACGAACCTAATTCTTCTCTCGAAACAGCTGTTCCTAGAACGTGATCGATATCAGCTCCTCCTAGACTAGGATGCGGCGTGTGATTCGGCGATCTTCCCAGCATGCTCGAAACATCTTTATCGTAAGTGTGTTTCTGCAAAACTCTGATCATGGCGTCCCTTTCGGCCAACTTCGATTCCAAATCTTTCAATCTAAGAAGATAAATAATTAGAAAAAGAGAGTAGATGTGGCAATCTGATGGTCTTTACCTAGATTCCAAATCGGCCACTTTCTTTTGCGCCGCGTGCACTTCGTCCATATGTCGAATTTTCTCGTTCCTCGCCTCGGCGATGATTTTTTCAGTCTCTTGGCTCGTCTTCTCGAGCGCTGCTATTTTAGCGTCCCTATCGACAATTAACAATTATCACCAAACTTACAAAACACACAAAAACAAAGCGCATACTTTGGTATACTAGCAGCATCGATGGCAGCCTGTCGAAGGGTACTCTCCTCGAGGTACCTCTGCTCCCACTTCGCGCACTCCCCTTCCAACGTCATAATCCTCTCGTCCTTCTCCCGAAGCTTCCTCTTCAACTCCGAAGCGGTCTCGTTGACGGACATATTCGACATGTTGATGCCCATCCACTCGCCGTGCGCGTGCGCCTTCACCTGCTGCAATTCCCTCTCCAGCTGCAACCGGAGCTTCTTCTCCGTCTGTTCGCGCCTCTCGCTCGCCAATTGCATCGAAGACAGCGCCCTCTGCAATTGCGACACGCGTTCCACGTACACCTGCTTCTTGCGACACTGAAAATACCGCTCGTAAATCAAAAATGGAGGATAATCCCGCTGAGTTTACCTCTTCTTCCAGACGAACAACGTTCCCTTGCGCGTTCGTCAGAGCCGTATCTAAAATATCTATGTGAGTCCTTTGCTCCTGCAACGTGGCCCGTTGGGCGGCCAATTCGATTTCCTGCCGTTCTTTCGCCGCCGATAGCTCTTTATCTGAAATCGAACAAACGTTAGTGGTTGACTGAATAGTTTAGTAATCGAGGCATTTGTGTGAAAGAAGACTTACTCTGAGAGATGAGCTGTTTAATGAGGCCCTCGCGCTTGGCGAGCTCGCGCCGCAGGTTCTCGGGCACGCCGTAGTCGGGCACCGGCGAATGGGAGAGCATCTGGCTGGAGAGCATTTCGACCTGCTCTCGCAGAGCCCTGTTCACCTCCTGGTACCTGAGACAGTCGGATTGGAGGCGCGTCCGCGCCGCCCTTTCGAGCCGTTCCCTTCGCTCGCACGACTGGACCAATTCCTCGTGGCCCTTGTGCACTTTGAGGATCTCGTGTTCCAACTGGAAGAATCGATACGGATTAAAGGGGATCGATCGGATGAGTGAATTCGTGATTACCCTTTGCGTTCGTTCTACTTTCTGGTATAAGTGGTCGAGCTCTTGTTTCAGAGCGCTGTTTTCTTTGATTAGAATTTCTACCATTTCGCCGGATGGCCAGATTTCACCGTTCGATTCGGTTTCCTCTCTACCTTTGGTCGGAGGTCTGGGAGCCGATACTCCTCTTTTGTAAAATGTGGCATCGCTGTTTCTACAATGAATTAATAATAAACATCGCAGTGAGCGTTAGAACAAATCGTTGGCTTACTTGATGAATCCCGCCGTGGTAAGATCGGGTTGCGATTTGGATAGAGTGTGTTTTTCGATATTTATTTTATTCCTGTTTTCGATTTCGCGTTGCAGAGGAGATTTATCGGCCCATTTGGGGTATTCGGGCGGTTTTAGATCGTAGAGGGTGAAATTTTCGAGGTTGCTTTGATCTTTGATCGCTCCTTCCGGAGACGATGGAACTTTTACTTCTTTGGCCAAATGCTTCAAAACTGACGATTGCGATAAATAATCGTCGGGAATTTCCGTTATCTCCTGTACACCTGTATAACAAAAAATAAATATAAAGAATTAGATTAATAAAGAAACGTTCGAGTTTACCTGTACTAGATATAGAAGGTGATGGAGATGCAGAACTCCTCTTCGCCATAGGCGATGATAACTTAGGGTCATTAATATTTGGATTTTGGTGGCTAATGAAATTAGCCGAGGAGATATTCGAGCCTTCTCTAGGTCCAGAATTTCGTCCTACACATACAAAATTTGATGAGTTTCACATAACAATTTTTAATATCTAATATTCTACCTGTCCATGGTTCATCTCCGGCACTGTGAATAATGAGAGTGTTGTAGGAGGACGAAGAGACATCCAGAGAGCTTCGATTCGACGGCAAGCTGTCTCGCAACGAGCTCCTCTTCGAATCGGTCAGATTCTCCTGACCCTGGGGTTCTTGTCTCGGCGTGTGTCTGATTACATATTTTTCTTCGTTTGATAGATTCTCGTTAGACGTCGATACGTCCGTTTCGCTGCCACTTAAACTCTGCGGGAAGTTACCTGTTCGAAGAAAAATGCCATTTAAACCTTTCTTTTTTCTGTGTGAAAGAGGATTGAGTTTGTACCTTGTGCGATTTGCTTGAACGGTCGATACCTATTATTAGACTGCATTTTTCGATTAATGTTTCAAAACAGCATATTTCAAAATCTAAAATAAAAAATGTATAATAGTAAACAAGATAATTGGCAGAGTCATGATAACTTCTAATACATACAACAGAAAACTTCTACGAGGTATAATTGTAAACATTACTTTACATCGATTCATATTTATTACAAGATTATTTTTTACTCAAGTTTTTTACTATTACCATATTAATTAAACCATAAGATAAGAATGCCTAATAATTAATCAGTAAGTAGAGTTAAACAATTTAATTACTGATATTTTCAATATTATCAAAGAAAGAACTTCAGGGATCAATGTTGTAAACATCAATAGTTAATAATTTATAAAAATAATTTCAAGAGAGCAAAATATTGTAACAATTAAGAATAATCAGGTATAATCAATGGAACGATGCTCTCAAAAATGTGTTGTTAGAAGACGTGATGTAATTGCGAAGTTATTCAAGGAATTTTGACGCATTCCTTTCATTTCTACATCCAGAACCATTACATTTGGAGTATTATTTAAATAAATCCATCATCTTAAACAAAAACGAACACAACAATGCTCGATTAATTAGAAAAATTCAATAGAAAGTCGTATTTGTAAAAGTAACCTGGTGTTTGCAAAAATAAACAAACCTTATTTTCATTTCAACAATAAGTACTATAAATACCGATATGGAATTTGCGGTTAAATTTTATTGTACTCACAAGTTACTGCTGTATTTGCTGCATAAAAATAATTTACGAATAAGCGAAAATTACAATAACAAAAATAAAACAAAATTAAATTAAATTAAAAGCACTACATTCACACCACACAACACAACGCGATCATAACTAAACTAAAAAATGTAAATTTTTGCTTGTTCTTGTTTTGTTTTTTGTAAGTTCGTTTTAAATATAAAACTATCCCATCTTTTTCTATAGCATGCCAATGACAGTGATGCATAATTCTTGCACGGCAGCCGACAGAAATAAACAAAGACAGAAGATCATAGAATCAGTAAGAGGAACAAAGATACATGATAGGGTGGGATATATGGATTGAACTGCATAATGAACAAATATCAAATCAAATCGGAATTAAAATGTCAGTAACGTCACGTGTCACTGTCACATGCCAATGGTTCCATTTTATTTTTGTCCTGTCAAAATAAACCAAAATATATCAAAAATTTTATCATTTTCTTCTTGATTTAATGTGTTCTGATTGAAATCGGTTTTAAAATACGCATTTTAGTTGGTTTTAAAAATATTTCTCATCGTGTCTTCAAATAGTACAAAGGTAATTCATTATTTTTCATTGCTCTAAAATCAACATCGCAAGGGCTTGAATTCAAACACGAACGTTCGCTAAAACCCAACTCTTTCAACAGATAGACACTGTGTGGGGTTGGGCGTCTCCGCCCTTGAGATTACAACTGGCGGGGCACATAAGGGGCCCTTGTAGAATGGGCGAAACGACGGGGGGCGATCGCCCACCATCCCCAGCCCGACTGTCCCATTACTCAGAAAAACACCCGAAAAGCACACTCACCGAGCTGAATTTGCTACGAAGACACAGGGAATTGTGCGACGTCGTGCTGAACGTAGGAACGAGAAAAATCTTCGCCCATCGGGTAATACTAAGCGCGTGCAGCCCCTACTTCAGGGCGATGTTTACCGGAGAACTGGCGGAGTCGAGGCAGACTGAAGTTACGATAAGAGACATTGACGAACTGGCCATGGATTTACTCATAGACTTCTGTTACACCTCGCATATTGTAGTGGAAGAATCGAACGTTCAAATGCTCTTGCCCGCAGCTTGTTTATTACAGGTATTTTATCAACATTAATACGTAGACCGTTTAAATTAACATTTTCGTGCAATAAACGCGCGAAATTTATTGAAATGGCCGTTTAATTATTATTCTAATGTATTTATTGCAACATTAACATATTTATTTCAATTATTAATAGCATTATAATTGTTATTTCTATCAGTTGTGACTCCATAGGCTTCTTCCAAGTTCTTTGTAGAGTTATCGTACTGAATTTAATAATCATTAATATTTTTAGCTTACCGAAATTCAAGATATATGTTGTGAGTTCCTCAAGCGGCAATTGGACCCCTCCAATTGCTTGGGAATTAGAGCATTCGCAGACACGCACTCGTGTAGGGAATTACTCAGAATCGCCGATAAATTCACCCAGCACAATTTCCAAGAAGTCATGGAATCCGAGGAATTTCTTCTGTTGCCCGTGGGACAGCTCGTCGATATCATCGCCAGCGATGAACTGAACGTTCGTACCGAAGAACAGGTAAATATTCCACGAGATTTTGTCGTTCGAAATATTACCTCGTATATTTTATGTTAGGTTTTCAACGCGGTCATGTCTTGGGTTAAATACAACGTTTCGGAACGGAGGCAGCACCTTCCGCAGGTGTTGCAACACGTCAGATTGCCTCTGTTGACTCCGAAGTTTCTGGTCGGTACGGTGGGATCGGATCTGTTGGTGAGATCCGACGAATCCTGCCGGGATCTGGTGGACGAGGCGAAAAACTACCTGCTGCTGCCGCAAGAGAGACCTTTGATGCAAGGGCCCAGGACTCGACCTAGGAAACCGACGCGAAGAGGTAAATAAAATTAGAAAATCGTAGACGAAAGCTCATTCGTTGCCGTTTTTGAATCGTTTTAGGCGAAGTGCTGTTTGCCGTGGGCGGTTGGTGTAGCGGAGATGCCATAGCTTCGGTGGAGAAATTCGATCCGCAAACGATGGAATGGAAAATGGTGGCGCCGATGAGCAAACGACGATGCGGCGTCGGGGTGGCTGTATTAAATGATCTCCTGTACGCCGTCGGCGGTCACGACGGCCAAAGTTATTTGAATAGCATCGAAAGGTATTATTTTTTTTCTAACACTATTATTTCATGTACTATTCGATCGAATTTTTGTAGATACGATCCGCAAACGGATCAGTGGTCGTGCGACGTAGCTCCAACAACTTCATGCAGAACAAGTGTCGGTGTAGCTGTGTTAGATAATTTATTATACGCTGTAGGTGGTCAAGACGGAGTGCAGTGCTTGAATCACGTCGAAAGGTAAGCTAAAAACCCGCTATAATTACCCCCAATTCATAACGTAACATATTCCTAGGTACGATCCCAAAGAAAACAAATGGACGAAAGTGGCCCCCATGACAACGCGTCGATTAGGCGTCGCTGTAGCCGTGCTGGGCGGTTATTTGTACGCCATAGGCGGCTCCGACGGGCAATCGCCTTTGAATACCGTCGAAAGGTACGATCCGAGGCACAATAAATGGACGTTGGTGAGTCCGATGTCTACGAGGAGGAAACATTTGGGTTGCGCCGTTTTCAACAACCTCATTTACGCCGTCGGAGGCCGAGATGACTGCATGGAATTGAGTAGCGCTGAAAGATATAATCCCCATACCAATTCGTGGAGCCCCATCGTCGCAATGACTTCGAGACGGAGCGGTGTAAGTATAAATTCTTGAGGCTCTACTAAAGTATCTCTCTTATGTAGATGTAATTGATAAATGCACAGTAACTCCGATTCGAGTGTGCTCTATTGTGAATTATTATTAATGATTGATGGAATTTCAGGTGGGTTTAGCGGTGGTAAACGGTCAATTGTACGCTGTCGGGGGTTTCGACGGAACGGCATATTTAAAAACGATTGAATTCTATGATACGGAGCAGAATCAGTGGAGGTTGTGCGGTTCGATGAATTATAGAAGGCTCGGCGGAGGGGTGGGCGTGATGAGAGCCCCTCAAACTGAAAATCGGATTTGGTAGTCGAGAATGTTGATTGTTTTCATTGACGTAAATGAACGTGGATAGCTTTGTTGATAGGTAATGATAACCCAATCAAAAAATATAGAGTGTTGTTTTACGAAAAATGTATAGGGTGAAATTGATAAATTTGAAAACTGCAGCAATATTTTAGGAAATAATGTGAAGAGTACAAATCTACTGAATTATATTATAAGTGATTTAATGTTTTAAAAAAATATATTTGAGCCGAATGTGTGAAATTATTTAATAATGCAATTCCGATTATTTTAGTGTGTTTTAATAGATTTTAGCTGAATATTATTCTAAATATATTTGTCAATTTCTACAATACAGTTTCATCCTCGACATTTTTTGACATAAAACTTGAAAGCTATAATGATATACATAAAATTATAAAAAAGTAACCGTTTTCAAAATATGTCTTAGTGTCATTATCAAAGGTCTCGTAAGTGTTCTAATATAATGGCCATTTCAAAATTATTTTAATCGTGAAGCATAAGGTACAAAATAGGGTGACATGGCACTCAATATTATTTATTTTTTTTAGTTTCAAAAGCGTTAATTTTAGATACTTCCTTGCATCTACGAATAGGGACAACAGTTTTTATTTTAATATCATACAAAAAAGATGCATTTTGAATCATTGATGTGTAATGTTTCGTGTAAGTATTCTACAATTGTCTTTAAACTCTTCATATTAAACGCATTATTACAAGATGTTCCATGTATGTAATTGTAAACGCCAATAGCTTAAATTCTTTTCAAATAATTCGTTGCTTAATGATAATATTCTAATTTAAAGAAATCTTGTTATATCTCTGTAAAATAGTGCTTTGTATATATCTATATCTGTATATTATAGTGATGTACATAATTCAACCTTATCTATTTCCAATATAATCCGTAAGATAATTTAAAATTTGAGGTTTGATAAACATATTCATTTAGAAAATATACACAAACAAGTAAGAATTCTTGCATGTATTAATTGCAATCATTAAGTTTGCCCTATTACCTTTTTTTAAGAAGCTTTTTACTCTATTTTTGTCACAAGAAATTAATTAGATCAGATTGACTGTATTTCATTATGATTTGTATAAGTTGGCTCTATTGTTGGGGATTTTATCAGTATCTGATACGTTTATTTAAGTGTAGGTATTTTCATATTATGTATAACCCATCAAAAACGATTTCATGTGTGTTATTTAAGACAGGTACAGCCCGAGAGAAATAGCTGTAGACGCGAGTCATGCCGTTTATAGTGATGAAATATAGCTATTCCTGAGGCGCTGTACCTACCGCTTTATATGAATACTGCAATTATTTGTAAAGTTGAGTAAAAATTCAGTTGATTGACTGTTTTTAATGTGTGTAAATATTTGGGGTAGCTAATTTTTATTGAAGAATCAGTTCATAAAATCGATTTTTAGGCTTATCGTTTGCAAGGATTTAAATTTTACGCATAGCGAAACCAATGACAATAGGTATTGTTTGAAATAATACTTGTTCAGTAAATGTATATACAAAAACTGTATCCGTTTTTAATCGAACTCGCTGAGAATATGCGTTTGTTTGTCACAATTTAGTTTGAACTAGCAACGTTCCGTTATTTTAACAAAATAAAAAAAATCCGACATTTTCAGTTACACGTATTTTCGATACGAAAATGTCGGTCGCTTTTATTTTGTTCGCGTGTTTGAGATTTCCAAAATTTTATTAAAAAGAACTGAAAAGTGCAAGCTTGTAAATTGTATTGTTATTTTATATATTTTTGTTATTATTTATATTTGTAATTTATTTCTATTTAATATAAATTAAAATGAACATTGGAGTTTCTATTCCACAAAGACAATTTGCAAAAAAAAAGACTTGAGTTTTTGAAGAACTATTTTTTTATTATAAATTAATACTTTGTATGAAAAAATTAAAAACAAGTACATATTACATATTAGTACATTACATACACTACATATTAATAAATAGAGTTAACGGACAATGGTCTGATCCCAGGACTTCAGTTCTATAACTAATATCACAAACTCGACTTATTATTCTCTCGGACGTCAGAAAATAATCCAATCTCCTAAAAATTCAATTAACCAATAAAAATCTTGTGCGTTTAATTAATTAATACTTACCATCCAATATTCTTAGCCCGTGCATTACTCATGTACGACCAGAACGAGTACACGTCTTTCTGATCGGGATACAACTCCCTGTAAACGTCCACATATCCCGAATTCAGGAACTCTGTCATCCCTTCGCGCTCCTCCCGAGTAAATCCGGCATTTTTCATGTTACTCTTTGGCCTGGCTAGATCGATTTCATTATGGGACACGTTCATATCCCCGCATATTATCACCGGCTTCTGTTCATCCAATTTACTTACGTACCTTTTGAAGGCCTCGTTCCATTTCAGGCGCTTCGGGAGCGTTACAAGCTTACGACCTGCACCCAAAAATAGCGGGTTAAACGAAATTATAGACTCGGAAAAAGGGATATAGAGTACCTGCGTTGGGCACGTACACGTTAATGAGGAAGAATTTCTCGTACTCCGCGGTTATGCAGCGACCTTCGTCGTCTAATTCTTCGTTATTAATTCCGTAAGTAACGTTTTTCGGTTTAGGGACGGTTAGCAAACCCACTCCTGCGTAACCGTCGTTGTCTTTACTCGAAGTCCAGTATTTCTGGTAGTCTTTTAGGTTCGCTATTTCTTCAGGTATCTTATCGATCGCACACTTTGTTTCCTAAAACATAAAATTTACAGTTAAGTGTGTATCTTTTCGGCAATAAATAAAAACCGTACCTGAAGACATATTATGTCGGGTTTTTCGTGGGTTAAATATTCGTGACATTCCTTGTTCACCCAACTTCTCAGACCCCCGGTGTTCCATGCACTAATGATAATGTTGTGATTTTTGCCATCTTTGTTGGGTTTCGAACATTTAAAATCAATGGTCTCCCAATTTGTGTTAACTTTATTCATGAGCGGCTTTTTTACTTTCGTTGTTTTAGCAGGTACCACGTCGGGGTCTTCCTCGTTGGGATCTTCTGGTTTCTCAGCTTTGCGTTTGCCGGCTTTGACTGCCTTCGGTTCATTATCATTCTCGATTTTGGCTTTTCCACCCCGTTTGTTTTTCACCGGTACCGGTAGAGGTTCAGGTAATTGTTGTTCGGTTTCTGAATCCTCTTCAGCTTTGCTGGGATTCTGGGCATCGGATTCTTCCTTATTCAGATCTTCTACAAATTCTACATCTTCAGGTTTGTCATTCATCTGTGTATTGGTTTTGTCTGTGTCCTTAGCATCCTCAATTTTGGGTTTTCTACCCCGTTTGTTTTTTACTGGTACATGTTCAGGTAATTGTTGTTCGGTTTCTGAATCCTTTTCAGCTTTGCTGGGATTCTGAGCATCAGATTCTTCCTCTTTCAAATCTTCTATATCTTCAAGTTTATCATTCTTTTGTGTATTGGTTTTCTTTGCTTCCCCGTCGTCCTGAATTTTGGCTTTTCTACCCCGTTTGTTTTTTACCGGTACCGGTAGAGGTTCAGGTTCTTCAATTTCCGGATCTTCTTCAGCTTTGCTGGGAATCTGAGCATCGGATTCTTCCTGATTCAGATCTTCTGTATCTTCAGGTTTGTTATTCTTTCGTGTATTGGTTTTGTTTGTGTCCTTATCGTCCTCAATTTTGGCTTTTCTACCCCGTTTGTTTTTTGCTGGTACCGGTAGAGGTTCAGGTAACTGTTCTTCGGTTTCTGACTCATCTTCAGCTTTGCTGTGAATCTGAGCATCTTCCTGAGTCAGATCTTCTTTATCTTCAGGTTTGTTATTCTTTCGTGTATTGGTTTTCTTTGCTTCCTTATCAACCTCAATTTTGGCTTTTCTACCCCGTTTGTTTTTCACCGGTACTGGTTCTGGTTCAATTTCCGGAACTTTAGCTTTTACACCCCTCTTTCTTTTTACTGGTACAGGTTCCTCTTCAGCTTCTGAATCCTTATCAGCTTCGTCTACTTTTTGGCCATCAGATTCTTCCTGATTCGGATCTTCTATATCATCAAGTTTGTTATTTTTTCGAGTCCTCGTTTTCTTTACTTCCTTATCAATCTCAACTTTGGATTTTCCAGCCCTCTTCTTTTTTGGTGGTACAGGTGCAGGTTCTGGAATTTGTTCTTCACCTTCTGAATCGTTTTCAACTTTGTTTTTCTTGCCTCTTTTCTCCTTTACAGCAACTGGTGCAGAAAAGTAGATTAAAAAATTTACCGAAATAGCAAGGTTAATAATTGTGTAAGAGAAAATGAACAATGCCGGTATTGTTCTTGCATTACTTATGAATTAAAATTGACTTCAGAATCTAATACACAAAATATTAAGTGTCGAGTATTATTTCAATTCCTTTAAATTTACAACCTATTTCTTAGTCAATGTTTGTTTTAAGAACATTATACCGCTATATTTGTGTTGAATGAATTAATAAAAATGTTAATTCACCTTTTCCCTTAGCAGCTTTGGTGGTTGTACTCTTGATAACCTTAGCTCTTTTGGTAGTTGTTTCAGACTGATCCACATCATTTGTTGTACTAACCTCTTCATTTTCAACTTTAGATTTAGCTACGGAAAACCAATTAAACCATCAGTATCCATTTTACAAACTCCATTTTGATCTTATCGGCCAAGCAATAAGCTTTTGTAAATTATACACTTACCAGTCGCAGTAGCTGCTTTTCGTTTGGGCGGCATTTTGGAATGTTATTTGCACGATTATTTAATTATCTATTAGTTTATTCAACTAGATTTAGTTGTAGTCAACCTTCACTGTTTTTCGTACCGTACGGTAATATAAAATCACTGTACAAAGCACAAACGAAATTCGAGTAACAACGTATCAACGAAGCAGTTAGATTTTGCCGCTTGCCTTAGGTCAGGATATGTCTAAAATGCCGGTGCCGGGCGGGAAACCGTATAAGACACGACATGTGACATATGACAGGTGGGGTAAAAAAAATCAAAATTTGAAACTTTTAAATGCCTCAATAAATATTTCGAACGATCTTAGAGTATTTAAAAGGCTTTTAAGAAAATGTGATGAGTTAAAAAACACCAAAATGTCTATATGATTGGTTTTTTTGATTTAAAAAGAATCATTTGTTTTCCGAGTCGTAAGAGGCCAAAGTTGTTCCATTTAGTTGTCAATTTTGAATTTTGATCTAAACTTCCATCCAAAACTGGGCTCAGGATCAACTATAAAATCGATCTTTTATCGAGCTCTATCGCAAGAACCTATAATATGTTTTTAGAATTCTATTTATTCCATAAACTGGTAAACACTACCATATTTAGCAACAAAGTTGAATAAAAATTAAACCCTTCTAGTCGATAAATAAACGCGCATTTTCCGGTCAACTGCCATCGCCCGAAAACGCGCGATTGATTGCCGCCGCTTGGGCGAATCCGGCCGGCCCTAATGGACAGCATAATTGCACTTTTTGCGCCATCGTTCCGCCGGAAAACGACGTTGCGAGCGGCGGCGACGGCCGCGTGGGCGGCCGAATAAGCGACGCGTCGGGGGCGGCGGCGTTCGAGCCGAACTCGCGATCTCGCCGCGACATAATTCGCAGAATAGTCCGCCGCCGACGATGCTGATGCTCGGTCGCTGGTCCTTCAGCGCGCCGGCTTAGACGTCTCGCCTCCGGAAGGTGTTCGTGCGTTCTTTCGCGGGAGTTTCGGCCGAGGAAAAGCCGGCGGGTTTTCCACGAGTTTGACGCGCGGTTGTCCGCCGAGCTGGAAGTAAGATGATCGATGGTTCGATTTAATGAATTAGTTTCCCGCAACAGTTTGTTTTTGTTTGCTTGCTCGTTGTTTTCTTGGATGATATGTCTCGTATTTCGCAAATATCGTTAGACGATTGAATTAATCTAACCGATTGCCCATTGGGTAATTGATTGGAAATGAAAAAGGAAATTCGTACGAAAAATAACAGTATATAGGATACCTGATTCGATTATGATTGGGGATTTCATTAAAAAAATCGTTGGAATTCCATGCGTTATTAAAAAAGGGGTGAAATTAACCAGCTTAATTTAATTTTTGTTCATGAAAATTTAACAGTATGTGCGCATTAATTGATTTACAACAAAAAAATGAACATTTTATTTTATAAAGTAATCAAATTACGTACTTTTTAGGGGTGCATGTTTAGTACATAATTTACAGAAAAATAGTCCTCCTTTTTTATATACCTTATTGTTAAGAAACCCAATTAACAATTTAAAAACTCTTACAATCTTCAATACCTAAACGAGTTTATCCCGAGTTGTTGTAGAGCATTTTCACCTGGAGACAATCAGGCATGGCCCTTTACTAGTTCGGAAAATTAGCTAATCCAAACTAGAGAGCTCATAGGAAATAATTTATTAGAGTTAGAAAGTAATCATTTTCGCAAGAATTCGTCTGAGACGATTTAATGGAAGATCTAGGACGTGTTCAGAGGATGTAGTATGTACTAATTAGATTTTAGTTAAAACATGTCACGTGATTTATTAGGGTTTTAATATACAGGGTGTTGCATGATCGTTGGAAATTATAAGGGGGTGTTTGTTTAGAAAACATTCGGTTTGTGATCATTGGAAAAATCATGAACATTTTCAGGGCTAATTGGGGTCGAGGAATCCCAAGGGTGCACTTTGGTATTTTATAAAATTATCATATTTTGGAGTTTTAGGACTGGTATATTAACCTTTATTTATATCGAGTAATCTAGTTATAAATATGAAATATTCTAAACCGGTATTAAATATTTACTAATGGTAAAATGTAATAATCTTAATGAAGCATATTTTTGCCAATTCAAAGAAGTTATTTACAGTATTTAAAGCGTCCATTTGACTCCGACAAGTTAGGAGATACTCGAGCGTAAACCGAAATAATTACTGCTGGAAAATTGCACCTCGCCTTTATTGGATTATCCTTTCAATTCGTCGATTCCCGTTCCTGACGAAAACATTCAATTTCCCTGTTATTTTCTCAGGTGCTAAGCGAATTAGGGCTGATTGATGTTTTCTGCTCGGCTCTCGAGTCGCACATTAAATTTCAAAATTCCCCGAATTATCTTAGATTGCACTTCCTTTCGGGAAACGTCGGCTGCGAATTCCGAAAATGAGGAAATTGAAAAAAGATTCGATTAGATTACGAGTTGAAAGTTTCCACTTACCCGTTTGTTAGCGGTTGGAGCTTCGATTAGCGCGGTCGTCGAACATTTACTGGGAATTGTCTATTAGTTTTCAAATATAGGCAAAATTCCATTTCCTCCAAACTGGATTTTTCGACATTTCTTTAACAAAATTCTAAAAAAATATTAAATGACCTTAGAAATATAGGACCGTGCCTGGGAATCAATCATTTACGAAAATTACGGTACACATCACAGCAACCTACATACACCTTGCTCCATTTCCGATTGAAACATGGCCATTTCTATGAGTGGAACAAAGAAAGATTGTTTAAATGACAGTTGTCAGAGTGAAAAGTTGCAATGACACAAATGTCACTCTTTCATTTTCCTTTGTAAGTATCTAATTGAAGTTGTCTTTATCTTTATAAAAAGGTTATATTCAAACTAAAAATAGATACAAAATATAAAAATATACTTGTTGTTAACATCATGCCTCACGTATCTTCGGTTACTGTATTTCTCCATTTTCTCCTCAAAATGTCAAATAATAATTTTTGAAGTTTTGACAGCTTGAACTGTCATCTTACAGCACAACCGCGATTTATACGCAGCGCGACGCTGATTGGCTGAGATAAATTGGTCCTCCGATCGTTCAAAGCACAAAAAGTCCTCAAATAACGGGACACATTCTGCATAAGCATAGGGATATTCCAGACCTTACAAATATAGGGCCGTGGGAAAAAGAAAGAGTGACATTTGTGTCATTGCAACTTTTCACTTTGACAACTGTCATTTTAGTAATCTTTCTTTGTTCAACTCATAGAAACGACCATGTTGCGGTCTGAATTGAAGCAATCTGTATACAATTTTAGTATAACACGCGTTGAAAAAGGTTCAGCGCGTCTCATTTTCTGCGGGGCAGATATCCATTTTTCTGTACATGACATCGCCCGTAATCAGCCGTCGGAACGGTGCGTATGAATTCTCATTCGCACGTATCACATGCCGGCGTAAATACTAATAACGCTCGCGCGATGTTTTTCCTGTCGTATTCGAAAATCTAATTTCTCTCGCTCTCCTCGCCGACACGCGGATGTATTATTTTAATCTGTTGCAAAGAACTGTCGACGGTGATTTATCGCGTCGCGGAAATAGGCACTTTCTGAGATTCGCTGGATTTTTTGTCGCGGCCAATTTTCTTTCGAATCTCACTAAAAAATTATCCGTCATTACATTAGGCGGTAAAGTTTACTAAATCGGAGCGGGATAATGCGCATGCGACAATAACGTCAAATTCCGTGTTCTGACAGCGTCAAAAACTGTGCATCGTTGGCAATGTGTATTTAATTTCAGTAAATGGACAGAAATATTAGAAGGTTTAAGAAAGTTTAGAAATTATATTAAATTAAATTTTTCATAAAATAACAATTTACACAATCTGGCAACGATACACAGTTTTTGAAGCTGTCAGAACACAGAATTTGACGTTATTGACGCATGCGCGTTAACCCGCTCCGACTTAGTAAACTTTACCCATTAGGCGGATATTTGCAGCGGAGGATTCAAATCAAATAAGTACAACAGCCAGGAAAATTCGAAGCACTCCGGTGTTATTGTTTTCCGAGTACAATTCGGAAAAGAGACAGATGTCGATGGCACTCGGCAGCTCCGGATAGCCTGCGATCTGGAACGCGAACGTGACAAACTCGAATTTCTTTCCAAATAGCGCCCACTCGTGCTATCGAAGTCGAGGTTCTGTTTATTGCGAAATTTTCGGGGCCGTCCCTTCGCCTCGCCCGCCCCCTCCCGGTTTAATGAACGCCGAAATTTGGAAAAAAAAACGGTAAGAAAACCGGCGGGGACCCTTCTCAAAAGACAAGTATGTTTTACAGCAATAAGTGTCACCGACAGGAGTAACACTAGAAGCGGCGACTGGGTGCAAATTGGGCGCCCTCGCGGAAGTTGCGCCGCTCCCCGGCCGTTTCCTTCAAAACGCGAAGAATATACTTTCGCTTAATGGAGCGGAATAGCCGACATTTGTAAATTCCTTTTGTTTTATGTATTTTTATCCCGGATATAGGGAGGGAAATTACGGTGTTTGCGAATGGCAGGTTAGGTCTCCCGTAATATTTTACAAACGCCTCCACCATTTATTTGTAATAGTTCTAAAAAATGCGTTCTATTTTTATTGACAATTAAAGCTTCCTCGTTCAGTGGATATAAAATTTATGGATTGTAAAAGTCAGTCAAAGTAATCGTTTTCCAGGTAGGGATATTTCGAATATTCGTTGCATCGTAATTTTTGATAGCTGAGTGCAATAAAATTGATAAATCGATGAAAAATTATTAAACCTCTTCGGGCTAAATAATCCCAAATAATTTAGGAACTATATTTATAAAATAATCTCGCAAATCCGTGGTCGTCATATAGAAAACTAATTAAATCACGGAATAATAAATTAATTAAAAGTTTAAAATGATAAACCACCCGGCAGGTTTTAATGTTCAAACAAACGATTAAAATTTATGCTGGTTTGACGGCAGGATTACTTTTAGGTCGAAAATATTTATTACAAGCATGTGATATATTAATCAAAAACGAGGGATTAATTTATTCAAAACAATTTATTTTGTATTAAGTAATGCATTTAAAACTGAAGCATTTGTAACAGAAAGTATAAAATTAACTGCACGATCAACAAGTTTTTTTAGAAGAATTTTTTCGATTTAAACTTCCTGAATATCTATTTCGCGTTTTCGGAGTACCCGAACCTTGTTTTCCGGAAAACAAGCCAGAGATGCCGCCCTTTTACGCCGTGTCACGTTACAAAACGAGTTTCCAAAGAGGGGTCTCAGCTGGGGAAAAAATCATTTTCGCCTTTCGGATTTTAAATTAACTTATTCGAAATGTAATTGAATTGGGAACGTGACGGTTTTTCTCTTACTTTTCGCCTCCATTTCGAGCCTTATGACTCCCTTTTGCGGTAAATATGTTTGAAACGAAGTGCCCAAATGAATATAAAACAAACTCACTATATAAAGGAAAAAAGCGCATTTATGTTCAAATAATATGTCCAATTATTGATCTGTTTTGACTTTATAATACCCCATTGTTTACTGTAAATATGTTTTTAAAATTCACTACATAAACTTCCTTTTTATTCGAAATACCTACCTTGAAATTCCCCATTCAAAACTCCAATGCATTATCCCGGACAAACCGAGCCCTCAGCGAAGAGCTTTTACAATTCATATTTTCGGCAAATGGATATTTTCGGCTGCGTTTGACTGTTGCATCTTCCACGCCGAAAATACGCACATAAATTCAATTTTATATTTCTTATCGAAGGGAAACGACCCTCTGTTAAGGTTATTCGTTTCAACGAATTTCGTTCGACGCCGCTCCTTCGCCGCAAGATAAGCGCAAGAATCACGCTCCCAAGACGAATTTCTCCGGCACAAAGCGGCCCTGTATGTGGGCCCGAAATTTCCGAAAATTTATTGTCTATCAGTTAACAAAGTGCCGCGGAATATCTCGTGTAATTTCGCGCGGCGGGGAGTCCCGTGCGCACGTTTTGTGCGGGAAATTTTCCCGACATTTTCGGCATTTTTCGGCGGATTCGCTTGACGATAAACAATTTCGATGTAGTGCGAATAAATTGATTATCTTACTCTCCACAGTAGCAATTTATTCGGGAATTAATGAAGTAAGAACAAGAGTCCTTGCTTAATTTATGAGAATCGTTATTAAATTACATCGTCATATCGTAAAAATTAGGTACCGAGCAGGCTGTTTTAATTAAGACGGATCGCCGTATTGTGATTATTCAAGCGTAAACAAAAGCCCCGAAATACCGTATTTTTTTAATATCCGTAAGAGGTTTTGTTCGAAGAAAGTCGCGGGGATTTATCAAGAACAAATTCAAAATTTAATTTCCACAAAATACCAAAAGGTAGACATGCAGCAGTCGCCTGATGCTTAATTATACAAAAACTGTTGAATCTCGAGTACCTAATAACGAAAAAACTCATCCCCATTTAAACCCTTTGTTTGATCCATTCTTCTACTTCTGCATACGCATTGAATTAATTTATTCATTCGCTCGTTTATTTTCCAGACCATTCGAATATAATGAGAATCCCCGTCCCGCCGCCCGGCGAACAATAACCCGAACAGCCGACTAGTCGAAGGCCGGAAGAAAAGCCACCCCGTCGCGCGGTGATGTCCTTATTAGTGCAAAGCAACAGGACTAGTCAGTGACTTCTGTGATGCGCCTTATGACGTGGAACTCGCTCATCATGTTCGATATCGTGTTCGTGTTCTTCCTGTTCCTGATCGGAGTCACGTGCTTGGTGTACTACCTGCCGAACAGGAGGCCGGACTCCGACGATCACCCCCTTCAGTGCTACGTCGGCAGCTCCTCGACCAAGCTCCAGGGAACCGCCATCGATCATGTGTAAATTCACTTCGGTAAGTAGAATTTCCATCAAGTGGAGTTCCAAATTTTCCTCCCCTTCTCTTAGCTCCTGCGTTATGCTCTGCGAATTAGTCTGTGAATGATCGTGGAGCCGATGAAAAAGAAATAAAAAGTTCCGCGCCGGGATATTTTTCCGAATAGGTGCTCCCGGAGGGAACTTCAAACTTTAATAACCCGGGTCCCTTCTAAAACAATTTTAATTAAGCTCGGAAATGGCAAGCGTTCTTCTAATCGTGGACCGAAAATTCCTGCTTGATGTTTTTCACGGCGACTTGGACTCGAATTTACGTGGGTAGTTGCTCGATCGAGACAAAAAAACTCGTCGGAGATCCTTTGGTTGATCGATTTTCCTCTATATATCGAGTGACGATTCTTCTCGCTCTCGTCCTGTCGATTTAATCGCCTAAGCCCGGATTTAAGCATTCTTTTCGTATCGTAAATAAAGCCCGAGGAGGCGGCCGGAATGCCGCGCGTTTTCCTTCGACGGTTCTCGCCCACGGGCAGTCTTCGCTCCATTTTCCGGCCAATAATTTGAATAACAAACCGCCGGCGAGGTGGGCGCGTGGGCGACCGAAAATGATCCGATTAATTTTCCAGTCATTTCGCAAATAATTAAACGCTTTCAATCCGAACCTATTCCGTGATATTTGTACATACTCTATCTAATTTGTGCTAAATAAATTTCATCTACCTAACCATCAGAATCTGTGATTTGGTGGTTTTTGGAAGCTGTTTTTAGAGACCGTTTCCAAATATTTAAATTACGTTGGAACTCGTTTAAATTTTAGTTGATGAATTAACAAAGAAAAGCTTTTAATCCGCAAACTTTTTGAAAGCTAAAAAATAAATAAAATCGATTAAAAACCAACAAATTGACTATTTTCCCCAGCTCACCATGGAGTTTATTCGACTATACATATACGTTAAAAATCGTTTTTTTCCATCATACACGATCAGGGAGTAGAAATTGTGATGTATAAAAAATGTAATGAAAAATGAAAATTCAGCGATAAGCGCGTTTTCTTCATTTACGCTGCGTGCGAAATGGATGTAAGACACTGTTAAAAAGGAGATTAAACATCAATTCGGTTGACAACGGGCGGATGATGGAGCTCCTGCGGAATCGATTCCCTTCGGGGTAATAGCTTTTTCTCGAGATGATTTTCCGCTGATCTCGGTGTTTTCGAGAAGTAGTTCGGATATACCTCGAATCACTTTATTAGGTTTTTCAAGAAGTTATATACGAGACTAATCAAACAGAATAAAACTTGGAAAGCCTTTGTGAAAATCGAAGGGGGAAAATCGAGAGGATGCGTCCGAAAGGATCCGTCAAATGCGATTTGCTGTACAAAAAAAAGGTTTATGAATGTACTCGGAGGAATTTTTTTAATTAATAGGGAGGTAACGGTGTTGCTTTATTAATTTCGTTTGTTCTCTTAAATAAGTACGAAGTTATGGGTTTGTAAAAAGGCGAAAAGGGTAATTGATTATGCTCGGAATGCTTTGTAAAAGATTCAAATAGTAATTAAAAATCTCGAAGGCTCCAAACTTTTTTTTAATACGCCCACACAGTCGCAAATCAAGTTGTAAAAGAAAAGTGTTAGTACAAACTTCTCTAGCCCGGTTCAAAGTAATCAAAAATTACTCAAAAAAAAAACTAAAGTTTCGAAACTTATTACTTATTATCATGAAATTCGATTGAATCCGTCCCTGCACACAAACCGTCAGCGGGTACCCGAACCCAAACAGAACAGTTGCCGACGCATCTTCATTCTTCGTTCAAATTTAAAACGATGAGTACGACCAGTCGACCTGCCAGTACCATCTTGCCGCGTATTAAAGTACCCAGTACTCTTCAACTCTCCGTGGGAACCATTTTTCTCGAGTGAACCTTACTTCAAGTGATCAATAATGAGACAGTTTCGTGAGAATTTTGAGTTTAATGTGAAGCAATACAGTGGATTTAGATGTGAATCGATTGTTCGGTACTTTTGGTACTAGCGTTAGATAAAGAAAATATACCTGAACGTAAGTTTTGGATATTAACAAAGTACTACATAGATTATTAAAGTTGTACAAATTATGCTTGTAAATAACAATCTTCATTTATTAATTGAGCGTTTTTAAAGAAATATGTATCGTTTAAGTACCGCATAACCTCACTCATAAGTCAAGAACCAAACAAGGTACAGGACCGGTTGGTAAAAATTTCTGTAATTTCTCTTTGATTTATAAGCATTTTCCTTCTCTAATACCCATAAAACGATTCAATAAGTACAGTATTAGGAGAAATTATAATTTCCAATGCCTAATTAAAAAGCAACAGAAGCACGGTAAGCCTTGTGATTGATGCGAAATTTAATTAATTCCCAAAAATATACAAGGATGAAGGAATAACGTTAAATTTGAGATATAACGTTGCGTATTACTGAAGTAACCCGTTCATTATAGGGAGGTTTTTATTGATCAATAAAAAATAATTAATGAAACCCAAAGCCAATAGTGAATTTGTATTGAATCGAAGGTTCGCCAGAAAAGAGTTAGGTAATGAGTTTTTAATTATGACACTTAATAACCGCAGTTTCACTGAAAGAACTCTCTTGAAATTTATTAATTAATTCGACTTTGCACACAGAAACCAGAAACTACCCTACAATATCCAATTTAGCCTTAACATGTAATAGCAGTAGTTGGTAATGAATTTGTAGTACCTAATTAAAAATCAGCAATTGAAATAATTCAATGATTCATCCATAGAATATTGCAGAATAGAATATTTGCCAAATAAATATTTTAGTTGGAGCATTCAGTTTATATAACTAACTACATAATTACTGCATTATTAGTTGGGTTGAAATAGCAACAGTACTAAAGTGATTACAATCGATATTGGATTAGTGAGTGATATAGAGTTTTTTTATTTACAGTATGTCGCTGTTAAGAACTAACAGTAATGGTAGCGGGAACGGAAGACCCAGTTTGGCAGATTTCTTGACAGCTCGCCCGTCGGGCCTCGAGGAATCCGAATCCTGGGCCGTATTATGCCAAGCCGTGCAAGCCTTGCAAGACCTTTTTTTATCAGGTAAGGATTCACAAGCAATTGAAGCCGGGGGAAAATTGAATAGCATCCTATTCGGAGCGACTTTACTTTGAATAACGTTCGAATGAAATTTACTCCGTCATTCACGATTATGATACATATCGCGGCAATTTCGTTGAAAGGTAAAGTTGGCGCAACGCTCTGCGAGATGTGAATTTCGGGCGAGAATGGTGATGGCTCTAAAACAATGGGCGCATTTTTGCGTAGAAACTGAGGTGAAGATTGCGATGATGTACTGGCAATTCGGGGTAACTGCGCATTGTTTGTTAAGTCCTTTCATAAGGCACAACAAATGTTTGTGCAAAGTTCGTTTATTATTACGTTGTGCATGCATATACGATTTAGCGGTAATGGGATTTAAATGAAGTGGATGGTATAGGGTTTACATTCAATTTATACGTGCATTTTTGGTATTTATAATACATGGTAGAATTAAGGTCTTTATCGCATAATTTTGAGACGAGTTACTGTTTATCAAGTTTGAATAAACTTTGGTGAAGTTAGTGAGTCTTTGATCTTCTAAGTAAGGATTAGAAAGTTCGGATTAGTTCAAATTTCAAAATACCTACCCGAAGTTATTTTTATACTTACTTGAAAAATAATAGTGATAGAGAAAAATTTATCTTTACGACGACAAGATAAAAATTAAGAAAAAACAATATTAATAGAGAAGCAATTGAGTAAAATGTGTATGACAAATAAGAAAAAATATTTTATAACGTACAAAATTATTTTCTAATAAAAAAAACAAATAAAAAAAATTAAAAAGTTCAGGTCCCACCGAGATTTGAACTCGGATCGCTGGATTCAGAGTCCAGAGTGCTAACCATTACACCATGGAACCTTGATACACTAGCGTTCTAATGTAGCTTATAACGTTCTTTCACGATAAATACTCATCACAAGCATTTCTTATTGTATGTTTACGTGCTACATCTGAATTGAATTACATTTTTAAATTTAGATTTTTTGCAATAAAAATAATTTTGGCAGCGGTGGGATTCGAACCCACGCCTCCGAAGAGACTGGTGCCTTAAACCAGCGCCTTAGACCGCTCGGCCACGCTACCTCACATCAATAAAACTATTGAAGTTTTAAACTCACTTACAGGGTGTTTAAAAATCAACTCTGGCTAGAAATTTTATTTTATGCACTGTTTCAATGATGACATCGAATGACTAGATATACTTACCCCCTGTATACATTTTACTATTTATGTAAATGCACAACGACCAACTTCAGTAATCTATGTATAGAATTTATTATACGGAGTTAAGGCAAGTTTTGAAGCGATAATATTGGAATACTTTCGTTGTTTACTATGCACTCTTTTGCATGAAATAAATAGTATGTAAAATAGGAACGGATTTATCACACCACTCCGGATTTGCATATTTAACCCAGTGCGAAAAATTCGGTTAAATTAGGGCTATATTTTTAACAGAATACCGCGAATTAACGTTATTTAATTATCGATTTATTCTCGCGTATCATAGACCATCCATTCGTCGATCCTAAATTCACTGGAAGTTTACAATTCGCCACTCCTACACGGAACCGAAATAGTTGATTGAAACAGCAAGAATTACAAAAAAAACCGTCCGGTTTTAATTACTTTACGTCCATTCATTTCCCTTTACTCGACCCCTTTTCCCCTTTTTACAGTTAATTAAAACGCCACTGATTAATTAGGTTGCGATAGCGTTTTGGGAACACTATAGCGAGCGCGAGCAGTTTTACAAATTACTTTGATTTCCTCATTAATTAAACAGCAGGAAACGATTTCTAAAAGTCACTGCTACAGCAACAAGTAGGTTTTTTTAGCTACGAAATGAATTGCAGAATTTTTTGAAGTACATACGATTTTTCGATATTTTTGCTTTTGCGAGAGAGCGTGTTGTTGATATATCCCATGTTGTATTACCAAGTTTGTACATAACTCTTCATGAAGTTCGTGTAGTATCAAACAAAGAGGAGAAAAAAAGATATTAGGCGAAATTTGATGAAAATATTGGTTTAGCAGATCCGGCTCTTGATGTACTAGGTTAAAAAAATCGGTCAATGATTTTCTGTATATCTTGATGAAGCATGTTTGATGTTAATATCGTATAATAAATGTATCTAAATTCTGCTCTACTAGTTTAAAATAAGCACCAATTTTTTTTATAATCGCCTTAATTACCTACTTAAATATTAAAATGTGATACATGCCTTTTACTATAAACGTATTCAGCTCAACAAAAAAATCATACTTCTTAATAATTGCGATATAGGAGTAAAAAGAAATGGGAAAACTTCGTACTACTGGCGTAAGTCGAAATTGCAATTCGCTTTTCCGTCGTTTCCGATCCTTTTGCATATTTCATGAGCGCAAACAATCTTTCTCTCAGTTTTTCGCGACCAGAAATAATGCATTTCGCAGTTAATTTTTCGACTCGAATGCCACACGTATTAACGACGTTTCGGTTCGCGGCTAATTAATTCAAATTCCACGTGACTGGAAAATCGTACATTACTCAACGTCGCGGAAAATAGAACATAATTAATTCACGACCTCAAACCCACTGGGACAAACGAGAAGATGAAAAATTAGCGTATCCATAGCTTGCGTACAAATTAGGTGTTTATTTTAACACATTTCTTGCGTTAGAAAATCAATTTTCTCCCACACACAATTGTTCTCTACTTCGCTCTGTATATTCCATTTAATCCGCGAATTTTTTCGAATTTATCTCCGCCTTAAATAAAAAAAAAAAACTACCAGATTAAAACATCCTCCGCTTTTTCTGCAACGAACGTGCCTCGCATGCTGATAACCAACTTTTTTCCGAGCCGAAACTTTTTTTATTATTCTCCGATACCGCACAATGTGTTTCGCAGTTGCTTCGGATGAATTTACGTTTCCGCTGGATGGCCCAAACGCCGAAATAGATTAACATCGGAGAGGATATTCGAAATTCCCACGTCGGCCCGTCGGCCGTCCTGTTGAATATCCTCTAAAATATCCCGAATTCGATCGATTGCAAGCGACTTTTTACGCCCCAGAGCACCGAGAACACTTCTCTTTTTACATAAACAAGTCCCACCCTAGTCGAGCGATTTCAACCAACTTTTTGAGTCTTTTCCGGGACACCCGGTACTCTTCAGATATTGCCAATTTAGCGATTGCCAATTTTCCACATTTAAGGAAATTTAACAACAGTTTTGACATTGACATTAACACCACCGGCAGGTGCAGAGGGAGAGCGGTCGGGTTTATTTAATATTAGGGTCCGAAAGGGCCCTCGAACGCTTATGAATAATAAGACAGAAGATTGACTCAACACGTCCTGGTCGAAATTACGGCGAATCTGATATGATTAGTAGTCGGTTAATCCCCGGCATGGCCGGTCCCTCCAGAATTCTAATTAATTGTCGTCGTAAATTACTTCGGAACAATGCGGTAGGCAAAAATGTTAGGCGCCAACATCTGTCTATATTTTGTGATTTTAATTAATTTACTTAATTAATTCTATACGATACTTATACAGGGCGTCTTATGCACGAGGAGTAGAATTGGTTTTACAGTAAAATTTGTTGATTTCAGATGGTGCCTTCGGCAGTTCATGTGTTCCTCTAGTGACCCCTCAAACGTTGCTGTTTTCACTACGAGGGAGGGTGAAATTGTGCCCGAGCCGACACGTTTTCGAGGGAAAACCCCCCGTACATCTCATGAGCTACTTGGCTCCTGAATACAGAACGAAGAAACATTTTACTGACACCGAAATGGAAAAGGTACATCCCATTGAAAAGCGTAATTCATTCGGTATTATTAGTAACTTCCCCGAAAGGTAGTATATAATTATTATTGAAATTCGTATGAATGGAACGGAATCACTACAAGTCCAACATCAATTCCCATTCCTCGAATAAACTTTCCGGTGTTTAAGGCGTTATTTGATTAGCTAACAAATCCGTTTAGTTTCCGTCGAGCACGCGAGATTAATAGAAATTGGGTTAGCCGAGCTTATTTATTTTTATACCTGCCCGCGTAAAAAATGGATTAAAAGCTTCTTTAGCGCTAAACTAATTCAATTAGGCGGCTCCGACTTCAATGCTCTCAAAACACGTGCAATTTTCTAGAGTATAATCCCACGCGCGTTTTCCCTCTTGATCGATAACGCCCGAGTTTCAAGTTTGGATTTTTTATCGGGAAACTCTCGAATTATTTGCCGGAGACACATGCTTGTCGGGGATCCCGTTTTAGCGGCGTTTACAAGAAAAATTATTTTACACATTTTGTTGAATTGTAGTGAAACGAGAGTAGGAAATTTCACGCTCGAATTTATTGCATCGTGCGAAAAACGCGAGCCGTTAAAGTTATTAAATTAAAACACGTAACGCCGCTAGGTTTTAATTAAATTTTTGTTTTCCATCAGCGGATTATTACGCGCAATAGCAGGGCTCAAAAGCGCAGCGAAAACGTCGAATGCACGGCGAAAATTCGCCAGAACTTCGTCTATTTGCACCGAACCCTCGCAAACGATTCGTTCGAGCGAGAATAGCCGAAGATAAGAAGGCGAATTCGAGTGCAAAACTCGCAAATAAAAGCGATCCTTCGTTATAATCCTAACGAAAAAACTTTGTTGCGAAAATACTGCGATTGATAAAAATTGACGATAAATAAACCATCAACAAGGCACTAAATTTTTTCGATCGATTTGCGGAATTCCTCGCGAAGTAACTGCTAAAAGCATGGCGAAATTACCCGAGCGATTCGAATTTAATCGGGCGTTCGCTTTCAATTCGCGGACGGGCCGAAAAATTTTTATCGCCCGATCAAATATGAAGATCGAAGGGGCCGATAAGGGAGCCCGACGACAGAGCGATCGTCCCTACAAATCTCGCGAAATCCTGCAATAATAGAAGGATAAATCGGGACGATTCCGACGGTCAGGGGGGGGGGCGGGCTAGGTTCGTTGCAAATTGGAGAAAATCGAAATTTACGATTTCTTTGCCGCTTCCGTTTCTATCGCTTGTTCGAGGGACGTTCGAGTTCATTATTAGGAGGCTCCCCGAACGGCTTCTTTAAATGTTTAAACAGCTCTTCGATTCGGCCGGCGTTTAACGAGCTGGGTGGCGCCTAAATTGAACTTTCTTCCCTTATATAGATTGTCCCGGAACGGTGTTAGATGTGTAATAGGTTCGATATTATTGATATTATGGGATTCCACTTTGTTTCATCTAGCCTCTTCAAATTTGAATCAAATTGCTCCTATAATCCCCTCAATTATATGCTTGAAAAAGTCAATTCAACCTGAGAAAATTACCTACATGTATGAGAGAGTCATTAATGTATATGAGAGAGTCATGTATGTATATGAAAGAGTCAGTTGTGTATATGAGAGACTTTTACGTTTACAATTAGAATTTTTAGATTCTTTTTTTTTGTTTCTATTTATTGATGGTACCTAAATATGGTTTTTTTTAAAAATATCAATACGTCATGTAACACTTTTTCCTTATCTCTTCTGTACTGACATATCAATGAGCGATTTGCACAATAGGTATAACCCATTTTGTTGGACGGCTCAAACACTATTTCAATATTTAATTGCCTTTAGCGAATCGAGTCGTCGACCGTTTGCGAATGTTTGCGAAGAACAATGCCGAGCCGGCTTCAATATAATCAACAAATTCCATTCAGGTCCTCTCTATTGAATTAGGATCTTTTGATACTCCAGAAAACGTATTTTATAATTTCTTTTCTTCCACGTCCCCGCGCGGATTTCGCGCTTCTCTCTTAAAACAAGGAAAACTCCGTTCAATGGGATCAAGAATGGAGATCGGTTGGTTCTATCTCTACTTGTTTGTTGAATGGGTTAATTAGAAGTATTCGCATAAACACGTTGAATTTTAGCTTTACATATTATCCAAGTTGAGACATTAATACGAGCAAAATTAGCGATTACTTGGATGGAAAACTTCTCCAAAATGCGTTTAGTCTATACTCCAACACCGTTCTAATTAATTCATCTAGCCGTAAATGTAGCTCTAAACAATCCTAGGTATCTTTTAAAAGTTTTTAACAATTTCTTATATTAAACTAAAGCACTAGCAGCGTCTAATTAAAATTCCTTCCAGGAAAAAATCCCAACATCGTGCTTGAATTTGCTAAATTTTCTAAACAAAACTAAAGTTTCCATTCTCATTAAATTATCTTCTTACAGCTCAGATTATTTAGAAACATCAACTAAAATAAACGCCTGGAATTTTATGCATGCTATTCATTTTTGCATATTTATACAAAAGACGATTAAATATAATTGACATACAAATTCATACATCTACGATAATTCCCTCAATTTCATACTTGAAAAAGTCAATATTATGTTCAAGAGGGTCATTTATTTGTTTAAAAGAGTCATTATCTATACCTGAGAAGATTACCTACATGTATATGAGAGAGTCATTTGTGTATATGAAAGAGTCATTTAAGTATATGAGAGAGTCATTCGTGTATATGAGAGAGTCAATTATGTATATGAGAGAGTCATTTATGTATACGAAAGAGTCATTTGTGCAAATACTAAAAATAAGTCTTAATGATTTCTAACCGCCCTGTAGGCATCTAGCATTCGATTAGACATCAAAGCGACCGTTTTGCGAATCGAATATCTCCTTAGATCGTCTATCGAATAAACATGCAACTACAAATCTCGCTTCGCTTTTTTCAGATGTGGGTCTTCGCTTTGGGCGAGACCCTAAAAAGGGCCACATTGACCAGCCACGTCGCCACTTCCCGTTTGAGTGCCGAATTATGTCAACTCCTGACGGATATGACGCGACTCCAGGCCACGGCGAGAGCTTCATTGATGCACCTTTTAGACGTGAGTATATACCGAAAACCGGGGGGACACGGGAAATGCTGAAAAATGATCTAGATTAGGTAACCTAGCCCGACAAAAAAAAAACCCGTTGAGATCGATGGGTATATCGCGGAAAAAAAGGTTCATTCGTCGGAAAATCAGTCGCCGGGATAGACGGAATTGGATAAATTTGTTTCCCCGTCGGTTGTTGTGTGTCGCACGAAATCGAAGTTTGTTCGAGCTGCGGGAAAATTTAAAATTCGTCGTTTAAAAATCGCGCTCGTGATGCTGGGTTTTCTTTTATGATAATGTTAATTGAGCGTTTCCGTATTCGGATATCCGTACACCTTGTCGAGAGCTTTGCATTTTTCATAAAAATCCTCCAATAGAGGCGACAGAGGAAATGATAGCGACGGAACGAAAGAAGCGGACCGGCCGAGATTACGCGGACTTCATAGAAACGCTGTAAATACCAGGAACAAAGGCTAGAAGAGACCATTTTTCTACATTAAAAAGAATTAAAGTGGGTAAACGTCCTGTGGCACGAAAGGCTTTTATCCCGGCCGTGCCGGAGCTGACGGGGAACTTAATAAAAGAACTCGAGGATTACATAGCTGCTCCACATTTTCCAACAGCGCGAGATACGGAGTATTTTTAGTAACTCCATTTCGCGGAATCGCTACAAAATACTCCTTTACACCGAGATTTTTTAATTCTCCCACTTTAATTGAAAGGTGGATTACATTACATACCAGTATTATTCACGTGTATACGAGTGATGTTCGAATAATCCTGGCTTGTATGCCGTTGACAAGGGTATAATGAAACGAAACGTAACTGTCGCAGGGTTTTAAAATTTGATCCCGGTGAATACTTGTATACAATTCCATTTCCAGAAACATATACCTGTCTATTTATTCATGAAATAACACAGCATATAGCACTTTCATCTATCAAAATACCGGTGTATGCACCGTTTCTATATGGAAGCAATGTGCATGTACGAGAAAGAATCTATTTTCCACTAGAATACTAAAAAACATTTATCAAAATGTCACTGAAAACTGCACATTAAAGTAAATACTTCAGTGTTCAGTAAATCTTCAGTATCTCTGTATCTTTATACCTATACATTAGATAAGAAAAGTTGTATTGTAGAGTTGCGCATTTAAAAAAAATATCTAACTTTAATTCAACATTAGCATAAACTCGATAAACAAATTTTAAAATACTACAGTTACTATACAAATATTGAAATTTTGGGTAGCGAGACCACTAAATACACAATACATTCGTATTTAACTCTATCGGGCGCCGTTCTCGCCGATTAACAATCAAGCGTTGTTACCCTTTAATTCAAAATCAACTTTCGACCGACAAGGAGTTGTAATTAGATAACATCTAAATTAATTCCACCATTCGCTGTCTTCGGGAATAGAGCTAATTCAACGTTCGAACGATGTTTTTGAGCAATTATTTTAACTAGAAGCTTCTTGAAGCTTTGACAATTTTAGGGATTTCGATTAAAGCGCCAAACTTTTATACGAATGGAATCTTTTTATTCGATCTTATGCCTACTTAATGCAAGTTTAATTTCTCATTATTAAGTACCACAATCTCATATCTTTTGTATATTATTTCCCAGGACACGAACCGCGTACAATGGCCTCGTAGAGGAACGGTTTTTATTGGCTCTTGTTTCTCCATATTCTCGATTTGTATTTATTTTAAGAAAAGATTTGTTGACGAAGTGCGGAATCAATATATCCCCGGATCGAAACGGGCATTGTAGGAACTCCGGAGGGCGAAAGGAGAGGAGAAATTTTAATTAATTCAAAGTTTCATTTCTCCACTGACCTTTATCGAGTGCTTTTCGGATAGGAAACGTTGATATTTCGAAATGCGAATAAATTTCGACGGATTTGATATTGCCGAAATGCGAAATAATATATAACTTGGCGCCGGCTGTTTAATTTATAGATTGTGTGTTAATTAATTAATCAACAGCATCGCGATAAATTATGATTGAATGACACGATTTATCAAACTGTGAATAATGAGCGGTGTATAAAACCGTTTTGAAATGTATTCAGAACGGACCAAAAAGATTAAAATGTGTGTATTTTTTATAATACCAAGTGTACACAAACCTTTGAGTAATTGCATTAAAAATCAATTAGTTATTCTGTCGTGCCTTTTCCCGGTTTATTTTGTTTGGATGTTTGCCTAGCCACGAAATTAGAGACGTTTTCCTTCATAATGGAAACGTTATTTACGCGGTTTTTGATTACGGAATAAAGTGGAAATTGTTTGGAACATTCGCGTTTGCATTTACATTCCATCTACACGTTTTATGAATAATGTAACTAAATTAATTAATATTCCATCCGACTGTTACGCGCTTTGCCATCAGCAATTGCATTTAATACCGAAAACAATAACAATTCAACGTTTTTTTGCACGATCGGCAATCGAAATTGCAGTTAAATTCGAACTGATTTATTTCCCCGTGTCGAAGGTCCAGCCGTAAAACGTTAATTTCATTCGCGGGGAATCCCGGCCAAATTTTCCGGACCGGCTGTATTCTTGAAATCCGATTAACTTTAATCTTGAAACAAAAGGCCCGAAATGAAAAGTTCGGGAGTTTAATTACAATCCAAATTATCATCGCCCTGCAGGAAAGTTCCAATAAAATTAGCGGCGTGTAATTGCATTACTTGTGCACGCATTCGCACACTGACCAAATTTATTCAACTAAGGTAGAATGGGGCAAATGTAAAAATGGGGTAAATGTAATATTTTTACCTATTATGTTAATGTTTTTATTATTTTTATTGTTCTTTTGTGCATTAGACAGGGTTTGTTTCTTATTTTTTCTTTATTATTTTGTAGCTCTGTTATTTTTTGAAATAAATAAATAAACAGCATATCAAATTTTAGAGGAGCCAAATATTTTTTTAAAATTGCCCCATATGTTTTTCTATATAATTGTATTGCACTTTAGAACCGTTTGTTACATTTACCCCGTACCATGGGGGTAAACATATTGTCAACATTTTAAAAAATATGTAAAATCGTTTTCTTCCTTTTTCAAAAAAAACTTTTTAATACCTCGATTCTTTAATTAAGGAAATTGTGAATTTAATGTGGTATCAGCATTTCTACTAAGAGAAAAAACAAAACCACGTTTTGGGATTTAATTTGAACTATTCAAATTTTATAACCGATTTGCCCCAGTCTACCTTATAAAATTAATATAAATATAAATATATATATAATATAAATTAATATAAAAATTATACATACCATGCACCAATTTTGAGTCGAAATATTCATACAAACATTCGCTCTTATTTAACTTTGTTCATAACAACTAAATAGCTAAAAAAGAGGTTCTGAATATTTATAACTTCGACTCTAATAATGTGAAATAAATGATGTTTGCTCTTTCAGCATATCGATGAAATACTGCGAATGATTGCATCGGTAAATATTTATTTAAAACTTTTATATGTATAACTATACCTAAAATATCCGTTATTGAAATACCAACGTACAATAACGTCCATTAAATCCGCTAAAACCCAAACAGAGATTATGCGTGAAAATATTCAACCTGCCTTGGTACTCATTGCTCTTTCGATACTAAAATGCGAATCACTTAACCTGGATATACCGCGCGCGGACGATTTAAATATTTCCAATTTCGTAGCCAAGCACTTCGATCGCGGATCGTTCACCGTTATATCCAGTCGCAAATATCGCTACTCATCGCTGCTCGAACTCAACAAACCCAAACACTTGATAACAGACCTACGGAATATCGAAAAACTGTTGCCCAACGACGGCCAATTCATTTTCATCGAAAAGAACACCGAATCCTTTTCGTACTCGTTGAATCGCTTCAACAGATCCGCCAACTGGCGGAGCACCGCCCGATTTTTGGTGGCCATCGAACACGCCGATGCGGCCGAAGTGTTCGAGAAACTCTGGAAAGCCTTCATTTACAACTCCGTGGTGTTGACGAACGGCTCGTTGTACGCGTGGTTTCCGTTCGCCAGGAAGAACGCCTGCGGTACGAAATTCCACGTCGACGGCATCGCATCGGACGATCCGTTCTCGAATAGAATTCCCGAGCGGCTCGACGGTTGCGTTTACGGTTACACGGCGGTGATATCGCATCGTTATTTCGACAACGACACGCAGAAGGGCCTGTTTCCGACGATTTTTCAATATTTAGGAGAAGCCACGGGCGCCGAATTCCAGCCCGTCGTGCCGTTAAATTTGATTAACGAAACCGCCCACGGCGATCACCGGCCTGTCTACTACATTTTCCACCATTACGGAGTAGTAGCCGGTACGTATCAGTCGATTCTGGGCAGCAGAATGCGCGATTTCCAATGCGAGTACTCCAAACCGGTTCACTACTTCGTCGTTTTGCTCGCCCTACCGCCGAGAAAAGAACTCGTGCCTAATTTATTCGTGATTTTCTCCTACGAAGTCATATTCACTATCATATTATCCTACTTGGTGATAGCGGTATTTTGGAAAATCAACTACAACATCGAGCTCTATCAAGCCGTGTACGAAACCTACCAATTATTCATTACCATCCAAACGTGCAGGAAAGTGTTGCACTACAAACTCCTGCTGATAGTGATCCTTTGGTACGTTACTCACTTGAATATTTTCTACCAAACGAAGCTCAGCAGCATACTGGCCTCGCCTACGTTGACTCCTAAGATAAAAACCGTCGATCAATTTCTCCAATCGGACATCAGATTGAGAACTCACCAGGCGACTTTGCACTACACGGCGCCCAGGGGAGCGGAAGTGAACAAGATGATCGAGGAGAAACGGAGCGACCTAAACTGTCCCTTGAAAGACATATTGAAAGTGTTTTACAACCAGAGCGATTACGCGACAGTAACGTCCTACGAAGATCTGCTAATGGTGGTCAACAGGAAGGATCAAGAGGTGGTTTATAACGATCCTGTAAGTTTCGTAGACGATCGCATGGCGGTGGGTTTATTTAAACGAACGTTGCTTTCAGTTGGTTACGATGGAGGTGTTGTTGATTTTCAAGAAGAATTTTCCTCTCGTCGATAGACTTAATTATTGGATAACGGTCGCTTTCGAAGGCGGGTTACTAGCTAAGTGGTGGCAGGACGCTACTGCCGAAACGGAGCGATTAAAGGCGAGTTTCGTTCGAGAGGGTTTGAGGAAACTGAATTCGCAGAATCTGTTGAGTTGCTTTTTGTTCCTGCTGGTTGGTTTGACGGTAGCGACTGTAGTTTTCATCGTTGAATTGAAAATGGGGAAGTCTAGAAGTACTAGTTTCTAGTTTTTGTAGTATTTCTTGTTATCTTACATATTTTTTATAATACTACAAATATTACAATATTATTCTTACTATTATATTACTTTATTATTTATCTCATGTAGTAAGTACCACTTTTCATTGAGCAATTATTTAAAAAATCTTCTTTATACATTTTTATTGTTGCATAAACATTGTGCACTTGCAGGCAATTATTATGTAGATAGTAAATATTTGGCCACTCTACACTAATTATACTTGTTAATGAGCTTTGAATGATATTTGTATGTTACATATTTTTTATATACGCAATCGTATCAAATCCAATCAAGAAGTCTAAAAAGCTATTAGGCGAAGATTTCATCAAAATAAATATTGGTTAAAGCCAATACAAAAACTTACTGAAACAATTTTTTGTTTCATTCCGATATAATTCACTTCCGCAAGTGTACTTGAACAATGAAATCTCTTCTTGCAACTTTACTTATCAGTTTTCATTTAGTTAATGGTGAATCATTTAATTTTGATTTGCCAGTCAGAAAGGATGCAAATATTTCTGATTTCGTTACAAAATACTTCGAACGTTCATCGTTTACTATAATCTCAAGTAGTATGGATTACGCTTCTTCATTACTGGAACTGAACAAATCAATACATTTGATATCAAATGTAACGAATATTGGCAACTTAGTAAAAAACGACCAGCAGTATATTTTTATGGAAAGCGATTTGGAATCTTTTTCGAATTCGTTGCATCTCTTTAACCTGTCGAAAAATTGGCATGGAAATGCGAAATTTTTAGTGATAATCGAGAACGTCGATAAAGCAGCTGTCTTCAAAACACTTTGGAAAGTTTATATTTACAACGCCGCCCTTTACACGAACAATACATTTTACACCTGGTCCCCTTACGCGAAAAAGAACGATTGCGGAACGAAATTTCACATCGAAGAAGTCGCCGAAAATCATCCATTCCGTAACAAAATTCCAAAAAAATTGAATAATTGCGGCTACAAATACACATCGATCGTCTTCGAATCGTACTTTTCATTTGATCCAAAAACTAACACCGAAGTTGGGCTGTTGCCTTCGGTTTACAACTACATAGGAGAAGGATGCGATGTTAATTTCACTCCTTTCATCGCCGAAAACATAATCGACCATGATATAGGAGGTCGATACGGGGCTACAATTTACATGCTAGAAGAAACGGAAGTGGTGGGATCGCACATTCCTTCGATTTCGGGATCCAGAATTAGAGATTACGAATGCGATTACACCAAGCCCATACGCTATTTCGTATCCTATATGATGTATCCACCGAGACGAGAGATTCCTCCTAATTTATTAATGATCTTCTCTTATAAAATTCTATTAACAATCCTGTTATCGTACTCGGTGATAGTAGTAATGTGGAAGGCAATGCACAAATCGCCGCTGCACCAGGCGATGCTTGAAATATTCCAATTATTCGTAACCATTCAAAGCTTGAAAAAAGTGGTGCATTCGAGATTGTTTCTGTTTTTAATACTATGGTACGCCAATCAAATCAATATGTTTTACCAAACCGAGCTGGCCAGTATACTGGCATCGCCTTCGTTAACCCCTAAAATCAAGGATTTGGAGCAGTTCGTCGAGACCGACATGAAAGTACGCGTTCAAAAACAATCTATTTTTTTAATGTCGATTACGAAAGGACCTTACTTGCGCAGGCAAATGGACGCCAAACGCCTCGAACCCCATTACCAAAACAGGACTTACATCGACGAGTTTTTGAATCAAACCGAACTCGCGACGATGATATCAAAGGATGATTTAGTGAAGTTTCTCAACGTCAAAGACCTGGAAGTGTCCTTAGGGGATCCCGTAAGTACCTAATTGTTTATTTGGAGCTTCGATCGCGTCTTATTCCGTGATCTTTCAGCTAGTCGCGATGGATATCCTGCTGATTTTCCGGAAGAATTTTCCATTGACCGACACCGTCAATTACTGGATCACTGTGGCGTTCGAATGCGGTTTGCCGGATAAATGGTTCGATTTCGCCATCGCCAATTTCAAACCGTTCAAAGTCAACAACACCCGCGAACATTTGCGCAGCTTGAAGGTGAAAAATCTGCTCAGCTGCTTCGTTTTTCTTCTCTGCGGATTGGCAGCTGCTGCTGTAGTGTTTTTTATAGAAGTGAAAGTCGGTGGAAAGGGAAGATCTTTAAGAAGATTCGATTAATTAATGTTCTTGGATTGAGTATGCACTGTATTTAGAAATTAAATGGTAGTAGTCTCATTTGTGTAATTATATTGCAAAACCTATGTATGCTCTATGTTTTTAATGGTATAAAAAAGAAAGGAAATTCGATGCGAAGTGTCACCCAAGCCGTAAAATGCATAACTTTTATGAAAGGAGAAACGCCGTAACATCAAGATTATTTATTGGAAATTTAATAGAGCGCATCGTTTTTCCAGTGTATTATCATAAATATTCAATTTTATCGCGCGATCGGAAAACAAAAAAGGAATGGAAACCGTCCGTGAGCAAGCGTAAAACGAAATAGTTATTTATGCGAATTTCGAAGCATTGTTGGTTTAACTCAAAACGTTTTAAATTTTTCAACTAGCTGAAAACACGATTGTGCAAACAATAAAATTGATAATGAAACCACCACTAAAGCAAGAAAATGTAGCATACCTTTCTTTAAAACAAACTAATACAATAATCGTTAATCAAGGACATTATTTTGTTGCAGATTATCTCCAACTACTGCGTCAAGCGACAACAGCATCGACCCTTTTCCCACATCGTCATGGATTTGTACCAAGAAACCGTGTCTGCCTTAGAAGTTGTAATGGAGTCATCTTGGGGTCCTCCTGCAATGCCGCAATTGCAACCTAGGACAATAAATTGGTACGGAACATTTTCTATTTCTATTCCTAAACGCCCGGTAATGGCCCATTTAACTTTTTTCGTTACCTTACAAGCTGCAGCTGTAACTACTTCTTAATATACTCATTCGTAGATATTGCTCTGTTAGTTAAATAAGGGTTTTCAAATTTGAATTTACGTGGAAACATCGAGAAGGTATACAGAAGGATCGTATATTTTAAAACAAGGGAAATATATTATAAACCTCAGAGACATATGTCACTGCGGTTTCAATCCAAATCGACCCTAATTTACGGGCTTCTAAATAAACTTCCACCTAATCTACCGGAGGGCCACTTTATTTCCTCGTATACCTGCATTTACATCACCTAGCAGTTTAATTTTTCGTTGCAGGACGGACCCGACGACTGATAATTACGGAACGATTCCGCGGCGTTGGATGGGCCTGACGCGGGCCCAGGAGATGAATTTTCCCAAATTAACTCGGGAAGCCAGCACGAGCATGGACGATTTGGCCTATGCCCGCGCCGGCACGATGCCCGGCACGGTGCCCGGCAGCGTGGCGAGGCCCAAGTCGATGTACGTGGAGGGCCACGGACTTCATAGTGACGTAAATGTGATTAGTGATAATAATTTTTTTAATCAAATACCCCTCGAACCAAGGCGGGACGACGACGCTGTTTGTAGAGGTGGAAGCGGCGGGACCATCGGTAATAAAGTGAGTTTTTGCTACTATTAATCAGGATAACTTAATAAGGGGGTAGTGGCATTAGGTCGGACTTTAGAGAAGAGGGTGACTGAGGTAAGGGGTACGCAGAAGTCGAATTAGGTTGGCAACAAACAGTACAAACAGTGACAAAAGTGTCAAAAGTTGTGACAAAAGTGTCACATTAGAACTGTTGGCTAACCTTTTTAATGAATTTGAGTTCAAAAATGGTTCCTAGGTTGTGTTTTGAACATTTATAATTGCTTTTATATACTGTACTTTATTCCATATCGCAACATAGGTTATAAAGGCTATAGGTGCGATAAAGACAACTTCCATTAGACACTTATAAAGGAAAAAGAAAGAGTGACATTTGTGTCATTGCAACTTTTCACTCTGACAACTGTCATTTAAATAATCTTTCTTTGTTCCACTCATAGAAATGACCATGTTTCAATCGGAAATGGAGCAAGGTGTATATTAATTATATCTGGCGGCTCGGGTACGAATAAAACTCTAATTGAAACTCGCAATATTTAATAATATCAACAAAAATAAACATATATAAAAAATACTCAACTTAAAAGTTAAACGTCGCTTTATGTCTTATGTCAAACTTGTCATTTTTGAAATTGTCAGTTGTCATTATCAATGTCTTCTTCTTTTATTGCGTCTCGTCCGGTAGTCCTCTAACATGTACTTATAAATTTTGTGATATTCGATTGAAAATATAATGAAATTGTTGGAAACAGCACGAATCGATATTAGAACAAATGGCTCTTGCGGAAATGGCGGAAATACGATGGCAGTTTACGTGACTTGCCACAAAAATTATCGTTATCGGTTTTAATACTTCATCTCGTTCGTATTTCTCTCATTAAATTCGAACAATTTTAATCAGATATTAAAAAAAAGCTAACCACACATGCACTAACAGCGCAAATCGAATCCAAAGCTCCTGGATTAATGCCCAACGAATAACATCCGCGCTATTCCCTAAATATTCCATTCTCTTTCTGGGTATACAAACGTTATGTTATGAATTACTGAAACGCGGAAAACGTAGGTATATACGGGATCGCGAGCTAATCGTGATCTGCCTGTATTAATTACACATGAGCATTATGTATTGCCGTTGAACATCTTCGGCATACTAAAGAGTACCCAAAGCCGTTCGAAAATTCGTTTGCAAAGTTCAGGAATACGAGATAAATTATGTGTAAGGATATGAATAAGAAATTTATTGCTGCTTAATAAATGACAAGAAATTTAAACGCATCTTTCTAACGCTCTGTAAATCTCTAGTACTTCATAAAACTTCTAAAACTCATGGAATTAATTGTATATTTACAGGGTAGTAACAACAGAAGACTGAAAGTTCGACGGAACCCAGTACAAAGGGCTGCCTCCCGGCTATATAGGGTAAAAGACGAGTCTCAAGCGGGCAACAATAAAGAGTGCGTCGGGCCCGAATTCGTCGTTAGGGCTTCTTTGCCCAGCAGACAACTATTAATGACCGACGTGAAAGTCAACAACGGAAAAATCGTTACCATAATAATGCTCGATGGCCAAAAGTTGGACGTCCTGTGCAATCCCCATTCCACAGCAGGACATCTATTCGAGGTAAAACATTCACATCGCAACATCGAAAGCCTATATACTCGATAATAATTCATCGCAGCAAATAATACAAAAGGAGCACATTGAAGAGAACTTCATGTTCGGTTTGTCGGCGCTGATATCGGGCGATTTCGTGTTCCTTCCTTCGGACACGAGGATCTCGAAGGTGCTGCAGGACGAGCACCACCAGGGCGCCGCTCTGACGCTCTTCCTGCGCGTCCGGTTCTTCCTGCCGTCGCTGCGCGGCTTCAGAGGCAACGAGGCCAAGCACCTGCTCTACTTGCAGCTGCGGAGGTCCATCATCGAGCACCAGTTGCCCTGCACCTTCAAGCAAATCGTCGAATTGAACGGGTTCGCTTTGCAGGCCGAATTCGGCGACTATAATCCTAAAGTAAGTCGACATTTCTTAGGGAATTTGTGAGAAATTTAGCGGTATTTTAAGTGTATTGTTTATTGCAAGTGTATCTAAAGGAGATGTAATAGTTTGATATTCGAGTTCTCTAAGTGCTCTCGCCCAACAAACCCCATTAATGCTCGTCGAAATTAAACAAGATTTGGAGCCGATTTCGCCGCCTCGCTTCTCCGCTGGCGGAGAAATTATCTTGTTCATTCGAGCAAACTATACAGTAGGTACGTAATTGATTGACCTTCCTGCTGGAATTCGGGAACTATTATTATCTTAAAATCGTATTTATCGATTCGGCAACATTAGGAAGGTATCCGTGGAATTTTACTCTTCCTTTTGCTGGGCTTTTTACGCCGTAAACGCTAACGATCGAGGTCGTTTTCGGCATCAACTCAAATTCAAGCGCCGGCTTTCCTAGTTTGGAATTCATTAAGGCAATTTTCCGCAAAACAGAGCCCAAGGGAAAACAATACCTACACTTAAACGGATTGAATGCACGAACTGACAGAATAATAAATTATTCACAGTGAATCTTAACTATTCCCAATATTCGAGGGTGCTAAAAATGTATTCAAAAAATTCTACAAACCGTTACTGTGAGACAGTTTATAATTGAAATTGAGCGAAAATAAAGCGTAATTAGGCGGTTTTAAAAGAGATTTTAGGCGGCAGGGTCGATTGCGCATTTTTAATTTTGGAAATCATTCCGCACAATTAAAGAGTCGTTAATCAACTTTTCGAACTCTGCTTGTACCGCTAAACGAACGCGAGTTAGAACGAAAATAAAAAAAAAACCATTCGGTCGGATGGAGCATAAATAAAATTATAGCCGGATAAAAGGGGGTTGTGAGCGCTTTCGCGTTAACGGGCCAGTTCGTTATTAATTCTAGTTTATTCTGAGGACATTATTTCGTTCGAAAGTGGGGTGGTAAAAACGTTACTCAACAGAAAATGCTTCACTAAAACCTCTAATTTATTTACAATTCGTTACACCATCTAAAGCTCTATTACAAATACATTTAAACCTCCAGTCCGGCTATACACCATAGGTTTCCAGTCCCAAAATGGGACGTGTGTTACGCTCCAATGCAAGACGTGGAAACATTCGAAGTGGAATAGTTGTCAGACAACGTGAAAGACTCGGAATTTAAATCGACCAAGAACGCAGGGAATTGCAAGAAAAAGTAAAAGTAACGAGCGCCTCACAGTATTCGTTTTCGCGAAATCCGAGGAAGCCGTGCGTCATCTTTTATGTAGAACGGATTTTTCAATGTTTTGTCGGATACAATATCGTTTTCTTAAATAAAACGGAACAATGCGTTGTTTAATTTCGAGGAATTCTTTCAGGAACACGGCCAAAGGGATTATTTTTTGCTCGAGCACTACATTCCCGAGTCGATGTCTTCTGTTATAGAAGATTCCGCGGGATTGCGACAGGAATTGATTAGAGCTCACGTTTCCAAAAGCGGCGTGGAAACGAGAAAAGCGGAGGAAAATTTTATAACGTTGGCGCAGTCGCTGCCTCATTACGGCGGTCATTTCTACACAGCCACTTGGGTAATTGCGATATTTTTTTTCTAACAGCGCAAATCTGAGGATAGCCCAGCTAATTACGCGGTGCTTATCTACCCGCCAAACGAGCCACTTTAGCCAAGAGATTATCTAATTTCAGATGAACAAAGACAACAACCACAAGGACATTTGGTTGTACATCAGCGCCCAAGGGATGAGCTTGTACGAAAGAGGCAACCACACCAGCCAATTCGGACCAATTTTGTACGAAAAATTCGAGTGGAGGAACATTCAAACCTTGTGCTACAGCAAGCAATATTTATGCATCCTCCCACACACCGATCGCCAATCTAAATTCAAGCTTAAAAAGTACAAACTCAAAATGGACCAGAAGAAGTAAACCGGATAAATCACCCTCTATCAAACTCTACTTACTAATACATTTCCAGGAGCTACTTTACGTTCCGGCTGGCCTCGCTGCACCACCAGTTCTTCATGCGCTTCCGCACCGAGTACATCTCGCCGCAAACTCTCTCCCAGCAATTCGGCATTCCCCTGAAAGACATCAAAAACGAGACCAACTCGATGTGCAAGCTGGACGGTCTGCTCAACACCGAGACCGCCTTCGAGATCGACTTCAGGACGTCGTCGCGGATCGGCGGCCGCGCCGGCCGCTTCGACATGAAAAAGTCGAAGAGCATCGGCGACTTCAACGAGTCGGTGAACGAGCGCGACCAGAACAAGGAGAACGAAACGACGAAGCGCGCCGGCGGATTGGTGTTGGAGAGCAAACACCTCTCCGGATTGCCGCCGAACGGCTCGGCGGACAAGCGGCGAGGCGTCAAGATGGGCACGAGGGCCTTCTCGAGCTCCAAGGCGGGCCTGTCGCGGTCCATGGAGGCCGTCAACAAGGAGTATTTGGAGGAGATGTCGCTGCAGTCGGTGTCGCTGCATTGCAGCTCGACGTCGGTGTCGCGGTCGCCCACCGGGAAGTGCACGCCCGACGAGGCTTTCATTTTGGGTGAGTTTGTTTGATGGGGTTTGTGCGTTTTGATGGTTCGATGGGATGTTTGCTGGTTGATTCCCAAAGGGAGGTTAAAGTCGATTTGTACACGCGGTATTTTCGGAGGTAGTTAATAATTATGCAAATGATAACTGTAAAGAACTTTTCGATTATTGAGGTTAATTTTTGCACTTGATTTTGGTTTGTTTTCATGGTTTTAGATTCTTTCTTTTAGATTCTTCATTCATCAAATTTTAGATAGTTTTCCAGATTTAAAATAATTTAAATCAGTAGTTTTTTGATTTGCAGTGATACTAATTGCTTCTGCATCTTGGAATGGTTTAATAATGCTTCATTCATCAAATTTTAGATAGTTTCCCAGATTTTAAATAATTTACATCAGTAGTTTTTTGATTTGAAGTGATACTAATTGCTTCTGCATCTTGGAATTGTTTAATAATGCTTCATTCATCAAATTTTAGCTAGTTTTCCAGATTTTAAATAATTTACATCAGTAGTTTTTTGATTTGAAGTGATACTAATTGCTTCTGCATCTTGGAATGGTTCAATAATGCTTCATCCATCAAATTTTAGATAGTTTTCCAGATTGTAAATAATTTACAGTAGTTTTTTTATCTAAAGTGACATACTAATTGCTTCTGCAATCTCGAAACGACTCGATCAAGCGCAAGCTACCGCAGTTTAGCAATTTCGCAGTAGCGTAAAAACCAAATCCATTCCAGATTCGACGATAAAGCACTCGAGCCAGCCGTTCCTGCCGGACTTCCAGGAGACGGTGAGCGAATCGCTGCTGGAAAAACTGGACGATCTGTCGGTGGTCGAAGAGCGTCTGCTCGTCAACGTCTCGCTGACGCGCGACCCGAAGGGCAGCTTCGGCCTCCAAATAACCGAAGGCTCCGACGGGCACGTCTACGTCCAATCGGTCATCGCCGGCGGCCCGGCCTTTTGCACCGGCAACTTCATCGCCGGCGATCAAATCATCGCCGTCAACGGCAAATCGCTGCTGGGCGCGCGGTACGATCGGGCGCTGGACGTGCTGAAGACCTCCGGCGACCGCATCGATTTCGTGCTGGCCCGACACGCGCCGGACAGGGCGAAGAGAAGCGCCGGCGGCAGCCCCGTCGAGAAGCACTTGATCGAGAACTGCCGGGACGCGTCGAACGTGGGGAAATACGGCGCCGAGGAGGTGCCCTATCACAAGCACATTCGGTACGAGATCGGGCTCGGGCGGTCGCTGTCGAAGTCCTGCACGAGCTTGGAGCGCTCGAACGGGGACCGAGCGGTCGTGGTGGAGATGATTCCGAAAGGGATGGTTGATTTCGAGGAGGAAGGGTCGACGAGGCCCGTCGCCCTGCCGCGGTGTTTGGGGCTGAGTAGACGGTGGAAGGGCCCGGTTAAATATCCTGTCACGCCGGTCAAAAAGACGACGATAAATTGTGATAGTTCGTACTTGTCTACTTCGGATGAAGAGCAGATTTTTATATGATGTTTGCCGTAGGAGATTGTAGGGAAATAAATGTTATTTCGTTTTTTCGTGGTTTTTTGTATTTTATTTAAACGATTACATTTAAATTTATTCTTTACTAGATATAGGAATTGTTTTTGTATATTTTTTATTGGATAATTATCGCCTTTTTTATTAGGAAACTTCTATTCTATTTTTCGTGCCTAAACTAAATGATGTAAACTATTTATTAGTGTTTTATAGCGAAACTTACATTCAAATAAACGCCAGTTTTTAATACTTTCATCAATTATTGCTGAAATTTGAATGTTGGTTTTAATATATCAATAAAAATACCACCAAAAATATATTTAGTAAACTCTATGTTTAAGAATACAGATAATAATAACCTAAGTAAAACTAAAAAAAAAAACATAAAGACTTAGAATTAATATACCAATTTACAAAGACTTGTAACGATTAAGAAAACGGCCATACAAATTTATTTTCTTTGATATTTATCACTTGCTAAACGATGTATAGACTTTCATGTGCAGGATTTATATATGTTCGTCCGCTTTTTGCTATGTATACATAGATATTTGTTAGTTACAAATAGAAACAATAAAAGTATTACGCTTTCGTTTTTTTATTAGTCCCTAACCAGATCCTTGACCTTTGCAGAATCGAAGGAAATTATGCAAAAGTAGGTGTAGCCTAGCGTCGAAGTCCTTCGAAACAAATCGTTGGGGATGCTTCTGTTTACTCAGGAAATCAGTCGGTAACTACACGATTAGCGAGCTGCACAGTTCTATATACTAGAATTTTTCAGTAAGTACGAAATAATTTTACAGTCCTGAGAAATTCTTCAGTTTAGAGTTCGTAATTATTTTATTAATAGATTTAATTATAAGAGTCAATATTTTAAAGAGTAAATTAACGTTTGGAAAGTCGGCGTTATTATCCTAATTACGCGACGCCCAATTTCAATTTCTTCGAAAAGTTTGATGATTAAAATGGAATAATTAATTTCGTTGAGTAGAAGGTAATTTGTTATTTCGTGTCATTCCAGAAGGTTGCCGATTTTAACACGCCTCGGTATCCATCCAAAAAATAATCTTAAAGTTTTTAATCCACACGGGCAGGTAGGTAAGTGAAAGAACTTTTCCAGTTCTCATTTTCTGAAGCAATTTTTATATCGCTAAAATTCTCACAGAGGATACTTTAAAGTGGGACATTTTAAGCTTCCATCAGAATGAAACACCTTCAGATAGCCAAATGGATAATGATAGTCACGGGATTTTGGACGTTCAAAAAGGAATACTTCACCAAACAACAGCACTTATTCTACCGCGCCTACGGCATAATCATGCAACTGTACTTCTCCTGCTTCATCGGCGCCCTTTGCGTCGGGTTAAAAGCCGTCCAAGACAACATCCAACTAATCGACGCCATTGGCCTCTTAATATTCTGCTCGGTAATGCTCATCAAAATCATCATCTGCCAAAGGAAAAGCGTCCGAAGCATCATGAACCGGATCGTGGATTTCGACGACGAAAGCGACACCTTAACCGGGAAATTCCGCGATATCTACCTAAAGAATTCCAGGTACAACGTAATTTACGGCCTCAGCCTGTTCCTGGTATCCGCCATGTGCGGAGTAACGCTGGTCTTCTGCGACGTGGCGATCTACAGCTACGATATGAAACGGGTGAAATCGGGAGATCTGAATTCGAGCGATGTAAGGCGCCCTTTGCCCTATCACATTTGGAGGCCGATTGACGAGAAGAAGCATTATTACCGGGCCTTTTTGCTGGACGTCCTGACGGCGACCATCGGGTGTACTTACAACACCGCTACTCAGATTGTGTACTTGAGCATACTGACCTTTATTTTGGGCCAGATCAAAATCTTGCAGGTCAAATTCGAACAAATGGGAGCCGTTTGCTCGCGATTGGGCAGCGAACAGGAGAGGTTCATGTATTTGAGAAGTTTAATCGTGGAACATCAAAATATTATATCGTAAGTTTATTGTAATAAATACTGAAATATTGATGAATAACTTCATTGATTTATAGCGAATATTAAATGCACTGTTTTTTGTAGTTTCGTTAAGGACTTGGATGAGAATATGAAATATCTACTATTCGTAGAATTCACAATAAACCCGCTGCAAATAACTTGCAATCTGTACGAAGTACTAGTTGTAAGTTTGATGCAATTCAAAACTAGAATTTAGTGATGAATTCGGTTTCTTTTTAGTTTAAAGTTGACGGTATGTTTCTATTTAGAGTCGTGTTATTACTTTGCATGTTAATACAAATGTTTACTCTGACGTGGCATTCAAACGAAATTCAAGTTCTCGTAAGTATATAGAGCCATATTCTTTGAAATAAATAGGAAAAATTTTGAGCAAATTGGGCGAATCGAGCTCGGTTCTCCTAACAACGCTGGTGTATAAGTTTATTTTAGAACACCCGGTATTTCTATAACGATTTTGCGGCCTTTTGTATTCGCAACATTTCAGGGCATGGCCATATCGCAATCAGTTTACGATGGTGAATGGTACGATCTATCCGAGAAATTCAAGCAGCGCCTATTGATTGTAATGATGCGAGCGCAAAGGCCTCTAACCTTAGCTGTGGGGCCATTTTTCATACTGACAAATTCGACTGCTGTGACAGTAAGATCCGTTTTTTTTTATTAAATTCGATACCTGTTCGATTATGTTATTTTTAGTCTGTGAAAGCGGCGTATTCTTACTTAGCCTTATTGAATAACAAAAGAGGCGATTGAAGAAGGTGAATTAGATTACAATTATTTTTATAATGAGTTATAAAATGATGATTTCCATCAATATTTTTCAGATACTATTTGCTTCTGGATTAATTTGCTTTGATGTAGTTAGTAATTCGGCATTATTATTAATCACAAGTTTAAGTAAATTCTATAGGCACTTTAAATTTTCAAGTATCCACTGCATTTACTAAAATAAATGCGAAAAGTTTAATATTTTGTACTAACCGTGGGGAAAAATGTAGTTTCTTAACAAATTGCATTTATTGACTAATTGGTTTCTCGACTTAATTACTGGGTGCATACAAATAGCATACTGAGAAAAGGTGAATATTTTAAACATAAGTTTTGAATTGGAAAAAGTTTAATACTGTTAGGTAATAGTTGTTACTCTGAAATTACTAAAGAGCATAATAATTAAAAGAAAAACTAACGTTTCCAAGAAAAAGAGTTTAGTTCTTAGAACACCATAAAGTATAAAGCGCCGAGTTAACGGAATTGGATTTTTGGTTTTATTTGAATTATATTCAAACTCTGCAATGAAGTAAGTTTATACTTCCTTAATTCGAAAAACTCTACCGCTATTTTAATTTTATTACAGAGTGAAACACCTGCATTTATCACGAAAATTAATGATTATAACAGGACTGTGGACTGTGGGCTCAGAAGCCTTTAGAATTAAATGTAGGACCTTTTTTCATCCTGACAAATACCACAGCTGTGACTGTAAGTTTATCATCTATTCGATTGTAAAATAGTTTCCTACAAAATAGGTAGTTGAAAATGACGGGATGTTATCTTCTTGCTAAAACCTGCTAAAATTTAAATTTTTTAGTCTCTGAAAGCAGCTTACTCCTATCTGGCTTTGCTTAATAATTCGAAAAAATAAATGGACTAAGAAGATATAAAATTATTATAGCACACTGAAGTAAAAATCTACTAATGCAATACATTTAGATAATTTATTGTCACTAATTATTTATTGAATAAAGCACCATAAAAATTCAATATTTATTCATTAACTGAATTAATGGTTACTGCTTCTTAATAGTATTCAAATCCTCTTATTACAATGCCATTTACAATACACATACGAGAATTAAAACCCACCTATGTAATATTGTAAATAGTAATTAAGGAAACGAAAGCACCAAGCTAACAATACCGTGAATGGCTCGGATCGTCACGATTTTCTCCTCAAAGCCATAAACAAATTCCCGGATGTTATTAAAAAATCGACTTAATTCCTGTTGTTTTATTGAAATCATCGTGCGACAGTTGAACAACATTTCGCATCCGAACAGTTCTAATATAATGTATGAATTTTACATACAGACGTTACGAAATCAAACCAATTGTAAATTTTCTGACGATTTTATTCTTTTGCGGTTTAAGAGTTTCTCACAGAATAAAATTCACATATTTGGTAACACGTTTGGTTTATGTAATTGGAAAATGGCTTCCTAATTAATGGAGGATATCTATCTTAAATGTGCTAATATGCATGTAATTATTTTTCCTTTAGATGGTGAGAATTACCTACAAGCATTTGATCATTTTCTGACGAACTGAAACCGTTACAATTATTCATTTTGTTAAAAAAAAAATATAATAAAATTTGCCACCTTTATCACTTACTACTTTGGTTCCAGTGGAATATCTACACAATATTTTAAGCTATTTGAAAGGGCAGTTCATAACAATCGCAATTTTAATTTAAAAGTGAACAATTTGCCTAAATGACGAGTTTATTACAAACCACCCTAATAGCATTTTAAAATTAACACTTTCAATAAATATATTTACAAATAAAAGAAACGATAAGATTTTTAAACACAAATTATAGTTAACTGCATGCAAGAACACTTGTTAATAGGAAACTTTATATTCTTTGGGTACTTACTTAACAAATCTCCTTGCAAACAACCATCAACTACTAATTGTAAGATGTAATAAATACAACGACGATTTTCGAAGCAACCAGTCAAAAATCACTCTACCCTCTTGGCGCGTTCCCTTTCTCCTCGCCGGTTTCGTCCTCGCCCAAAATCTCCACGTTCCTAACCGGCGTCCGTTTGACCGGCTTGGACTTGGCGACGATCTCCACCTCGTCTTCGTCGAGCGGCAACGCCGGATTGATAGCCAGCTGCAGCATCCTGAGCAGCAGCATCTCCCTCACGTCCGACGGCAGGTACTCCTCCGCCTCCTGGTGGGCCGCCCCCGACGGCAGCAGCCGCGCCACCCGCCTGCTGGGCCGGTACGATTCGGAATCGTACTCCTCGTACACGTCGGGCCGATGGTGGAACCGCCGCCGATCGTCCTGCTTTCGATTGTAGCCGGATCGCGCGGGTTCCTGCTGGTAGTAGAACGGCTGCGAATAGACCTGCCTGTACCCGGCGGGTTCGGGCTGCACGAACATCTCCGGCGGTTGTTTGGTCAGCGCGCTGATCTTCTCCAATCTGCTCTGCCGGAGGATCAATTGCTGCAGCAACCGTTGGAAGTCTTTGGTGCTGACGGGCGGTTCGATGTTGTCGACGTCGTACGCGGGGTTGGCGTATTTGGGTATCTGCGATGCTGGGACGGGGACCGGGTAAGGGGTCGGGACGTGCCTGGGGAGTTCTCTGAGATACCCGTTTTCGTCGACTTGCACCGGCATCGGGCGCAAAGGGTGAGGTGGTAGGCGCCTCACCACCGCCGCGGTTTGATCTATTTCGACCACCATGGGCGGTTTCCTGCTGGTTTGGGCCTGGTAAGGATAGTTTCTCGACTCTTCGTTTGGTTCTCTGTATTGTTCTATAGGAATTATCCTACCTTGGAACTGGCTCAACGGGATGAGTATGGTGTTTCTCTGGTTAGGTTGTCTTATTGCAACCAGCGGTTCTTGTTGCACTTCTGGTCTACTAGATGGTATTTGCGAAGCTGCAACCGGAGTAGGGCTGGCTGGTAAAGTGGTCGTTTCTCGAACGTAATCGTTGGAGCTTTCTATATCCTGCAAGCTATTTTTCAAATAATTGAGCGGATACGGAGGAGCGATACTAGGTCTCGAAGTAGTTGCCGTGGGTACCGTGGAATATGCAGGTCTGGATCTAGCAGTGGTGGTGAACAAAGGTCGCGCAGTTCCGGTGGTCATCGAACCGCTGTAAACGTCCACGGAGTCGTGGCCTAACGACTGTTGAAGCGTGAAAATGTGCTCTCTCGCGCTGTAAGGGGACGCCTCGTTTTCCGGCAGTTCCCTGCGCAGTATGTTCCCTCGGTTATCCGGTTCCGGGTCTTCGGTGACGGGCTTCGGGGCGCTGATTAACTTTTGAGCTTTGGGAACTTCCGTTGAAGCGCTGGTGAGTGTTTCGGGTCTGGATATCTGCCCGTTGAATTTGCTCAAAGCTGCTGAGGGTTTGCCTTGCAGCAGCACTTTCGGCGCCGCTGATGTGTAAGTCACATATTTAGGCTTCGAAGTCGACGATTCTTGGAGGTTAGGCTTGTGGGTTGTGGTTTTCCTTCTGCTCAGTATCTGACTGATGGTTGAAGAAGAGGACGAGGTCGCAGGCGTGGACTGGGTTGAGGTGAAAACGTACGACGATGGAATCGAACTTTTCGCAGGGATTCTTTGCACGACAGACGGAGCCTCGGGTTTGCTTAGAATCTCGGTGGTGTTGGTGGAACTGTATGATACTCTTTTTATCTGGCCGTCTTCGTCCACGAAGCCGTAGGTGCCCTTGATGTGACCCAGTACGTCCCTGCTTTCGATCTTGAAGGAACCATCGTCAGCCTCGTAGCCGATGGTGTACGAACCGTCTTCGTTTATCTTCTTGATGCGCTTGATGATCTCCAATTTCTTGGTTTCTTCGGCGTCCAGTTCCTCTTTGTCTTTCTTCGGCTCCGCGTCTGCCCGGCACAGCCTCAATGCTCCGGTAAAGAGGGCCGAAAAGACGAGGATTTTCACCTGAAAAGAATCAGTTAATTTTTTTAAATTTGATTGAAGGTATAAATGATTGCAAAGTGCTGGTTGGATGGAGTTTGTTGGGAAAAAATGGTTGGAAAAAATGTACTGCGATTTCGCGCTTTCTCGTATGGAAAATTGCATGTAAAAGAAAACAATGACGAAGCAATTATATACCTTTCTGAAATAGTGTAATAGCGCAAGTAAACAAATAGTAACAATCGTGGGTATAATAAGTGAAATTTATTCTAAATTAGCGGATTATTTAGTAAACAATCGTTCCTGCAGCTAATACCAATATAATCTTCGCTTACCTAACAACTTTTATTTATTTTTAACTGCATATAAGTCCTGAAACTAAGCCTAAAAAGTATCCATACCTACACAATATTAGACGTAGTTAACCTATTTAATACCATTACCTAGGTACATATAATAATCTAATTTTAAGGATTTATATAAGGCTCGCGTGGTTAGAATTTAGAATACAAATGTAGGTTGTTATTTCGGTAATTTTGTTCCACTGATTGTCCTCAGTAACACAAACTGTACCTCTTTTTGTGCACAAAAAAGATAACTGGAAAAAGTGAAGTTGAATGTTATATAAGAAAGATGTAATTAATTTTGCGCATTAGACACGTGAGCTGATGCACAAAAGGCTTTTAGCAGGACCTTTTTGTTATGTACAATTAGAAAAGACATTTTGATTAATCATCGAAACAATCACGGTAAAAAAAACACTACGAAATAAAATCACATCGAAATCAAAACGAATCATTTTCCGGCCAAACTAGCAAATTTAATTAAAATGCAACGAGAATTTTTTTATGAATGTTTGCACGAACAAATCGAATTAAACGTTGTTAACTCACCTGCACGGAGACTGCCATGGCGGCAGCGCGTCGTTTCACTTTCACAAAACACTGCCTTCCGCAAATTCGCTGGTTTCCTTTATAACTTTTCTTGTTCTTCTCGCGATCGCCTCCTCTCTTGCGGGGATGCGGCACCGAAATCGCTTGTTACACATACACACACAATGAGGAGATTTTCTGAAGAATTACAACGATAAGGAAATTAATGTAATTTTAATATCAAGGACGGACGAACGGCTAATATGCGAAAAGCCCCTTTAGAATCAAATAATTATACAGCACTTAAAGAGATGATCAAAAATTCCTGCAGCAAGTTCCGAAATAAGGTCAGTTTTTATGCATGTAAAAAATGTTTAATTTCGGATTAAATCCTTCAACTCTGGTTGGGATATGAAATGGAGATGCCCTACAAAATGAAAATTATACTCTCCAGTCAAGCGGCTGTAGCCATCATACAAGCCTTTAACCCGCTAATGGAGTTAGAGCTGGAATTAATTCCGTGCATGCTCTTAAAACGTTATATTATCAAAAAGATGGGTCGTCTAATTGCAGGAGTGGATTCATTCCTGCTTATTTCATCCTTGATTAACGCACTTAGAGTTATTAGCGATATTTCCTCGTTTCCAGCGAGCGAAAAATACGTTTAAAATTAGTTTTCTTTGTGAAGCAGTTGTACATGAGCTTTCCGGAGTAATCCGACTTATTGTTTTTTTATTTAAATTTTCCGCAGTTAGTGAACCTGGGACTTTCTTTTTACTGGTATAATACTGGGCACAATGTCATACAACAGAACTATTTTATTTCTCCAACTGTATTGCAGTTTATACAAAAGAATTTCTAATTACAATTTATTTAAAAAGTGTTATTCTAACCGCATTGTGAAATGTTATATTTATTATTACTTCAGAACTTAACATATCCTCTAATTATTATCTCTACTTTCACCTATATGATGTATTACGCCTACATACATCATTTCAGTAACAAAAAATACTTGAGAGTAATCCAAAACAAATTTTAATACATCCATTCTTGAATATAAATTAAGCAATTACGCCAGAAATAATCTACGATACAACCTTTGATCGATATCGAAGAAATCAATTTAGTAAGAACAAAAAAATAATAATACATTTTTCAACATAGAGAAGGTCAATATTCGCATTTTGACGAATCAAACACATATTTGGATTTGCTATGGTTTGTGAGACTAATAAATTGAATGCATAATGTTCCGAATTACAAATTTGTTAATATAGCGTGTGAATTGGGACGTATTGTCTTTTCTCGAGGAGTGACTTAATATTTTGTAACAATGGCATAGAAATTCCAGAAATCTCGGAATTATATCTCTGGGAGGTTTTATTGTTGTGCTAATACGCTAAGAGAAATAATGAAAGTGTGTCCTAAAAAGCGTTTATTTAAAGCAATAATTTATTTTAATGGAGTTTTTATTAAATATAATTAAAGTTCAGTATAATTGATATAAATTATGTGGTTTTAAGATCATTATAAAAATGCATGTGTCACAACGAGAAATTTTCTGGTAGAACGTTGCATTTATTTTTATAATGAAAAATATGCTCTACGTAATTTATATAAATACAAACTAAATTATTTTTATCGAATTCCCTTTGCACATAATCCATAAATTCCGGTTTAGAAAAAACGTTTCTTTCGTATTCTCCTTCCAAGTAAACCCGAAGGCTGTTTTTAAAATAGGTCTCTACGAGACTCCAAATCCCCAAGCTGTACCACAACATAAAGACGATAAAAATAAAAGATCTCAGTATTACCGCGAACATTACAACCCTTCTTTATATTCCACGTACGAATAATACAGAGCGTCCAACGTTTCTTTTATATTCGGCCAGGACAGGACGAAGAACACCACGAGAGTATTCCCCAAGATGAACAACTTCAGATTCTCAACTCCCTCTTCGGATCGCAGCCAATTCGAGAAGCTCCGCTCCTCCTGCGAATCCCGCGCGTTACCATCGGAAATCCCTTCCTGCTTTTTGCCCGACCTCGACGGCACGCCGGTCGGTTTTTTGCTATTCGATTTCCCTTTCATCGCTTAATTCACCGGGCATTCCTGAAATCGACCAAACTCGTACGGAATTCCTTTTACTACAACGCTCCCAGCGAAACTTCCACTGCACTTTGCGACGATTTCTAAAGGAACTGAAACTTCTTCGGTCGCTTACTTACGGATTCTAAAAAGCCGGAGTTATCTCGACCAGGCGGGTCAAACTTTAGTTCGTCGCCCGGAATGCAAATCGCCGGCGGTTTTTGCCAGAAAACGGTCCTTATCCGGCGACTTGCTTACATGAAATAAGATTCGAACTAGTGTTTGTGACGCGTTTAATGGAGCACTGCTAAAGACGCCTGCAAAGCGAACGGTCTAGCTTCTACATTCAGCTATAATTATAATCCTATTAGGCATTTTAATACGTCCCCTAATCTCTTTACGAAGCCTTAGTGGGTGCTCGTCGACTGCACGGGAATACACGCAATCCCACCGCTCCTGGTATTTAAGATTATTACGTCGACACAGGTCTTATTCGGTAATTAATTAAAGTAATCGATTAATTTGTTATAGGTCGCTAATTAAATTCGTGTGCTGACAAGATTGCTATACACTTACAGGACGGTCAATTATTAATTAAGAGATTTTCTGCTTCTTAATAGAGGTTTTTTTTTAAATTCGCGGCATTCCAGAAATTCTTTTCGAATCGTTAAATTACCCACAAATTGTTTATGCACGGTAGCAATTTCACTATTTTCGGGCCGCGACAAAGGCCCGTTTAATTATCATTTTCGCGAAATAAAATCCAGCGAATTTAATTTCATCCTTCGCATAATTATAACGCCCAAAATCCCCGAAATTCCTGGGATAGCGTCGACGTGCACCGAAACGAGGAATTCGAGCAACGTATTACACGATTGAAACAATCCACCGTTGCATAACCGGAGTACAAGGGGAAGAAAACAAGCCGCTTGACATTAATAAAAACGCTTTATTCGAGCACCGATTCGAGCCGGGACGGTTCCTCGACGATCTCCGGATCGGGCTCGGGCATCGGAGCGTTCCAATCCTGCACGGATCCGCTGCCCATCGCCATGAAAAATGTCGCCGTCACCAGCAGCACCGCCGACGATACGCCGAACACCAATCGCCACCATCCTGCGAACTAACATTAAACTCATTACCTGCGACTAGGTGTTTTAGGCAAACAAACCGCTCACCGAGCCGTGCAGTCCTTCGGACACGACGTAATTCGCCGCTAACAATCCTGCGGCGCCCACCGTTTGACACAGGCCGAAAACCGTTCCTGCAATCAGTATTGAAGCGAAAATCGTTCGGCGACGCGTGAATTTACCTGCGAAATTGGGGGCGATGTCGGCGGCGCTGGCGAACGCCCCGGCAGGAGTCGCTCCTGTCATTGCCAATGCGGCCGTGTACAGGGCGGCAGGAGCGGCCGGATCGCAGCCCGTGTAGCCCAATACGAACATTAGCGCGGCCGGTGGAAAATGCGCTGGAAATTGACGCGGGATGTTAAAAATAAAATACCGAAGCTTGGATGAGTTTGATGCATAATAAACAGAACTGTTGATAGACGTAAACAAGATGAAAGTTTGTTTGAATTCAATTTGGAAACGACAACTGCAAGTTTGTTGGAAATTTCTAAAAATAAACAGGAACTGGAACTAAAGTTATTTCTACTTTCATGTGATATAAAACGCTAACTCGTTTTGTTTAATTAATCCATATAAAATCTTCATTTGCTTCATCAATGCAGTTGTTAATTTTAGTTAATTAGTTATGCTTTTAGTTGCTTTATTGTAATGTTAACTTACATATGTAAACGAAGAACTTCCTTGATGTGGTAGTGGATACTAAACCAGATTCACGTACGTGATCCACAACTATACCGAAAGTAATTGCTGCAAAAAAGTGACCAATATGTGGCAATGACTGGAGAATGTCTTCCTTAAAATCGAAATTCAAATGCTTAATACAAACTCTTATGTACCTTGCAAATTACTTAAAAATGTTATTGATTAGTTGAAGAAACTATGAATGCAAAAAAAACGCTGATGAAGTCATTGATGATTCCGCCAAAACTGCAGAAAATACAAAAGATGATGCTAATAAAAAGCTCACTCTGACACCATTTTTCTAATACATCCAGGTCTGTATATCTTACATATTCAATGGAAAATCCATACACCAACTTCAAATACTTCGTCACCCCTAGCATAAGGGTGGCGTCCGCCCATTGGCTACCGATAACCGCGATGCCGCAGGCCCAAGCCGGCTTAGAGGTCAGCAGTCTCCTCCACGGTAAATGCCGGTGCTCCTGAAATTAAATCGCTGTTTCGAAAATACCACTTTTGGGCGGCTCCACTCACGTCTCGCTTCGGCCTGTTCGGATTCAAAGACTCCTCGACGAATCTCCACCAGAGGAAGTACCACAGAAAGGACGTGGCGGCGATCACGTAGCTCAGCCAATCCCGACCGAATTTCTTCACCAGGAAGCTGCCCAGGAAGCCCACCACGGCGTATCCCAAGTTCACAGCTGGAAAAATTCGTACACCTCGTGGAATAATCTAGTGATTTGGGAATTTTAATGTGGATTTATCCAAAGACATTACAACTAAGAGGCTAAATATTTCTATGATAAATCCCAAAATATTTGTGGACTGTTATTGTTTTGAAATTTCTAATGAGTGGGAGAGAAAAAGACATGTTATGACCCACTAGCAACATCTAAACAGCATTGGAACGAAATAAATCATTTTCACATTTTTAAGGCTCATTTTAAGTTTTTACTTTTAAGTAGCTACTATAAGTTATTCAATCATTATTTATCGATATAAGAATAATTTAACGATTTTTAAAAGAATGGAGCCGCTCGTCACTTGTTGAAATGAAAACAAATATAACTTAAAATTACTTACCGAAGAAAAGACAAAACTGGATTTAAATGATCCCCTTTTTTGCACACTACACAAGCATGTACCATTATTTTGTTTATATTTTTAACAAAAGTTATTAAAAAACTCAAAAAAATCAAATAAAATGCACGTTGCAATGACACTTGTCACCTGTCATTTTTCAAATTTCATTTTTTTAAAGGACGCAACCTGCGATAATACAGGATCTGTGTTTGGGCGAATGCATAAATGTAATGATTTACCACAAAAAAATGTAAAAATGTCTTTGAGATTTGAAAATTTAAATCTCACCTGTATACAATGAAATGAAACCACTAACGTGTTTCGGTTTAATCCATGTGACCGCTATAACGTGTGCGGCAGGCCATGTAGCTCCCTGTAATGATGCTAAATTGAATAGTAGGTATATTTAAATAATTAAAATTTGTTCAAAAATACTGAAACTAGTCGCATTATACGGCACATTAATAACTTACCATAAAAATCCCTTGGATAAATCTAATGAACACGTGATACGCCGTCAACCAAGAAGCAGGTACCATAATAGCCGGTACTCCAGCTCCTAAGACTCCTACACCAAACAACCTCTCGGCTCCAACCCTAGCAGCAATTCTACTAGCAGCTATAGGCGACACCAAGGTGCCCCACATGAAGGCTTGCCTGAGAACAGCTTCAGTTTCATCGGTACGCGTCATAGGTATCTGGAAATATCTCTTAAAAACCACCCTAAACAGAACGAGAATTCGTCTATTATACCTCTATGTGGGGGATGGACCTGACGACGTGCACCCCTCTAGCGTTGTTGTTGTGCTCGTCGTTGGACGGCGGTTGACAGTAGCTGGTTATGTAGCTGGTGTTTTCCACGTACTCCGCGAATTCCGAGGCGGAAAAGCTGGACGTGCTGTTGGCCCGGAGGGCCACCGAGGCGCTCTGTTCGACCACCCCGCATAGCACGAAGCCGGTGATAACGAACACGGCCAGCACCTGCCTGTTTCCTATTTGATCTTTAAATCGGAACGGCCGGTTAATTGATTAATAGCGAATATATTTTGTACAATGTTGTGGATTATTAAATACGGCCGTATGGAAACATAGGTCGAAAAAGTGTCCCGTTGTTTGAGGATAAAACGGGGTTCGTAAAACGGCCGCTAGGAGGCGGTGTTGTAAAAGGCCACGGTTTTTTTGCGTACGAATTATATAGTATTGGCATTAAGAAAGGTTTTATTCAAACTAAAAATATATAAAAAATGTACTTAAATCAGCGATGATTTTGTTGTTAACATCATGCCTCACGTATCTTCGGTTAATGTATTTCTCCATTTTCTCCTCGAAATGTCAAAAAATAATTTTTGAAGTTTTGACAGCTCGAACTGTCGTTTCACAACACAACCGCGATTTATATGTAGCGCGACGCTGATTGGCTGAGATAAATTGGTCTAAATAAGTGAAGCTTTATAAGTCTAAAGATAAAGTGAAGCTCAAAAAGTCTTCAAATAACAGGACACATTCTCTAATGCATAAGCGTAGGCTGTTTCCAGACCTTAGAAATATAGGGCCGTGTTATTAGAAGATTTTAGTTATATATTTAGGTTGCTCCATTTTAGATTGCAATATAGGTTATATAGGCAATAGGTGCGATAAAGACAACTTACATTAGACACTTACAAAGGAAAAAGAAAGAGCGATATTGTGTCATTACAACTTTTCACTCTGACAACTGTCATTTTAATAACCCTTCTTTGTTCCACTCATAGAAATGACCATATTGCAATCGGAAATGAAGCAAGATTTATGAAGATTACCGGTAAATTTTTACACTTTTCCTACGACTCTACTAAATATAAATTATTTGCAATATTCACTGTACTACAAGTACACATGATTTAACAATGATATATCGTTGACTGAACCAGTAACTAATTAAATCTCTAGGCACTTACCGTTTACGACTTTTGCAGCTTTCTGTAGCTGAATGCTGCCTCTTTTAAATGTGGACAAACTGGGAGCCATTTCTCGAATTACTTGAATGTCATGCTCTGGTATAAAATGCACGCGAGAAGAGCGATAAAGACGTTTACGAATCGTCTATTACCGTGTGTTCCTTGTTGCCCACGGATCCAACTTCAATTAGATAATGAGTTGGTAAGTAGACTTGCCCATCGGGCTTTTTAATGCAGTTAAATTATTAAATTGATACCGTTTGAGTGTAATAACACGAAAAAATAGACGAAAATTTTGGTGTATTTATTCGTAAGCAGTAAAAATCGTTTTATCTTTCATAAATACTTTTATTATAACAAAAAATTTCTTATACATATTAACACGAAAGCTGACAAATTTAAACCGTAAACGCCTTAAATCCTTAAAATATAATGTACCTAACAACTTAATTATTTATCTACATGTACATAACATTTTGGTTGAAACAAGTTTCATAGGCACAATAGGCGAGAAGATGACACCTACAACCTAAATTTATTTCCGCTTACCATGTGTAATAAATACGTTATTAATTTTAAATATCTACTAATTAAGACAGTTTTACTTTTATTATTTATTTAGAAAAATATAAAGGGTCGTCTAAAAATGAGCAATACATTTAATTGCCTAATTTCACAATAGTATTTACGACTTTAAAACAACGTATTGCTGTTGTTCATAAGTGCAGATATTCATCAAATATATGATTAGTTCAATGAATATTTTCAAATTAATCAATAGGAAATGTACAAAAAAAATAATTTCAAATTAATTTCCAAAAATTTACTCCGCTCAACATTCGATCACATCTCATAATTGAGTTATGAAGGAAGTTATTATTGTCATGTACTTACATTAAGAAAAACTAGAAAATTACGAAAATGACATAAAATTTTCTTCTGTTTAAGAATAACGAACATTGATGAATATCTAACTTATCTTAATTCACTAATATTTACAATTTATTGCAAAATCCAATTAAATTACAGTATTCGAAGTATTATATTATGTATTATTAAGTCGCTTTTATAGTTACAGTTTCCTATTTCGTTGTTCTGTTGAGACTATCGTCCAAATTATCCACTGCTCTAAAACAAAAAGACAAAAATTACAGAAAACAAAGGCTATGGAATACAATACAGGTATCACAATCTCACCTATTCACTCACAGCGACCTTTAAAATTGGATGTTGTGCCCTCTGAGGAAAGCTTCGATCTGACTGGCGCCTACAGCTCCCTGCTGGTGCTGGGGCTGGAGGTAGTAAACCTGCTGCTGAGCCTGAGATTGAGGCTGCGGCTGCGGTCTAGCCTGAAGTCGCTGGTCGTTCTGCTGCTGGGCTCTCACTTGCTGCTGTTGCGCGTACAATTGTGCCGAATTTTGGAACTGCAATTCCGACTGCTGGGCTTGATATGCCGCCTAATAAAAGCGAAAAATAACGATACATTTTAACGGAGTCAACGAGGCGAAATTGGCGATTCGAGCCGTAAACTTCCGAATTTATTATTAACATCTTTTCCATCGATCAAGCACACCGACAACGAAGTTGACTTAACAGCGGGAATTACTCCCGCGTTTCGAGTAAATCGAACTTATCATCGCCCCCGGCAGAATAATTATTTCATTATTAACGTTGATTAAAAATTCGTTCTCGACTTGTCATTGGCGCCAGGAGGATTGATTTTCCTAACAAAATCTCGCCGCTCTATTTTTGTTAACTACAATTCTCTCACCTGGGCGCTGGGCTGCGGCCGAAGGCTCTGCGAGTAGAGCGGGCTCTGCTGCTGCAGCTGCTGGATGTTCAACACCTGCGGGCGAGGCGATTGCACGTACGGCTGTATTCTCTGCTTCAGATAAAAGTCCCCGTCGGACTGCGGCAGGGCCTGGTACACCTGGTTGTTGTACTGCCCGGTGGAAGGATCGTAAACCAAAGCAGTGGAGTAGATCTGGCCCGGATTGCCTTGCGCTTTGGGCGCCTTGGGCGTCGTCGGTTTCACCGTGAAAGCCGTGGGAGTCGGCGACACTATGTTGTTCTCCTGCTGGAACTTGTGGAACTCGCTTTCGAAGTCCGGTTTCTCGGCGTTCGGTTGTAACGTGGACTTAAACACGCGAAATAAACCATCCGCACGAAGCGTATTTAATTCGTTTGCGCTTACCTGAAGCTGTTTGGTGTAGAGCAACGAGTTAGGCCTGGGGGTGACGGTCACCTGGAGCAGCTGAGGTCTGTACGTGGTGGCCGGTAGCTGGTGCCTGGGCGTTACAGCTTGCGTTACCGGTCTCGGCGTGATCGTAATCGGATGGGAACTGGTCCTGTAAATTACCGAAGCTGGTGTAGTGCTGGGAACGCCCTGGGGTTGCCTGTAACTGGGGCGAACATCAGCATTGGAAGCAGCGTGCTGGATGTGCTGCGGACGGGATATGTAAGTCGGACGACGAACGGGCTACAAACCAGACAAAACAATTAATTATAAGATAAACATTAGGTGTTAATTAGGTTACTTGGGGAGTAGGTCTGAGGAGTTGCTCGGGCTCGGGTTCCTCCTCTTCCTGGGCGTAGTTGTTCTGGAAGAGGGTGACCGCCGGTTTGGGCGCCGCCGCCGCGGCGGGTCTTCGGAGGAGCTGGATGGGGCGAGTGGGGTAATTGGCCGGGACGTTTTCGTTGTCGGTCTCGTTCTCGGCTTCGTCGTCTTGGTCCTTGGGGGCGTTGGGATCGCACGGGTTGCCCGACACGTAGGTGAATTCTCTCTTGTTGCCGTCGGGGTCGATGTAGCCGTATTTTCCTCTAACCACGCAGTCGGTGCCTGATTCGAAGGGGTGCTTATAAATGAATAGGCTTTTTTTGGAGTCGGTGTCTATTTATTACGCTAAGCGACACGAAATAAATCGCGCGCTCTCTTTGAACAAAAAAGTAATTCCGTTGATTTATAGGGAAGACTCGGTTGCGTAAGACGAAGGGGAGCCATAAAAATTACGTTTAAATCTAATAGAGTGATGATAAAATTGAAAACTCGCTACCGATCCCAAATGCGATTTCATGTCGAAGCAATTACTCGCTTTAAAAATCCGCCTGTGTTTAACTTTTCGATTCTAATTAAGAACCGTCTGAACATCGCGCATTGCAAAATATAGGACGATTTTTATGGCATTAGATTAATACGTTATACTATCAAAATGTAAATTGAATTTAACCCGTCAAAAAAATTACTTTCGTAAGCCGACGAAATGGTTACCATACATACAAAAACCCGACTTGCCGGTATCTTTAAAACAAATCGACGCGGAGGATTTCTAATAATTTAATGCAAGTATGTATGTCATGAGCGATTCTAATAATGTAATAAATAAAGGTAAAGTACGCGCATTGCGACATGTGCATTTTCTAGGGCGAATGTTGACTCGTAGGTTCGCTAAAGTGTAGCAATAAATTGAGGTAATAAACATTTTTATACGAGAGAAAGAAAGCGAAGAGGAAATCGGCGCGCTTCGAGCATTATCTAAACCAGATCTCGTCAAAAAAAATGGAAGATTTAATCTGTTTAAAATTACATATCTCTTACATTTCCATCTTGCAATCTAAACAACGCTTCGTCGGCAAGAAGATCGATGAAAGTTATTGTTAATTAACGCGTTTTCGTAAATTTACCTCTCGTTTCTTCTTTAAAGCTACCATCAGCGGCTTCGTATCCGAACGTAAACGAACCGTCATCGTTCACTTTGTTGTAATTCCTTATAGTTTGCACCGGCGGCGCCTTCACTTCTTTAGTTCTTCCTTCGTTCGCTCTTTGAGCACCTCTCGGTATGTAGTTGGTCTCTATGTTCCTAGAGGAAGCCGCAGGTTGCCCGTACAAACCGTTATATCTGCAAATGCAATTCACACAGCGCCAATTATAATGTATTTAATTTGCATTTTAATTACCGCGAATACAATCACATATTATACAACCCAAAGGATAAAAACAACGAAATAGAAACAACCAGGAAGGATACTGTATAGAGTACCTAGAGTAATATAAGTACACACGCTTAATTGAATATGTTAACATTACTGTGAATTAATATGAGAGGTTTTGGTGAAAAACAAAAGCCGGACGTTACGTAAACTGGATCTTTTCCATGTCATAATTACCATATTTAATATCTCAATTTACCATCGACTTCGCTGAAAGATAGGAAATTGCTTATTTGATCGAAAGGCTGAAATGCTTTAATGGAGAAGACTGTTTTTTTTATTTTTTTCAAAACCGTGTGTTCTAAGAAGGCGCGTAATGAAATTTTTATTTTTTTCTGTGGCCAAATAAGGCCGCAATTAATTTTTAAAGTTTGAAAAACGTTATAACGTGTACGCCAATCAGAGCGAAAGTTGTAATTAAAAGTGACATTTAGCCATGTTGCCACATTCCTTTTAGTACCGTTTTTTACTCCGCAAAATGTGCGTTTTTTGTATATTTATTGCAATAAACATTTTCTGATATACAGGTTGCTCCATTTTTGATCGCAACATAGGTTATGTAGGCCATGGGTGCGATAAAGACAACTTCCATTAGACACTTACAAAGAAAAAAAAGTGACATTGTGTCATTACAACTTTTCACTCTGACAGCTGTCATTTTAATAACCTGTCTTTGTTCCACTCATAGAAATGACCATGTTGCAATCGGAAATAGAGCAAGGTGTATGTATCCATTTTCTTATTACATAATGGAGAATTCGATGTAATAATAAAAGAATACCATCTTCATCTGGCTTACCTGTCTGCTGACGATACCAGGACAACTTGTCCTCGGTCTTCCTGAGGCTCAGCTGCGTAGTAACTGACGGTTTCCTGCTCTTCCTCGTCCTCGGGACGTTCCACTCGCACCCGCCTGGCGTTCGTCTGGCCTATCAACAAGTCTCCGCATATGAGGAGAGGTAATAACTGTAACAAATGATTCATTAGGATTTCTATAATTAAGAAGAACTAAATTACACCCTGTGTTCGCAAATGCTTCGTTTTCGAGATACATGGTGTTAAAGTTTCTTCACTACTATAGGAATTATTAAGTATTGAGGAAATGAAAAATACACTTTATTAATTAACACCCTGTATAGATAATTCGCGATGTTTGACATACTCTTCCAAAACAACTCTATAATAATTAGATGATTATTGCCTACTTTCGCTGAAAAAAAAAATAAAAACATCTTCATAAATTTTGCATATGAAGGACGAAAATTCCATCTAATTTACACGCTATGTTTTTTTTTACAATTCACAATGGTCCATAATGGTCTCTATTAGATCCGCTTGATGTAGAAAAAAAATACGATAATATCAACGAACTCGTGTCACAATCGTTAATTGTTTATGATGTATTGTGCAGTCGAAGTAAATTTTTCGTTCCATTATTTTCATGAGAATTCATAATTAAATTTACTGCCAGCACTCAGATTAATCTAAAAATGGCGGTTTTAGATACGAAAACAATGGTTTGTACCAGATTTTAGAATAATAAAATTGTACACCAGTGTACACCTATTAGAAAACACCGTATCCTAAAGACTGTTTTAATTAAGCAAAAAGAAATTGACGTGAAAAAAATTTGTTACATTTTATGCATTAGTAAATTTATTACAAATTTCATCCCTATTATGTTCAAATTTAATTTTTTAACTTGTGGGTTATCGAACAAATTAACTATTTTATTAATAACCTACAGGTTGTACCTATCAAAAATGCCACATCACAGAATCGATTACCCATATAATTAGCATTAATTAGTGCGTAAAAAATTACAAAATACCATAAAAATACATACAGGATTTTAAATACTCGTGTAACCAATTAATATCAGTTTCGCGAAAGTTTCGTTTACATCGTGCTATTGTTTTAAAATGCAATTTGAAACCTACGCCAATGTCTCAATTAACCGCCCATATTTTCACACTGAACCACATTTTAACCGTTAGACCTTTCTACGGTTATTTCCTAACTCTAAATGACAACATGTGGGTTATGTCATGGGAAATCATAACGAAACCCGTGGGCTATTAAAGATCGATGCATTCGATCGAATCAGGAAATCACCACGCCCCGCCATTATCCTTTCGCGGGGCGGATTTGAAATTTATTTCGCATACAATCTCCGTTTTATGCATGAACTAGCCTCCTGGAGGATCTCCGATTCTGTTTGTCTTCTTAGTTTCGCCTAGTTCGGAGTTTTCCTTATCCAAACAATTATTGAGAGCTTTCAAAAATCGACAACTTTCTTCAGTACACATAACCGTTCGTGCGTTTGTGCCGTTCGTCTGCACCGAGTCGATTATTTAACTGCAAACTGCTCATTGACGCGTTTAATTAATCGCGGGATTAATTCAAAGTGAAAACTAATCGACATAAAACGGCTAATTTTCATCGAACGCCCGATGTAAAAGCCGAGTTTTTACTGCTAATAAACCGATAGATAATGATCGCTATTATTCACGGGGCTTAAGTTTATGTGGTTTGACGAGGAACTGTGTAATTTGGTTAGTTTAGTCCTTTTTACTCCTCCAAGTCTTGTTACAGTTCAATTAAATATCGATGTATTGTCGGTGCAAAACAAATAGGTACCTAATCAAAAACCAATTGTACTGGTATTCTAGATTTTTATGGCGAAATTGGGCGATGTCTTTCTCCGATCCGATAAGCCCGTTCGAGATATCGGTTACGGAATGTACCTGGGCTCGTGCCGGTTGTTTTTTCGAGCAAACAAACCGATTATTTTATTATGTTATTTTATGCGGATCCGCAAGTATTGTAGCACAATCTCGGCGTGTCCTTTATAGAAAACGCAACTACGATACATAGAGCCGATACGGACGGAAAAACAATGAGCGCTCCTTTCTCTTTCTGTTTCGGCATCGACAGGTAATACCCATTCATTTTTGCTCCGATGTATCGCCGAAATGTGTGGTCGGACGAAAGGAAAAGTGTGAGAGTGTGAGAGTGGGAATCATCTGCGTTCATTATCGTTATATATTTTCCGATTTCTTTGCCGTAACATAACACCCAGTTGCGATGAAATATAATCACGATAATTAACGGGTTTTATTTATTTAATTAACATTCCTCGTTAAGCCGATCATTAAGTCTTGAATAATGCGGTTGGATTTTCTTGCGGTTTTCTCCCAGTTGTGTGAATTTTTTTCCTATTTGAAATATGCGTTTCTTACAAGTGCGTACGTTATTTTTTTTCTCTATTGTTCGTTAATAATACATCAATATTAATCCGAAGATTCACCACTATTTTAAACCAAACTTATTACTTGTATCATTACTGCTAATTCTCGAGCATAATGCAATTCTCGAAGTTCATGGAGTTCGAGTAAGTTCGAGCTCTCCAACAAATTGCGATTCTAAAAGGATTTTAAGGGCTTTTTTACGTGCTCGTTTTACGCACAACTAACCCGATCGTTTGTTGCTGGTTTAATTAGAAAACCGAATTTCGAGTGGTGCAAATTGATCGACTAGCCCTCGGTGAAATTGGAAACGAAAGGATCAGGAGGTACTCGGAGCGTAACCGTTACTTTCGGGAGCCGTTTAATATTTATTAAACGAATTTATGAGTTCGGAACAACTTCGGTCAGATGGAGGAAACTGATTTCGGAAAATGTGAGTTTGTTTGGATTTTAATGGCGAGTAGCGCTCGGTAAAAGTTGCTAGCGTGAAAGGTCTTCGCGATAATCGCTCTTTAGTTCATATTTTTATTCTAGTAAAACTAAAACTTGATGAGTTATTGACAAGGATCAACGTGAATCGATTTACGAGCTGTTACCAAATTAAATGGGTAAGATTAAGCGCTGTAGCAGAACTGGTTAATTAAAAATAATATATTCACGAGTTAATTTATTGAATAAAAAAAAACTAATAATTTTATGCATTAATATCTCCGATATCCAGGTCGCTGTCGTTGATATTAAATGCCGAGTGGCGGCGAACGAATTTAAAATTTTCTATTTTCTATACATTTTTTAACATCCTGTTATTCCATTAGCCGTTTGTTTGGACGTCCGTGATCTATAAATTTGTTCTATTTCAATTCCAATTACGTTGCTTAACGTTCTTTTGATTGACGTAATTTTAACAATGGATCATTAGAAAAGTAGACTACAAGTTATGCACATATGTCTACATATTGCAAAGGTTGAAATAACTTAATTTTCAAAACAATAACCTTTAAATAGCCGACCGCGACTGCCTCGCGAAATTATTCGCTGATTTATGTAATTTAAATTTATCGGGCGTGAATATTTAGCTTCAAAATAGTTTAAGTGCGTTTCTTAATAATCTGTTTGATGCAATTTAGACAATAGATCATTCAAAATGCAAGCTCATAGACACACAAGACAAATCATGCATATGTGAACATTCATTGCTGTTAATTATGTTTTGAGCAATTTGTACACGAGCTAATCGAGTTTAATACAACAACGTTTTGAAATTTTAAAACAACAATCTAATTATGTTTCTCTTAACACACAAATCAGCAAGCAGACACCCGTCGATATTGTTCCAAGGAAATAATGGCGTTATTATTATATCACTTCGACGCTTCTAAAAAAAAATCCTCGACCAATTCGCCTTGTGTAGCGAAATTTCAACTTTCTTATAAATATAATTGATAACGATTGCGGCCTTGGTACCTTGAGCTCTCGAATAAACCATTTCGACTGATGAATAACAATAATAATTATAATTATGTGGCGACCACGCCTTTCGATCGCCGACCTTCACCTGATGATTCACTTATAACATAATACCTACGCGGTGGTACCGTTTGGTACCGTTTAAACTAGTCCACCAAGACAAACTCACCATGACTATGGAGATATTAGCGATACAAAGAGCCTTTCATGCTACTCATTTGGGTGTTTCAACAATTTCTTTTACCATATAGTTTCTTCTGTTTCATTAAGTAGATAAGTACTATATTATGAATGAGTAGGAGTACTTTAAGTGCTTGGGAATTTAATTTCAATCATTCAAAGTCGCCCGGTATTTACTCTTGTTTCTTAGCCAATTTAGGCCACACACAAACGTTGCGGAATTGGGCAATAGTAATTTCTAAATGTATTTTTAATTGTTTAGATATATCTACCGGCGTATTGGCGTATTTTGAACCACAATTAATAATTGCAACGAATCGGGGAGTGGCACATCCTATGCGACTCACGGTCATCGAAACCAACAATACGAATTCGGCGTTTTCAAAATCACGACTTCGAGTTCCCTATTATTTTTACTGCCGACCGGTCATCAGTCAGCAGGATGCCGGACTCCTTGCGTTCGTAATTACCTACTGACCTTGTGCCGTTGCGAAAATTAAGAAATTTACCGATGGCGCAAGCTCCTTGATCCTTAGCGAATAACTGTTTCGCTTTATTGCTATTATCTTCGATCAACGGCTAGTTTTCCTGGTATTAAGATTGGCCAACTCGCAGACAATGTTGGTTTGTTGGGTGGTTCAAATATATCGAAAATAGTTATCACTACAACATTTCGAGGTGTCATAAAACCATGATTGCATCCTGAATGCACTATATTATACAGTGAGGACCAAAAGTCCTTCGCCCCCCTTTAACTTTTGAAGCTTTTGTCGCGAAATTTGGGGTGTTTACTGTTTATATTGGAGTAAAAATACTATTTTTTGACGTAAAAATGACAGTTGAAACTTTCAACATGACAGTTAGGCGCCATTTTGAATCTTTTTCTCTTATGGAAAGGGGGGTCAAGTGACAACTCGTTTTAAAGGTAATTTCATTCTATACTATAAAATGTGTCAATTAATTGCTATGGTTTCTTGCTGACATTTATTTGTCAAATTTAAAGTTGATGAAATTGACAGTTTTTTCGTTTAAAGGACGAGCCATTGTCAATTAGGAATTAGGAATTAAGAG